CATTCACGTGCAGTGGCTAGCAGTTGGCTGAATTGCTGCACCCCTATGGGTGACTGCTAATCCCTGATCATCAGGCCCTGGTCTGGAGCGAAGAGCAGAACATTAGTGTCGATCGAGTTGCCTAATTTATGCGGAAGATCAACGGCCAGACGAATGTAAAGGTGCATTGAATCCTTAATCAACACAGATGCGCTCTGTCGGTCCATCTGCCTCATGGTGGCGTGCAGGAATAATATTAAAATCAATGTATAGGAATGGCATACGGGACTGCCAGAATGTACAAAAAGCTCTGGACGCCGATCCGTATACGTTTAAGGAATTCATTAGACTTGCGGACACGAGCAAGGAACATTTGAGGGACTTCCTGAGCCGTGACAGAAGTGGAGCAAGGGATGAAACAGGCACATTTGTTGAGCACATCGACAAGGGTGTAGATGATTTTCTGACCCTTGGCCTCTGGCAGTTCAATAAAATACATAGTCAAATTAAGTTTAACTCATTCACTGCCGAAACGCCTTTCCAAAGGCCGGGCCCAGGAAAATTGTATCGCTTCAGCTGCAAACAATGTGAACATGGCATTGCGTACTCAACTGCCACGACACGCATCTTAGGGCACCAGAAACGCCTTATGAGCTTTCCCGCAATAGTGCGTGTCTCACCCAGACCCGAAAGAACATGACTATGTGCTTTTACAAAATGGCACTGCAGGTCGGTTTAAGTGTACAAACAAAGGAATCCTTGGTTTGTTTTGGAAGGTATCCGGTGATTCTCAACTTCGTAGTGTTTCACGCCTTCCACATTATGTTTTTTGAAGCGAGGATGCATGGGTGTCGAAAACATGGAACGCCTTCAATCCTGATAGAAACCGATAAACGTTACAGAAAAGAGCCATTGCGCTGCACAATAGTAAGCCGCCGGGGCTTGACGAGAGCGCGTTGTCGGCTGCGTTGGTGATGGTTTTAATGCACTTCATTGCAAAGTGCTACTGTAAGAGACACTAAAGCCAATTAGCAGCTGTAAAAATGGTATATCAACGACTAGTGGTTGGACCAGAAGGTAAAACGATGCCCCGTTAAATAGTGCAGGCACTTCTCCTCGGCCTTCCATACCGCACAAACCTGCTTTTCCAGTATTTGGTATCGCTGCTTGTTCTCGAGGCCACAAGGATAGCAAACAATATTCTGATCTTTCGGTGAATTCATAGCTATCTCAAAAGGATAAAATGCACCATTATGTCACTAGCATCGGCAATCCCGAACAAATAACGCTCATCCTCAGTCAGTGCGAGCACCGGAGGAGTTGTATGCTTGCTGATAAGCGTCCCTGCTACGGCATCGGCTTCCTCTGTACATACCATGGAGTGAGCTTTCTTAAGTCGGTTAGTCAAGGGCTTGGACCAAACCCAGAAATAAAGTTTCAGTAATAAGATGCAGCCCTGGAGAACCTCTCAGTGTCCTTGCAGATATGCAAAGGTAGACGCCACTCCTCGATCACTTTAATTTTTGCGGGATCTGGCACAACTTTTCACGGTCGAAATGAGAAATCTCACAAAAGAACAATTAGCTTCTTGCAAAACAAGGTTTTTCTCGCCTTCGCTTGCCACTGCTTTTTCCGCAACAGCTGTAGGTGCTATAGAGCCTTTCAAACCTTGTGGCAGAGCACTGAGACGTCGTCCATGTAGACAACCATCCATTCCTGCTTGGAAAACTCTTGAATTCGGATTATCTGGCTCCTAAAGTTTGCAGAAGGCATTCATCAAGCTCGACCGGCATACAGGCATACTTGAGTAGGTGGATGCGAGTGTGGACGCTGTCTATGCCTGGCGAGGTAGATGTATATGTACGAGAACGCGTCTGTGAAGTCAAATGTCGATCAGACTGTGGCTTAGTGTACTTTGTCAAGTTATTAGCCAGTATGAGGCACTGGACTCCTATTTCACAGTGGTCTGGTTGAGGGCCTTGGAGCTAACTCACATGTGCTACCTGCAGTCCTTTTGCGGCATGAACCTTGGGTTGTACCCGGACTTCCTGGTCAATTTCCACACTTTGCCTTCTCCAACAAATTATCCGCCTGCCGCTCAATCCGCTCTTCGTGCTATGGAAGCCTCCGGTACCGTGGAACCTAGCGGGGAATGCCCAAGGTTTGTTTCAATACGAGAGGCTGGGCAATCAGCAGGTGGCTAGCCTGCTAGCAGTTTGTCAGGATTTGGCACACTCACGAGCTAGCTATCTCAATCTTTGCTTACTCCTGCTGTGTTCTGGGTAAATCTTAATTCAAAGCTCAGCATACAACCCATATGTGAAGCAGTAAAACGGAATATATGCTCTCTCACTGCGCTGCTGAGGCCCACATGAATCCTCTGGCTCAACTTATTAAGATACCAACTCTGTCCCGCTCAACTTAGATAAACTGAGCATTGTGGAGGCGACAAGGATAAAGCTGTTAATATACTTACCCGTTACAGTACGCTCCACTCTGCGCAGCTGTGGCATCAAGGCTGCCCTCCATCGGGTCCACCATGTCAATCCTACGATTACATCATGATGCATGCGTTCTGCTCTTTGACGAAACCCAGGTGGGAGCTTGTCGTTTCTCCTTTTTGCCTTGTTTGCTAGCCAGGCAGCCTGCTTCGGCTGGACCCGGCTCAATATTCAAGTTCTTTTGATCTATGCATGCGCTTGCAGTTTCGAATTGTTCGGCCCAGTTTCCCACAATATAAGTAAGCGGTTGTTGAAGGCTGTCTGGGACTGCGCACAGGCGTAGACCCTGCCTAATTGTTTTTCCTCCCCCAACTTTGACTACATTTTCGGTCCTGTTGACGCAGCCCCAACATCCATTGGCTCAGAATGTCGGCTTAGTTCTCCAGTTTCTGCCAAAGGCGGCGGACTTGTGCTCCTTTGCCCCTGGAACGGACTAGTCGATCGTTTTCGTGTAAATTTGCTTAATTGCTGAGCCGCTGCCCAACATCTGACCACCTGGCACGACGCATTGGGTAGAACTGAGATAAATCAAACATAAAAGCTGTTGGTATCCATTGTGGCGTTTGCGAGCAAAGGCCCATATTTCTTAGTTTACAAGTCTGTGGCTAGACTTTCTTGCCTCAATTTTCTAGATTCTCCCAAAGTTTGCTGTTGATATTGTCTCGACCAAAAACCATGTCTCAGGGCTGGTAGGAAGGCTTGAGATGCAGTGAATCGTGCAACAAGGCGAATTTGCCTACACGGATGGGACATAGCTTGAAGTGCTCCTTTATCTAAAAAGCATGCCGCTAAGTGCATTTGTATTTCTTCATTCAGAGGATGCAAAGCGAGTTAAATCTCTAGCCGACTGATGAAACCTGCACCTCTTCATCCGTATGGCCGTCGTACGTTCCTAATCGGCATAAACTCATCCACGTATCCATGAACACTTCGTCGGCTTAAAAGTCTTACCTTTGTACCAGCTGTTTAGATCCGACATGCACAATAGCATGCATCCCGGCCTCTTCGGCTGTGAACGGCGTTGTGCGGCTCCTAACGACGACCGCCAACGGGTGTTTTCCAGAGTGCCAGCGGGAAAGTCAGACAAGGAAGCTACCACATCACTGAATCGACATCAGATAACTAGGGAAATTTTTGACATCTGACTGCAACTGCAGCTAGTGGGTAAACGGGGAACAGCTGCTTCACACCATGCACTGGCGCCACACTTGGTGCAGTTCTAACAGAATGTTACTGAATTTTACTTTTTGAAAAAAATACTGCCTCCTTTTCCTGATCCCGCTTATCTGGGCTTCAGGCATGGAGCAGAGGGCCAGCTAGGATGGGCCTGAATGCACTGTCTAAGCACTGTGAGCACTGTCAGCTAGTTGCATATAGCATCTAGCGCACACACTGCGTCTTCTTATACGTCGGGCTCAGATTACCCCAAAATATAGACAATACAAAAACGGATAAACCAATAGGTCAATCCCTAGTTCTTAGTGAAATAAAACTAGTGCATTAAAGTGTGTCTAAATGTAGCTTTAGTCCCTACAGGGACGGTACAACGGGGTAACACTGGCTAATATACTCATCAGCCTGCCCCGGCACCATGCAGGCCAAATGTAACAAAAGTAGCAACTCCTTAGTGAGAAAAGATGTTGGAGTAGCATTTAGGAGTACACGCAGCAGTACCCCTTATTGGTTCCTGGCCTGTGAAAAACGACCCGTCCGTGTCTGCTGTAGTCTACCACATTTCGCTCTATAGGACCCTTTACCGTGGGGTACAATTTATCAAAGTGCCGGCTGTACTTCCTATTTATACTTTGGCAATAAGGTAATAGACAAACAAACTAAAACCACTTTATTTGGCCAGGCCGCTTGAGCGCCGGGTGCATAGATAGGCGTTACAGAGGCTGCTGCCGCGCAGCTGGCGCATGCCGCGAAAGGTGTTGCAGTGCATCCCGTGGGAGGAGGATTTGCCTTAAGACACTGAATCGGATATTAGATGGTCTTTGATCTTTGTTGGAGGATCTATGCCGCTGAAAACATCGCGTCGAATCCCTGCCGACTGCGCTCACCCGCTCCCCGTTCTTCTCCAGTGGCATTTAACGGTGATCTCACACTTGATTTCTGCTTGTTTTTCCAGTAAAAAATTAGATTGCTCATCATATAGAGAGTTTGGAGATCCGGCCAAGCCCACTTGCAAGTTATTTAATTTTAAAACCTAGGTGCTGGTGCTGGTATCCTCATCCGCTGCGGTTGTGGGCTTGCGCAGTCTTGCATCTGCCTGAATTGCTGCCCAATTGGGAAAGTACTGGGTGGTTTGTTGGGGTACAACTAGGATCAAGGAAGCCATAAGTGGACAAGCTTTGTGGCGGCCTTGCTGAGAAGCTTGGCCATTATAGTATTCGCACGCCGCTCGTCTGCAGAGAGCAGCGGCAGACGGTGCAAGCTGCAATTTGCTGCTGCACAGTGGACTCTACTGCACGAAATTCATTGCTACATATCAAGTCACTACAGGAGCTGAACGCATCCAAAATGTCTACTAAGGCGAGTTCAGGAGTTCCTCCTGCGAAGGATGCAGAGGAACAGGTTGACAGCGGTAAGCTAAGAACATGGTTCCCTGACCCATGCTAAGTCAGGGAACCGGCTACTATCATCCTTCCTCATGGGAGTTTGTGGTCCCCCTTCCCGTCTACATCGGTTGCGGACGCAGATGTAGTTGCCTATACCATGGGCAAATCCTTGCCGTTGGTGTCTGCCACTTCCATCCACCATCTTTCTCTTTTTGTTGTACCTTTTTCACAGCGAGCGAGGTATATGAAGAGGATGGCGAAGAAGAATCATCGGGTGATGAGCAGAAAACTGGAGCTTCGGACCAACAGCCTCAACGCACGGAGGAGGGCGTGGAAGGCGAGGACGATGAAGACGAAGAGGAGGTTTTGAGCGATGATGAGGATGATGATGATGACAGTTTCGATGAGGGAGAAGTTGCACTTCTACAGGATGAGGATCAAGCACAAATGGAGAGAAAACGCGCACGCCAGCAGCGTGGGGAAGGGGAAAACCTTGAACCTGAAGAGGACTCGGAGGAGGACAGCGACGGCGATGACGATGTTCAAGAGGTTGATCTCGATGACGATGATGGGGAAGAAGTAGATGAACAGGGAGCTGAGGATGATGAAGAGGATATAGAGCAACTGGAAGATGATGAAGAGGCCGACGTCGAGGAGCCCGAAGCCAAGAGGGCACGGACCTGATTGTTTTGGTGACAGTTCATTTCACAGAATCGCTTCGCTCATGTGCAAATTCTCATTATGAAGCAGCAAGGACTGCAACATAATCGTGCACGGAATCTTTAGTGGAACGCTGGTTAGGATCACAGGGAACTGCCAGACAGAGGGATACTAGGGGTGTCCGCCGGCGTCTAGACACCCAGCGGGAACACGACGTAGTAGGTCACAGTCTTGTGCAGCGCTTTCAAGTCCCGGCACTGATTCAGGCAGCGTGAGTAGAAACAGGCGCCTACTAAGTTTCTCTAATTGTAGATCGCGCCGATAGTACCGTTTGTTTTGTTAGCCTTACATCCATCTCCATTAGTTCTCTTCTATTATATTGGACTTGGGCTCTTTGCACTCTTCAAGAGGGTCTTCCGACCCCGGGTTTCCATTGGGTGGGGTTTTCTGTTGGACTTCACTGGCTTCTCAAACGGTCAAGCCGATGGCGCTATCCGAATGACAGCCCTGATGCCTTAATCGTTGTGTGACTGCTTACGGTAGTGTCCTTTCATGGCATGGAAAAGGCGCTGTCCAGAGGTGATATGAACGAGTATCGTTGATAGGGTGGAATTGCGTAAAGCTGTACAAGCGACTTAGTGGTCAGCAATAACGTGCCTTTGAATGACTTTGAAACTTTCTGTCTACCGGACGTGATGTTCGTAACCCTAGCAATACACACTCGAGCGATAGGGAAGTAGTAGGCATCAATGGTTGCTAAGCGAGGTGTGTGGGTTAGTTGCCCCCAAATAGCACCTTCTACTTGTTGTGGAAACTATATTTTTAGCTACGAGTGGCTCAATTGGCAGGTGTGTCGTGTGGCCATTTAGGCCTCCTCTACCTACAGGTGGCATTCTTTTGGGGGTTACGGGACCGTATAAGTTGATTTCCCGCGGCAAGGCGCATCTGGAACATGATATTCAATGTGCCGAACAGGAACAGGGAAGATCTGCTCCGCTTCTTGTGGGGGATGGGCCATTGCTCTGCGTATGCCGTAACTTAGAAAGCTCCGGTGTCGCTGGTAGCCTCCCTGGGAGTGTAGTCCTCCGAACGGAGCGTTAAAACGATGGGATGTGCAGAGATATGTCATACATATGTGTGTAATTTGTACGGTAAAGCGGTGCATATGTGTCTTTGGCTAACAGTGGCGCAGTTTGGCACATCAGCGGGTCCTGCAGGTAAGACAGTGGCTAGCATATTTTGTAGCCGCGCACGCTGCTTTCAGTAGAACAAGCATAAATGGATATTTACAGATACTTTTTACCTTTATTCTTGTGTTGCGGCTAGAGGTTTGCGCACTGGCTTGAAGCCAATAGTATTCTGCAGGACTAGCCGGTGAGTCCTCGGTGATATCGGGGCCCCTCAATTTTGCGGACGGTGACCAGTGGGTTGGGTACAGAAGGTGGGAGGATAGTTTTCGTACATACAAAACAATGCAAAGCATTTGGCAAATTAGGGCAGCTAGCTCATAAATCGTGCAAAAAGCCAAGCCAGAGGCTTTTGTAGACAGTGTTCGGTTACGGTCTTCCCTGAGCGCGGTGCTAACAACGGAGTCGCACTAGTCTCTGGACCCAGAAAATGAAATAATCATTGCTATGTCAGTTCAAAAAAACACTTTTATTCTTGTCATGTGGAATGCCGGGCAAAGAGCTGCTTCAGCGTTTGGTTTCGGATTTCTGTAGGCGTGTAGAACTGGTGTCCCTTGGTCTTTAAAGGGCTGACCCCTTTCGGGGCCTTATATCCCAATCATGGTCTAAGTTGAGAAGCTGAATTTTTTGCAGCTCACAGCAAAAATTGTTTCACAAAAGCTGTCGGTCATCCTTCGTGACCCCTGGCTGGCTGCCTGGTGACCCAAGGTATGCACCGATTTACAAAATGCTTGCAGGGAGGTCCTTGAGAGCTGCAACCCCCTCACTACCTCCTGGTGAAATCAACGAAAGCGGACACCCAGAAAAGTTGGTTTTGTCGGCTTTTCAAGGGTTTACTTTGGTAGTTCAGCCACTGCTGTTTTGCTGGAGCAATGGTGTATCAAGTATCCGTTTTCACATAATACTGGTTCTGGCTTTGGCTGGAATAAATTGTCGCGCTTCTGCTGCTCCCAGCTTTTCTGCTTCTAGAGAACCTGGTGGACGGTTTGCAGATCTTACCTTCTCGTCGGTGGTGTCTTCTTCCGGACTTTCTGCAAATGCGAGTCCAAGATACGAAGATGCTATTTCTCTAAGCCAAAGTTCCTTCTCCGACCAACGGGTTAATCAACAAGATATAAGACAGAATCTACTGCAAGAACTGACCCAGCAACTTAATTCCATTGAGCTCCAAAGGATTCAACAGCAAGACCTTTCTGATAGGGTTACCAGGGCGCAGTTGCCAACGCCGAGCAACCAGCTACGCCCACAGGCCATTCAGTCACGAAGTCGTTCTAATGCAAATGGTCCCATACACGAGTATCAGCGAGTCAGTCAATCTCCCCAGTCTCAACCAGACATTCAGGCTCTGCTGGACGCGTTTGATGCCCATTTAGAGCAAAAACTAGCGCGAGCAAGGCTAGAAGGGGCACAGATGGAGAGGCAGAGGCTTGAGCAGCTAGGACGAGCCTCTACAGAGAGATCTCAAAGCCCCAGGCAAGAGAAACCAGAGAATAAGCCCTCTCAGCGGGAGAAACTCCGTAGGGACAGGGTTGAGCAGCATATACGGAATTCAAGTTTGATCCTGAGGGCCCAGCGCGAAGGCAGACGCAATGAACCAGCAGGACAAGTTCGTGTCTCGCGTGTCAAAGACGAAGCAAAACAGGAGTCAGTGGATCAACAGAGAACAGATCGTCAGAGGCAAGATCAAGAACTCCGAGAAAAGGAAGATATAGAACTGCAGCGTCCACAGAGAGCAGTCATTGCGCAGACTGAGCAAGACCATAGGAACGGGGAAGCGGAACTTGGTTCTAGGGATATGACTAGGAAATCAAGAGACAGGGTTGGTAGTGAGCCGCTGGTACAGCAGAACACAGAAATTCGGAGGCCAGGTACATATTCGGAAGAAAAAATGCTTATGACAGAGGAACAGGAACAGGCATTTCATGAAGAGCAGAAAACGGACATACGGAAAAGGGATCAAGAAATGATGGAACAGTATATTGATGATATTTTACGGAAGGAAAAGGAACGAGCGGAACAGACGCGCCAGGAGCACAAACCCCGTGAACGATCTAGCCACGACAACGTGATCCATGAGCGAGGTCAGGTGCAGCGAGCCACGCAAGGGACTCAGCAGCGGGATCCTGAACGTAAACGGAGGGAGCAACAAGAATCAGACACACTTCAGATGTATACACGTGTCGAGACGGAAATGCTGGAAGAGCTATCAAAGAAGTTGAAGCTTCTACAAAGCTACGCACGGCAGCAGGCCCAACCGATTCAATCCGGTACTACGCTGTCCTTGCGCGAAGGCGATGTGAAGCCTGCGTCACAGACATCCTTGAGTGAAAGCCTTTTAGAGGAGATTGACCGTTTGTGGGATACCTTTCAGACCCTTATGCGGTACACTCGATACAGAGAAAACTTACAAGGAGCCACGCAACAGACCAGGGATGATGAGTTGAGAACACCACTGGAAACACATAAACCACAAGGGGACGAACAGCAGGATCGGACGCGCAATCAGAAGCCTTCACCTCGTTACCGAGATGCCTCCATCTTCATAACAAGGGCCTGGACCCCTGCGAACAGGGCTGCTAGTGCCGCTCCGTTGTCTGACAGTCCAAGCGGCACTGATCTTTCAAGAACGCCAACTTCTTCTACAGACCGGCGAACTACAATCCCCATCCCATACAGCAATAGCAGGCGGAATGATGGGGTCAACGACACTAGCAGAACTGGCCGTAGCTACAGGAGCAACAACATTGCCGTTAGAGTCCCCATTGATGCAAATACCCGTATGCTTACCCAAGATGCCAGCACCTCAAGTCTTGAAGCACTTCTGAATGCCAATGCCCGTAAGGCTTTTACTGAGGCTAAAGACGAAGATTCAGAGGCTAGGAAAACGAGCGATCAAAGTGAGGCTCCAGGCGCCTTTCTTCTGGCACAGTCAGGGGAGATCTCTCGTACCATGCTTTCCATCAACCCAGCAAGAGCATTTTCATCCACACCAACAGTGGAGCCAGTTTCTGGAAGTGACGATATGCCACATACGGAGCAGGACAACTCATTAACGGGGTCATCGGCTACTGCTTTTCTTACACCTCCTGTGCAATGGGCAGCTGAAGCGTCCCAAGAAGCGAAAGGTTCACAAAAACTAGGTTTCCCATCCCGTTCACCAGAAGTTAGGCGGCTTGTTGGTATAGAAAGTGGATCTATTGACGCAAGGGATGCGACCCTCGTTGTCGATGTTTATGAACTTGAAGACAGCGTGGACGCTTCTAGTTGGAAGAAAGAGGTTATCAACAAGCTGGACCTAGAGGGACACATTGCTGCAGACAAGCCTGTTTCCCCTAGAGGCAATGGATCAGAGAGTCGAGCATTCGCTCATGAGGAAGGGTCTATCGCACAGGTAGGGTCGGATATTCCAGGCGATCTTGGCACGTCTGCATCTAGAACATCAGCATTGAGAGAGGATTCAGTACATGCGGGAACCGAGAATGACCAAAGCAGCAACCTGAGGGGTCTTGCTGGTATCCGGAATAGAACAAAATACGGTCGAAGTAGCACAGAGGCTGATGATGCCGACGACTTAAATGACAGCGTGTTCCCTGTTATTCAGCTCAGCACCTCATCCTCACGCAGCCCGCCCTCTGGCCCACTGCAACCGTGGCAAGGGGCGCTGCCTCAGCGGATGGCAAGGCCTACAGCAAGATCATCTGCCCAAGGCATTTCCGATGATGGAAGCACTTATCCAAACACTCCATATAGGACCTACATGTATTACCCAGACCCTTTTAGCAGCCCCTACAGCACGCATTCCTATCGAGAAGATTATGGCATGAGATACTCTAATCGGTATTACCATGATACCTCGCCAAAGGCGGTTCTGAGTTGGCGCGAGTATATGAGAAGAAGGGAGGAAAAAAAGGAGCTGGAAAGACGCAAAGCGCAAGAAGCGAGTGAGCCAACTGTTGGCATTATCGAGTCACCGGGGGGACAAAATGTTGGAATGTTGAATTTGGCTCTCCGCAGGAGTGTCCCAAGATATTCGCATACGGGGACACAACTGTTGCACTCGTCCGCCCCCCAAACAGCGGTGCGGATACCTACAGCATCCTCCGTGACGTCTACGACGCGGACTACATTCACCCCATATAGCTCGATAAGCGCAGCACGGAGCGCGGAAACACAACCTCGACCTGGTTGGTTCCAACGCAGGAATAGATGACCTAAAGTGGGCTTCACTGTTAGCCACATCGTACCGCGCCCTTAGCCCACCTTTTATAATCTCATCACATTTAAGCTCGGAATATCCGGCCCCTTGCAGCTGCTGGGGGAATCTCAACTAGCTCGTTACGAAGCGGGCCAATATTTAATTGGTAGGTCTTGCGAGAGGCAGACTTTCCCATTGGCTAAAGGATTAACATTTTCAGGAGGTATTGTGTACTTCCGGGCTGTCCGTTGCTGGGAAAAGTGCGTTAAGGCGAAGGAATTATAGTTGCGCTACTTTTGCTTAATAGCCCTTGTTCTGTCCATATTCCTGTTCGTCACACACCTATTGTTGCTCCCGTGATCCACTGCCTACATGTGCACATCCGTTTTTTGCTTGGCACAGAACTCGTGCCATATCCATTAATCGTAATAATGAAGAACTGATGAGGCAAAGGGAAATCAAGCCGAACTCTTGCGCTTATGTTTGTCCGCCAGGGTCGCAATCAATAAAGTGAATTCATGTTAATAGCAGTCAAGTGCTAAACGCTATATGAAGAGCTATTCATAGCACCTTTAGCGTGTGGCTACTACCGTCAACCCATTGTAAAGCTAAGACGAAGTGCTGTCCAACGCACAAGACGCCTAATGCAGGACGTCAGCTATAGAAGCATCAGTACCACACTGCCGACTTTGACACGTGAAAATTGCATGTTGCGAGAAGTCAAAGAATCTTACACCAACGGGTCTCGGCCCCTATGGGCCCCTGAATTTAAAAGACATTTCAAGGTTTTGTGCATGTGAACTCAGTATATGACATCCACAGAGGCAATCCTCAAAACCCGCGAATTGGCAAGCCCCCAGTAATGTATGGATTACAAGTACCGCTGCCAGGAAGGTTTCAACAGCCAGTAGAGGAGCTGGCCTCGGTACTGGTCATCCATCTAGAATAGGGAGAGCCAAACCTATATAAGATCCTGCTTCCTTAAGCCGAGGGTTGGCAATGTATGCCCACCGCTTTACTCCAAGGCAGATACCGGAGTGTGGTATTGGCCCACGAGGGACGGTTCGTTGACCTTGTGGCACGTCAGCCTATCTTCTTTCGCCACAATATGATCTCCTGCTTTTTAAAATACCTGCGAGCACAGGCTTCCACAATTTGATCCTCATGACAAAGCGCGATGCGCAGGGACTCCTGTTGCGGGGGTTAACATAGCCAAAAAGAAATGCATGCTCTCAAGGCAAAGGACTTTATCATTCTCACCTTCTGTCCTCTTCGTCCACAAGCACGAGGTTCAAGAAGTAACGGACGGAAAACTTGTTTTGCACATTCTTATATGTCGGGGTTAGATCCAATCCACTCAGATAGAGCCTCACAGGTATGCACTCAGCTGCAGAGATCCACATGCCACAAAAGATACTGAGGAAACTCTCCTTTTGTCATGAAGTTGAGAAATCCAAAAGACAAAGAATAAATGATGGAGCTGTAAGTCAGTCGAAGGGCAGCAGAACATGTTGTAAGGAACGCACATCTAATTGGAGCACCGTCCATGATCTCGAATTTGGAAAGAGTCTCTGAATCGGTCACGGCGGCTGACCCTATGCGATAGCAACAAAAAGATCGACCGCTGTGTAATGATGAATGCTCTCATTTAAGGTAACAAAGCTGCTCGGTGTCAACGGACGCTTTGATCAGCATGACCACACTGCCGCAGAGGCTTCGACCCTGCCACAAGGTACTGACTCAACAAGTAAACATATTTACATGAAAACCTCCACAGCCTAAATACTGGAGTCCGGGCTAGAAGAGTGTGCAAATAAAACTGACCGCATCCAGCTGTTTCTGTCTTAATAATGTCAAGCTGCATGTCCTTGATCTTTATACGAACGAGTACGAAATAAACTTTTCCGATGACAACATCCTTCAGGTGGTACCGGCTTTTATCGAATTCAAACTCAATATGCAAGCAATCCTCAATGCCGACCTGAAGTGGGCAGGGATAAAACGTCAAGGTTTTTTTGGAGGTAAAATTCAGAGAGGAATATGCAAGACATAGCTCTGGCTTCTCTGTGCGTCCCAATCCAGAGCATGACATTAGAAGTATTCTGCATCTAGATACAAAAATGAAAAATGTTCCAGTCACATCAAAAACATCTGCGCTCCAAAAAGGCATCTTGTTTATCACCTCTATCTCCCCACAAACTTTCGAAAACAAGCACGCACTTTACCCATATCGATGATTACTAAGGTACCCGGAGAGGCGCCAAATGCAAAATTGCCTGCAGCTGACCTCCATTTTAATCGAGTTTTTGATCTCCGGAGGGGGTCCAACGTTCTGCACCACGAAGTCGTGTTCCTTCACAATACTGCTGCGGTGCACACAAATCAGGGATAGATAATGGCACAATGCTGCATGAAAACAACAGTGTCTGCCAATATGCGTTGGTAACCAAACAGCAGCGCGCCAAGCATATTCTCACTGTGTTAAGTCTGCCCACATGGAGTCCCTGTCCATTTATTTGCCAAACATATGTAGATCTTGCCTAGTATATTGTGATTATAAGTAACAAAAACAGCTTGGACTAGAACATATGCCCAACCAGGTGAGGTAGTTTAATGCACACATATACAGAAAAGCATCATTTGTAAAAAAGACTAAAGGAACACTTGCCTCGCGTAATTTCTGTGTATGGTAAGACGAACGAAGTATCGGAGTCGAACATTGATGCCTGAATACGTCTCGTGGGCCTTGTCAACAGCATTAAACTTAAATTTATACTTCTTGCTCTCCAAAAGCAACCCTGGAGGCTCCAGATCCTTGGATATAGAGAAGAAATCGTATGTGCTGCTCCTGTCATATAACGTGTCTGCATCCAGGCAATTCACACACAAAGGAGCCCGATGTACAGTGTCCCAGGGAGCCCCCACTGTCCAGTTACACCCTATCTGGGAGCTGCTAAACACGTTTGACGTCTCAAATGCAGGAAATATTCAAGTTACGCAATGCCGTTAAACGATTTTTGATGCATGCGAAAAAACTGCCGCAAAAGTGGTGTTATAGGAGAAACGCTGTACAAGGCATCAATCTATCAGTGCTGCGATTTTCTCCATGCCTCCGTAAACAAGACTGAGACAGCGGAAGAGCATGCATCACTGAAGTATGCGACCTACCCACTTGCCCAACGAGTTCTACTTTTATGCCATTGTGCTCCAGCTTCTTTCCGGTCTTCAGGTTAAGTACCGCCACGCCGCTAACGTCCTCGACATCCTGCAAAATTTCGGACAATGACGCCATAAGTCATAAATGCCACCGTGGAAACCATAAGAAACCATGACTTATACTACTCTAGCAAGTTTCCACATTACAACGCTTTAAAAAGGAGCACTAATACAGATGGAGTAAATAAGCAAACACTTACACTGTATATGGGGAGCTTCTCGCCCTTCTTCTCCCTCGAAAGCCATGTACATTTACGCCCGTCTTTATCTAGGGCGATTTCGACCGAGCAAGCCGACCCAAAGAACGTTGAAAGCTGTAAGAAGGAAAAATCACGCAAAGATCATAGGTGCCCGGATCGTCTATGAATACACAGCAGGGCGCACTGCTCTTTGAGGATTACTTACGTCTTGATACCTGTTTCTCCTAGTGTAAATAATGAACTAAATGTATATGGTGTAAGAATACCAAATGTGTCAAAGGCTAGCAGCTGAGCATGGTGCAAAAGGGTCCAGAACGCTGGTGTTCTGAGCTTACCATATTGGCCTGTCCTGCCTGCAAGCACGCTCTCACACCCCAAGAGGATCCAAAAGAATCCCGCGTCTAGTCTCTCAATCTAACAACGAGAATGAGAGAGAGGTTGGAGTACGAAACTAGTGATATCCGACAGCCAGGACAACAAGGCGCAACAAGAAAAGGGCGAACTCTGCTGCTATGTTTGCGAGCAGTGGGTCCCTGAAACACGTTACACACGACGACGATAGGTCCACCTTGACTTCATGCGGGGCGCTAGCCCGTAGGCTATAGGATTCCGCCTCGCGTGCGATTTTCAATACGTTAAGACAGCTTTGACTGACACTTCTTCCTACGTCCGCATGCACCGCCCCCTTCCAGTAAGCTCCGCGTCGACTGGTCTACCTTAAGCCGTGATAGATATGAGAGGGAAACATCAGTGGCGTCTCCGTGTAACCTGTGAGATGGAGAGGTAGTTTCCTGATGCTCAGTAGCAGGCGAACTGATCGGCTTGTCAAGCAGTGAGGGAAGCTTCTGTGTGCCTGAACGAGCGATCCCCATGCCTTTCCATCAGGAAGCAAGTGAAAACAAGATATTCAGATCAACGCCGGAAAGAGTAATTTAATTCTCTGATGGCAGAGGCCGTCGTTGTAGTCTGCCTCTATGCGGGCTGTTGACAGCAGTTCGGGAGCCCCAGCAGCCTGGCTGTCGTGGAATTAAATCGGTATATTCAGAGCTTAGCAACGGAAAACATGATTCCTGACAGTTTCTGCGCCTGCCAGCAGAAGAGGTGTTTCATGGCTGAACTACAATGCCTTTAGAGGCCCGCTGCCGACCAGTGCTCGGCAGGAATACGGGGGCTGTCTTGTAGCTGCAACAACAATGCAATTGCCCCGCTCCTCGCCATTAGTGCTACTACTACCCAGACTGATTTTGGAGAATTCAGCCAAGGTTTTATCTCACAGTCAGCAAGCTAGTCTTCCTTTTGTGGGGTTCGCAGAGGACTCGTCATTCACAAACCCGAAGGTAGCTTCCCCTGTTAACAAGAGCAACTAATTAATCATAGGAGCTCTCGGGACACAAACACAGAAATTTCGACTCCATGTTGGCTCCAAGAGAATATGGGGCCTCATATCCTGTGCCATCAGTTACCTTCGAAAAATACGTGTGTCAGTAGTACGTGCTAAAGGTATTGTCAAATACTTGTGCTATGATTTGACTGTCCATATATTGCACTCGTTTTAGAATAGGACTAGCTCCGTTTCCTGAGAATGTGTGCTACATGCCACAATGCTGCTTTACCCTCAGCCAATTTCCCCCCACAACAGGAGCTCTTAATGCCTGCAATTTATTGCGCGTTGATTGTTCATCACACCCTCAGGATAGAGCCTTGTGTGGTGCTGGAAAAAAGAAGAAAAATAAAGTTTGAGGGAGCACGTTAGAACTTTCTTCGGAATTCTGCTGCGTTTCGGGGGATGGGGTTTTCTTGGGGAAACACAGGAGCGCTACAACCGAGTGGACACACGGCCAACGCTGATGTTTGCTGGAGTGTGAAGGCATCAGCTAATGAGGCGACTGAACAGCTTAGTTTGCGTCGAAAGCAGAGCAGTCAAAGGGGTCCCGCACTTTCGGCCAATGTATTTGTGTTAAGGAATGGCTACGGTAACATGGCTAAGCTGAACTATGGCACGTTTTGCTACCCTAGTAATGTAGTCAAATATAAACAAGAAATAGTAAAGACTTACCAATTGATTCGATTTGTATTATATCGTATTTATTCGCGGAATATAGTTCACTTGATTCAAGAAGTTGCGGCACCGTTTGCTGTTGGCTAAATGTTATGTGAAACTCGCTGTAGATGCTCCGAGTGCTTGAAGATACAGCAACGCGCATCCTAGCCTCCCCTCTCCCCCTTGTCGGAGCTATGAAAGGCGGGCTCAGGCAGTGAAAGCGTTTTGTTCAACATCCAAGTACTTTCAAGTGAGTCTTGTTTGAGTCTGGTGAAGTCTCTCCCTACGGTGGTAGTGAGTAACACGTTACAGATGGTGTCGTTGGATTATTCGGGGCACCTATTGCCTCCGCAGCCATTAATTGGATGAAATATGCTGCCACGTTTTCCTACAACAGCTACCTGGCTACAGTCAAGTCGTTTGATAATCCAGTAAGCCCATTTTGTTTTGTTAGAGTCTACATAAATCTTTTGGTGTCGGAGTCTGGGTATGGCGCAACGCCCGTTGAGGCGGCAAGGGCACGCCTCTAGCCATATCTAAATGCAGTTATTCCACTGCTAGTTCAGCGTTGAGATCTATCAAACGAAAAAATCTCTGTAAATGCATTGAAAAAGCTATTCAGGCCTAAAAGTATGAAGGCTGCTAGAATGAGCAAGTTCGTCAGAGGTATCCATCGCGGGAAACGAAGTATTGTGCGATGCGGAGGGGCGTGAATATAAGGCTGGTGCTATAAATGTTTTTTGATGTGCATGCCGACCATAAGGCTTATATGTACTTTAGAAATGGCTTTGAGGAATATCATATCCCTAGAGCTCCTCGACGGCGTGATCGACCCTACAGTACCTTTGCAATGGGTGCATTAAGGGCATCATCAACGTGTTCGCTGGTGGGCATTCGCCACACCCCAGCGGTTCATTCTTGTGCAACGCAACCAGTCTTCTCTGCCACGTTTCGCGACTCCTATTGAAGCTGCATGTGGCTTATGCTAACCTACTGCTGCCAAAATCCACCATGAAGGAAGGGTCGAGCACTGGAACATAGGCTGTATCCTTTTATATTTTAGACAAGGCAAGGATGCCGCTTATTGCACATTCTGACTTCGATCCGCAGTTTCGTTTTGCTCAGAGCACGCGATCACATTCTTTCGGGCCATCATTGGATTCAAGGCATACGAGTTTCTGTGGCTGCCGCGTGGTTATCTGTTCATGCTGTGACAGCTTTCAATACTACATAACCTAGCTTGAAGCTCGCCCAAGGAGCAACTTAATACGACGTGCTAGACTACTAGCTGGTGGCCAGCCTGATGGTAGCTCAACTTAATTCAGCATATCCACGAACTCTTCGTTCATATTTGCCCCACCTGCTGTTCTTTGGCTCAATGGCAAAACTATAAGAGGGGACGCTTCTTCCCAAAGTTGGTTTGCATACTCAGCCATCTTCTCTTTTTGCTTTGCTGAGCCGCCCGCATGAAGACTTCCCCTCACCTCAAAGGAAGTGACGGTACCCTGCTCACCTTGGACAAAATGAGTGTTGTGAATTAGGCCAAACCAATGCTCGTCCCTTGCGCTCTCGAACACACTACCCTCCGCAGAGCACAGCTGGTGCCACAAGGGTGCCTACCATCGGGTTGCCCATGGATACCAAAGAATGCGTCGGAGTTTACGGGTCCACGATCGAGGCCTTGGGCCATGTCAGCAAGACCCAATTACAATTCGCAGTGGCTTTTGGTGTCATAGGCTTGTCCATGCCTCTGTTCTGACGCCCACTAGCAAGCCTGAGTCTTCGGGATTGCGTAACGAGTGAACAGGCAGCTTTCACCTCAGTGTTATCTCCTCAGATAACAGATCCACTTCGCATTCACTGTCAAGTAGCCGTAGGGATTCTTGACCATTAGTCCTTCCTTGAATCAGCACGAAATTGACCGGCTGATATCCATTGAGACTCTATGCTCTGTAGCCTGCCTCACTGCGCCCTAGCTTGCGTGAAGGCTCCGTTACGCGACTTCTTTGCTCGCCATGCCGCCTGCTTTCCCTGTGCCCAGTTTGCTGTTCAAGTTCTTTGGCTTTTTGCATGCACTTGTAGTCCCGTATTGTATGACGCGACTCCCCACACTAGCAGCAGGTGGGTTCTACGGGGGCTGTCTGGGGCTGATCAAGGGCGCTGGGTCTTCTACATGTTGTTTCTCGTTTGTTGTATACTCTAAGCGAAAGCGGACAGACGCCACCGCGACAAGTATAAGTCTTATATTCCGACTTGGTTCGTTCTTTTTTGCCAGAGGCGCATATGTTGAGCTCATTTACCCGCGACACCTTGTACATCATTTGTGGATTTCCCTCCAGACGATTGTTTACTTCTGAGTCGCTGCCCAATCTTTAACCACCTGACACGACACTTTGGGTAGACCAGACACAAATCACTGATAAAGCATCTCTTTTTCTACGTTGTGACACTACCAAGCCCAAGTGTATATTCCTTCGTATGCCGATCCATCGATAGAATCTCCTTAGTATGGTTATTTACCTTCTCTTAAGCTTTGCTGGTGAACTGATCTCGGCAACACAAAGATCTACGAATTTTATGAAGGCCTGAACTATACCAAGCCTTCCAGACATGGAAACTCCTCTGCGTGAATAGAACCACTATACTGAAGGTTTCCGAGAAATATGCCACAAGGAGAGCTTGTTTTTGTCCAACAGTGGGATACCAAGACTGGTACATCCCCAACCGGCCGATGAGATCTTCGAGCAGTTGCCGACCATTCCGGCAAATGCACTTTTCTGGCCTGCGTCACCTCATCCTTGCATCCATGAACAATTTATGGGCTCACCAATTATTCTATTCCTTTATACCAGCTGTGGAACTCCCGCGATTCTATTAGAGTGCAACCAGGTCTTTACCGCCTCAACAGACGTTGCGCCACTGCGTACTTCAGTCTTCGAAAGGTATAACTTCCATGGTGCTGCCAATAAATACCAAGCTATTGTATTTAAAAACAAACCGCTCAAAACCAAACAAATAGTCATGGAAAGTCTGACAGCCCATTGCGTCCGAAGCCAGTGAAATAACGGGAACAGCAACATTGAACCATGCATTGATGCCAACTGTAGCGCTCCAGCTACGGCTTCCGTAGAATGATGATTTTCTCCAGAATCATCAGGAGCCGACTAGAAAGGTAAGGAGTGTTCCTTTAAACGAGCTGAACTAGAAAGCCAATCAGTGTTCTTTGAAAAGTACTTTTTTCGTCTCCTGCCCACGCCCCTCAGGCTTCTGATGCCCGGGAAAGGGGGTGGCTACATTGCACGTTGCTGACCCTTCAAAGCGCTCCGAGCATTTACAGGTAGTTACACATTTCATATAGAGCACACGCATACAACAGTGCGCCTTCTTGCGTTATGCCAAGGCAAGTTCGCAAAACATGCGGTACGAATAGGCGAATTAATCAGTCAATTCTTTACTAATTCCAAGTTAAATATAATTCCTTCAGTAAAAATTGCCGAAGCTTAGCTTAACTCACTACAAACAGCCCCGCATGGCTGATGAGAAATTATAATTAAAGCCGTAATATACATGTAATGCCATTGCATTCACAGTCCGAGTTTGAACCGCGATTCCCCTTTGTTCCTATTACACTGTATGGCAAACTCCTTCCAGGAAAAGTCCGTTAGCAGCACAACAAAACCTAAAGTGACGAAGCTCTTGTAGCAAAAGATCAGAAGCTCTGCACGTCGATATACCTCAAAGTTGTCAACCACTGCTTTCGTACCACAGAACCAATATCCAATAAATTTGCATGGGTGGAAAATGCCTCTGCACTGCCATGCACATTATCCTCCGTTTTGAAAAGTGGGAAACCTCATTTTTGTCCAGATCTTTGTCAATCAAATCGGGTTATTGGTACCTACATCGCTTTGTTCGTTTGCTATCCTGTGTAATGGACTGCTGCACGAATACCAACATTTATAACACAGTGCGTCTGAACAGTGGAAAGAGCTGGGAATCGTGGGAATGCGAATCTGTGGACTGAACACGTCCTCTGAGACTTCATGTTTCCCTAAGTGTCTTACACCTCTACGTGGACGTAGCTATAGCCATGGAGCTTCAGCTTCTGCTGAGGAGTTCAGTAGGAACTGGCCAACTCTATGTACTAACTGAATACCGCCTTTCCTACTGGGGCTACGCCCGAGTGTGTAGATACGCTTCAAAACCTTTTAAAAGTGACACACCAGATTCATTGCTCCATGTTCGTTTTGTTCGCATGGAAAGAAACAGTAAACATACTGAAAAGTGGTGGACACAAGTCGATATGTCGCCACGAACAAGAAATGAAAATTAACAATCAAAAACTACAACAGCCAATCGTGCAGAAGTGACGAGGCCGTAAAACCGACACACAAATTTAGAGTCAAGTGCAAGTTCTCCTCGCAGCGCTACTATGGCGCTCACTGGGAGCACACTTCTCGGAACTCACGAGAGCAAGTTCACGCAGATGAGAAAATGCACAGATGTGTCAGGTTCGAACAAAGTCAGAGGCGGCTGACACATTGAATAGGCTACTCCGCGCAAGAAGAGCAAAAAGTATTTATATAATCTGCCCGTGTGGCTTCGATCTAAAGATTGACGCAGCAGGAGCTGCTCGACAGTAGAGCTAGCGCTGCTCATCATGTGGGGTCCTCAGCACTAGCTTCCCTCCACGATTTCAAGTTTCCCCGATTCTGCATCTGAAACTACCAAGTCTGACTCTACATTCACACCGACAGGATTAGGCGACTTCGCTACAGCAACAGTAGAATGTGCTGCGGCCTCTGGTGTTGTAACTGCCGGAGGGGTGGATGCGAGGCTCCACCCGAGGCTCTCCACCAAATGGCCCAGAGAGGCGAAAGCAGCCGAAAAGCTGTCCGCATCCGTCAGAAAACCGATGCTATTGCTCCTTTCATTGCCGTTGTCAGCCTGCTGGCGATCTGAGTCAGATGAACCCGCTAGCCAGCCCAACCTGCTTAGATCAGGGATGCTACTGCTGAAATACCGGTGCTGCGGCTGGGAACCCTGCTGTCGTCGGTATTGATCCTGTTGAGAACGAGCCCGCTGCTGCTTGTACAGGCCAAGAGGGAAGGAGACAGTTTCACTCCACAAGCCAGATCCACTGGTTGGATCGTGTTGCTGTTCTTGCGACGAGTCTTTGGCGCTGCCGGCTGGAATATTGGGCCTAGGGCTCGTGGAACTGTCATTACTGGCTGCACGTTGCAGATTTTGTAGCACATGAGGCTCCTCTGCCGAGCTTTCGAGAGGAGAGACCTCCACATCGCTCCTATGCAAGAAGCTCTGCTGCTGTTCAGATTGTGGATCTTCGGGTGACGGTAGCTGCAGGGCCCTTCGTGCAAGGACTGTCTGTTGCTCCTCCATGGCCATCAGCTGGCGTTGCACACTGTGCAACTGCTGCAACGCCAGTTGTGCATGCTGTTGACCTCTTTCCCACAAGTCTGCCGGAGGTTGGTTTTCGTCGGCTGTCTGCGGGAGCTGGTCAGCCTGCTGATGCTCGTTTGCACATGCCGCTGGTATGGAGTCGCCACCTGGTGCTCCGGCTTGCGCTGCAGTAACGAACGCTCGAGCACAATCTAATGCCAATCGATGACTGCTGATGAGGGGCAGCTTGATCGTATGTGTGTGTGTGTACATGTGTGTGTGTGTGTATGGCATCCAGCGCGCTGTACTGCCTGCTTCCCCATGCTTAAACGTATCTCAAACTCTCTGAATTGCACGCTACCACTGCCTGTACAGGGCTCTTTGTCGATGCTACTGAAATATGTCGGTTTTTTTGAATGGGGTTACCAGCGTCAACAATTCCCGTCACTAGTCGAGCTTGGACGGCTGCTGCTCCTGGCTCTTCTGTTTCTGGGTGCTCACTGCAATTGCTGCCCCTCAGTTCTGCTGGAGTGGCAGTTGCATGCCCTGCGGGTAGCACAAAGGCGTCCACATACTGCTCTGTGGCAACGATGCTGCTGTTTCTGTCAGCTGCTGCCGCTATTCTGTTACAAGCAACGCATAAAAACAAGGGCAGTCAGTTAGGCCATCCCTGCCAACCGTCAAGAAGTTCAACTTGAATCACACAGACAGCAACTTGGGGGCTATAGGCAAGGCCATGCAGCGCCAGCAGCAAAGAACTCGCTCACCTTGATCGAGCTGACAGCCAGAAACGACTTGCTCTTGCTCTCCCGACTGCTCGTTGTGGACGTCCTCTTGGCTAGAGCAAGCCCCCTCCTCCTCTACGAAAGGAACAACAGGGTGCTGCTGCTCTTCCCTTGCAGCAGGAGCATCTGCTGGCATGCTCCCATGTGTAGCGTTGCTACTACCCAAGTTACTAGTGCCGAAGCGGCTGCTACTAGTTGCGCCGCACTCATTCTTGCTCAAGTCCCTCTCTGAGCAGCAACACACACCAGCAACAGGAGTGGGAATCAAAATAGGCATCCCACGTCCAATATCGCGGCGACAGACCGCTACCCACGCCTCCTACCCGTAAAGCTCTGTTACACCCGCCAGCAACAAACATAGTCAAGGACGAACGGAGCAGGAGGCTACAGAGCCTCGTTGTGAGTAAGCCCTGAGCTCCTCGTATATTACTCTACTGCCCTAGGCGGTTGCCGTTACTTCAGCCAAACTCCCTACAGACGCAGCAGCGTCCTACAAGGAGGAAAGTGCACAACGCCTCTGGCTCCTCCCAGAGAGTCTAGAGTTTCTCTCCTGCTACCAGCCTCGAAGTCGCCACTTCAGCGCAGCACCATTATCCAGGCAACACACTAGATTTCGCCGCAACCGTCGAGGGCCCTAGACCAACAAAGGCCTTTAGAGACAACAACCCTAAACAAACAGGCTCCTTCCGTTGCCACTGCTCTAGAAGCAGTTGGAGCATATATATATATCGCATCTCTACACTTGTCGCAGCACTAGAGCGCGCATCTGCGCAGCAGTAGCCGCCGCGTAGCTTTTTATGTATACACTGCACTGCTGCAGCTGGTGCACTACAGCAACTGCGGCAGTAAACGCTTATCTCCGATTATTTATTCCTCCCCCGAGAGGATTTTTTGCCACAACACTCTGAGAGGCCTCAGTAGCAGAGCACACCAACGTCGACTGCCGCAGCCGCAGCACCCTACTTATCCACTGCACGGGTAGGTCCCTACCCCACCCACAAGGGAAGATGCTGACGCAGGCAATAGCAACTGCACTCGCGCTTAGGTGGCTTCGTCGGGGGGGGTTCCGAAACTATGCTTACGTCCAAAAAATGCTTTTAAGCCTGGGAACGCAAGTGCACCGAAGGGCCCTGAGGACGACTCCTGGGATGTCTGCTGCCTCTGAGGCTGCAGCAGCAGCTGCTGCTGCTCTGTTTCCGCCTGTTTCTGCTGTTGGTTCAACGGCTCTTGAGACGGCTGAGTCCACGCGTGCTGCGCATGATGCTGCTCTTCGTCGCTCATCTCCTCAGGGCCCACTTGTTGCCCGCGTTCGAACAGGCGGCGTTGCCACGATAGAAACTCGGGGTGGTACACAAGCTGATCCACCGCTCCCTGTGCGGTGAGGTTCGAGAGGGAGGAAAGGCCTTTCGGCTGGTCCTGTTGTGGCGGGTTGTTGGAGACTCCATCGTCTTGGCCTGGTGCACTAGTTTTTTCCGACAAAGCAGCCGTGGTAGGCTGTTGCTTGTCTTGCTGATCGCGGAGCTGCCGCGAGGAAACGTCCTCCGGCACACCCCACGGAAAGGAGGGCGACTTGTTGACGCATGTGTTTTGAAGTTCCGAGGGCAGAGATGTGATAGATGACGCTTCGTGGATTTCTTCACCAGGATGCTGCGGCTGCTGCTCGTCGAACCCTATGCTGCTGCTCCGACGGGGCATCAGGTACGGAGCTGCGGCATACAGCTGCGCTGTCACGGGATTCTCGCGCTGCCATCTGCTGCGGGAATACCGACGCAAGAAAGCATAGACATCGCGAGTGTAGATGCCATGCTGCTTCGAGGCATACGCTGAACTTTCCTCTCCTACGAAACCTCCTCGATAACTGGGGATGGCCCCACTCGCGGTCGGCAGCGTGGCGCTTCCAGAGGAGCCACCAGTGGTATCCCCTGCCGCTTGCTGCTGCTGCTGCTGCTGCCGCGCAGTTGGAGCCTCCCGCTCATCACGGGGCAGCAGGACGGAGAGGGAGGGCAGCAACTGCGATACGGCAATCTGCCTGTGCTCAATTTCTCTTTGCTCTGGGAGATGCAGCCACCAGAAGGCAACCAGACCGAAGTACGACACAGTTGCGTTTTCAGCAGCGCACAAGAGGGGGCCAGTAAGGTATCGGTGAAGGAAGCCCATCAAAGCCCATCTGCCAGTCTTCGCGACCCTTCCTAGAAAAACGAGTAAACGGCGAAGCCACCTCCGCACTCGGCTGGTGCTGCTGCAAGCATCGCACCCTTCATCCGGGAGCAGCTTATCGTCTTCGGTGCTCCGCTTCTTGCTGCTGCTGCTGCGCGGGGGCTCTGCCTTCAGGTCAGCAGTCTCTAGGCGTTTCTCCTTTCTTGCCTTGCCTTCGGGATGTCTGGCGCTGCTACGCCTCCTCCGTAGGAACCCCTCGATCCAAGACTTGTGCTGCGCGTGACTGACCCCCTTGCCGCGTAGGGTGCTGGGGGAACTTGGAGCTGCCGCTGCAGCCTCAAGGGGAGGAACAGAAGGCAGGGTCGAGGCTTCCTGCTGCGCGAGCGAGCCGTCTCTAACCGCGCCTTCTGCTGAGTTCTCGCCAGAAACGCGATGCTTGTGAGCTTCTGTCTTGTCGAGCTCTCGGGAAACAAGAGCTTTTGCTGTGGGGCTCTGGAGCGCCGCCAAGCCGACGGTACAGCAGAAGGCGACAAATCGCCACCACCGAAAAGGCACAAAAGAACAGAGCTGGAGCAGTAGAGTCAGTGTAGTCCCATGAAGCAACAACAGAACCACAGATCCGAAAGTCAAGAGTGGATCTTCCCAGTTGAAGGCGTACTTGAGCTTGTCCAAAAACTGGGCCGTATACCCGAAGAAGAGCTGCGCAAACATCGCCCAAAAAAACGCATGCAAGACGAAACAGTGTACGCGCGTAGCCTAAACACGGTACTCTGCGAGGAGGATGCCAAGAGCAACAGAAAAAAACGTCTGCAAGCACCGCGCTAAAAGTTCAGCCGTTTGCAGCAGTTTGCAGCGCCTTTTTTTGCCAGGACAAAAAGTCGGCAAAAACCGAGGCGTAGAAGCAGCTGCAACAAGGTCTGAAAGGCGTTGTTGACGCAGCACCGCGAGGCTGGCTTTGTACCTGAAGTATTGTGAATAATTCGACGATGTTCTGCAGCTGTTGCGCGAGAAGAGGCTCTGTTTCATCGTCTGCGAAGACTGGCCACTCTTCCCCTCCAGAAGGTTTGGTGTGTACAGACACCCGCAGACCGCCGAAAGGACTCTGTACAACAGACCCCCCGCCTCCACCGATGTTCGCAGCCTTTCGTGTAGCTACAGGTGCTGCTTCTGAATTCCTAGATCCTATGATTCTCCCTTCAACAGCCCCTCCCTGCGACGCCGCCTCTGGCTGAGAAAAGTTCTTGCCCCCTCCCGCTGGCGAGTCGACAGCCACGAGAGCCCCCGTAGGCTGCACCTGCTGTGCCTGTGCAAGAGAATTTCTACTGCCATTACTGCTACTGCTGCTGTTGCTGCTGTTGTTGTTCGCGTATTCCCCACTACGGCATGCAGAAGTGACAAATCCACCGCTGCCCGTCAGCGGTGGCTGTCCTACAGCGCCTCCCCCACAAGAACTTGGCGAGGCACTGCCGGCGAAAGTTTTCTTTGGCTGCATCAACATTTCTCCGGAGAAGCTCCACTGAGCCCCCCCCTCTCTGGCGGCATCATACACTGAATCCTCTAGCGCTGAAGCTGCTTCTGAAGGACCTGCGGCAGCCGCTGCTGCTGCCGTCCAGTCATCCTCGAGCTTCGATCCAGACGCGCTTGCACGGCTTCGCAGCAGGCGTTGCTGGTCATGCACAGCACCATCGGCCGTGCCGAGTAGCTCCGATGCTTCCCGCTGAGGTGCAGCAGATGGAAGAAATCGCGTGCTGCAATGCAGCACAGGTAGAGGCACGAGTCTTTGCTCCTGGGTAGGCTGCTCCTCCACCTGCCCTCCTGATCCTCCCCCGTTCTTACTGGCGTTGACGAAACTGTTGCTGACCACAAGGGCGCTGCTGCAGCAGGGAGACGTCGTCTCCCTTTGCGCATCCGAATACCTATATGAAAGGGAAATCAAGGCAATGCACAAGGAAATCGACAGCGGTAGGTCCTGAGGCCTAGCGAAGACGAAGGTGAAGAATAAAAGCAGCCAGAACGTGCCAACGAGCATCCAATCGAGGGGCGAACAGCGGAGGTATGAAGGAGCTGTAGAGAGACGCAACAGAGCCTCACAGGTAAGAATCCATGAAAGGCTACAAAGCCGCACAGGAAAAAAGGCCACTCCCACCTGCCCTCATAATTCGTGCGTATATGTGTATGTGCATCCAAGCATGCTGGTGCCCTCTACTTGCATGCAGTACCCCCACTCCCACACGTCCAGCTCTAGGCGGGCGACTTGTCTGCCCGTCATCCTTGCAGGGAGGAGCTCTCGTCGAACGCAAGTCGTAAATCAGTTTCAGTGATCGCCAGGAGCAAAAGAAGAGGATTCGAACAACAATGTTGAAGCGTATGCCATGTAGGGAGCCGACCAGAAAACATCCGGAGCGCCCACTACACTGACCAACGGACTAAACTCAGAATCGAGTTCCCAACCACTGCTCTAACGGGTAAAACAAGAGCTGCACGCATGCACGCATGCATGCATGCATGCATGCGCACGAGCTTAGCGGCCTCACAGCTGAGTTTGAGGAACTTGGTCACCCATCTCGGCTCCGTATCTCCCCAACGCCTACATCTCTCGCCGAAAGTCTGTACGTAGTGAGGTTCTGGGGAGGAGGGCACCAGCCACACAGAAGACGGAGGAAGGCACATGGATAGCAGAGAGGCTGCCAGGGGAGGCCTTAGCCACTCGAAGCGCAAGCGGAGATGTAGGAAGCCTAAGGAAGAGACTGGATTCTTCATGCCATATTCCTCGAACCCTGAAAAGGAATCTCAGTCCACAAGCGAACGGCAAGTCCACTGGAAATCACTGTTCGTAAATGCGGCACTGCTGAAGACTCTATTTGACCCCATCTCCCCCGACCCTCTTGCCATACTGTGCCCCCCCCTCCCCCCACGTCTCCAAACTCGTTCCTCTCGCGGTTTGTGCATCTTTCTTTCCCGCGCATCGTATCCACCATCCCCTGCCACTCCCGTTGCCACCCCCCTAGCGCACACCGTCCTCCTCGCGAAGCCTCCTTTCGCTCTGTTTCGTTGCCTGCCTGCCATCCCACTCTGAGCTCCTTCCTTCCGTCAAACACCCACCTCTGACAGGCCTCAAGTACTTGCGTTCTTGCTGCTTTTTGTTATCCGGGTAAAGATGAGCCCAAAAGTCTCCTTCGCTAACCCAGCCAGCGCTTCCAAACCACGGCCAGCTCGCTCCTCCTCCCTGCTGGAGTTGCTCCTTCTCTTGCTTCTGCGTAGGCAAAGCAGCCCTCAGGAAGGAAGAAAGGGGAACGATCACCCTGCCGTACAGCTGGCGCTCGTCTAGACTCGGGATTGCGTCTGACGGCGCGAGATCAGTCGAGGCCAGTAGTGGACCTGGGTTGCTCTGCAGCTGTTTTTGCTGCTGCTGCTGTTGCTGTTGTTGTAGGCGGCTGCTGCTGCTGCTGCTCGAAGCCGCAGCGCATTCGTCGGGGAGACTGTTGAACTGCTGCTGCAGCTGCTGCATCAAGAGATCGCGCTGCTGCTGCGGTGCCAGCCGGCCCGCAGCAGCAGCAGCAGAAATCCCCGAGACATCCTCAAGCGGGGGGGCTGGGGAACTCCCGCTGCGGCTGTTCGCTCCTGCAGCAGCAGCTGCTGCTGTGACGCTGTCTTTGGTAGCTTTCAAGATGATATGACGGCAAGGTCTGATGCAGATGATCTCAAGCGACACGTCTGTCCACAGATCTCTCACGGGAAACTCGAAAGAAGCCTCAAAAGGCAGTTCGTTCACGCAGTTCGTGCTAGCAACGCCTTCGCTGCCCCCTCGTGTGTTTAAACGTACAGTGCGGCTTTGTTGCTGCTGATTCTCCACGAGCACTCTGAGCAGCCACGTGAGCTGTTGCTGGTGCCGCTCCCGCTGCAGCTGCAGGGGATTGCTGCGAACCCCCTCGCCGCTGAAGAGTAGCAAACAAGCGCCAGGAACTTCAATGTATAGCTTGCCAACAGCCTCTCGCGGGATGAAGTGAGGCAGCAAAGAGGCGTTCTGACGAGGCTGTTGTTGCTGCTGAAGCGGCTGCAGCTGCTGGCTTTGGGGAAAAAGAGGCGAAGACGAGACTGCGGCTGTAACGCTTTCCTCCGTATTGCAGCCACTCGGCGCTCTGCTGCTGCTACTACTGCTACCACTACTACTCCCCGTACTGCCTCTTGGGGTAGCAAGGGGTCTTGCAATGGAAGAAGCTGCCTTGTGGCTATCGCTCGGAGACGCAGCTGCAACAGTCTGCGAAAGGGGCCGCGAGGCAGGGAACACTTCCTCGAATGCCGCGCATGGAGCTACATTCGACTGTCTATAAAAGTACTTTGCATTCACCACTCTGTTGAAAAGTCGGGAAACAGACCACTGCTGCATGTGCTGGAGTTGTTTCAGGTGTGTTTCCTGGTTGCTGGCTACCGCGTCCAAGACAGAGTCCATGACCTTCTCCCCCAAGGCGTTGATCTTCGCACTAAGCCAGTTCGACATCCTCGCTGAATACAAGACTGTCACCAGAGATATCCAAGTGCAACAAAGAGGTTCCTACGGAACAAGGCGCCGAACAAATCCTTGTTCTCTCGAGGATTTCTATTTCTTGAGTTTTGCACCAGATTCAACTCGAGGAGAGAGAGAGCAGTAAACCTCCAAGCAATGGAAAAACTAGGCCTCTTCAACTCACAATACATCTGGGCACATGCATTCCCAGATTCCTGTTCTTCTTGTAATTCGGTCGATGCACCAAAAATGCCTGTGCCACTGTAGGAGAATGCTTTCACTAGAATTAATGCAGACGAGCCTGCAAACCCCCACGCGTAAGGAGGTGCGTGTTGCACAATCCCACGAACTTCATAAGTCCATTTACTGCACACAGGCTGCAGCGCGCGGTGTTACTTGCAGTATCACCACTACTGCTCTTCCGTATAAGAGGGAAGACTGCCTGCCTGGGCATCCGCAAGGGGAGGGCCAAACACCCTCTAGAAGAAGAGGGGCCCCTTGAGCGTGAAAGAAAGTTTTGAACTCTGGCTGTCCACAGAGAAAAACGATGAAGCACTGAGAGGCAAAGTTGCAGCAGCCTCAGCGTCAGCGCGACTGGCAACGACGTGTTGCTGTTGCTTTTGGTGTAGTGGCAAGGCGACTGGGAAGGAGATCATCGGGATCTCTGTTCCTGGCCACCACAGAGACGAAAACAGAGTTCAGATTATTCATTTAAAGACCCCCTCGAGTGCGAAAAACGGAGCCTGGGCCAGGCGCAATTGCCGAATCCAATGGTGGGAATCTACACACGAGCAGCAGGACTAGTACGAACACTAGGAAAAGTTTATTCTTAATATTTTCACCACGATAAGGGAAGGTAGCAATGAGAGCTTGTGTGCTCCCCGATAAATCTGGAAAGGGCAGCTTCAGTATGCCAGAGAAACAGGACCCATACCTCCAACGGCGCTGAGGCAGCAGCGGATGGCCCCCTCTACACAGGCTACCGTAGCTGTATCACCATACGGTACATTATACAAATAATCATAGTAATGGATCTGCTTTTGATGCATGCGCACACAGGTGCATACAAACGTGCGTATTCCGATCCCACTGCTTTTTCCACACGGCCCCCCGCCCCCTCGACGGCTGAGTGACCTTCGACCAGGCGGCTTTCCCGAGTAATTCTTTCTGTGAAGGCAAAAAATGACGATATTAGCTACCCTCGGAATATACTTTCCGATACCGAAAGTGGCTAGGGCTCGAAGAATTACCTTGTTGCCCAACAGCGTTGCTCATCCATCATTCAACACAAAACTTTGCAAGGCTTCTACCTCTCTCATCCTCGCGTAAGAACTGCATTCTTCAGCTCTTGATAAATCCGGCAGTTTCGACAGGAGTGGCTTTTTGTAACTACAGGATATCCTTCGATTTATGAGGCTGCCGTCTGTTGCCGCAGAGAATCCTGCTTTCTCGGTGCACACAGACACCGCCTTCACTGGGCTGCCTAGGCCTTCTGTATTCACACACTGTCTCCGTAAGTTATTCTATTGCTTCATCGTCTGCGTTTGTGACGTATAGAATCATGTAAAGAGTTTTGCAAACAAGATATACTTTTAGGCTCTGTGCTCTAATTAAGGGAAGTGGAGGTGCTGCTCAGAATTTGGTGATACACTTTCTTAACCCCTAGCACTAGAATGGCGTGATCAATAAACGCTAGGATAAAACAGCACCAGCAAAATACTTAGATGCAGTGAGAGAGCGCAGGCCGGCAAAGCAATGTAAGGGCAGCAGTTTACCACAACTCAAAGAAAATCACAATGGCGCACTTGCAGAAAGGGCTTCTGCTGAAGACCTCGACAAAAAATACATACGTCAGCATACAAGCTTTTCGTGGGGCGACGTCCGAGTTGAAGCTGTCTTCTTCATTATTTTCTGGAATGGCTCAGGCTGACCAAGCTTGTAGTGGGCTAGGCTACACTTCACAAACATTCTCTACTACACTAGTTATGTATAGAAACTAGTACAGATTTGCCTATGTGTTTTGCCCGTATTGAAGAGTTCTGTTAGCTTGATATCAGAAGAACGCAATGCTGTGCGTTTGCGCTAGATGGTCCGTCCTAGTATCTGTAAATGCTCCGATTGCTTCGGGGGTGCAGCTATGCATACCCTCGCCGTGCTTCTCCCTTTATGCCAGGAGCTCTGAAAGGCACGGAAACGAAATGGAGGGTTATCCTACAAGAGAAACCTATCAAATTTCTATCAGGGGTGTTCTTAGTCTGGAGTTTAGTGTCTCCCTACGGACTGCCTTCAATGGGGCATTGTACAGATCCTGATTAAATCCTTCTACTCCGCGACGGGGAACCCACAACAGCTTGTTTTGCAAAAACGTCTTGTGCTGCAGGAGCAACTTGAGCTGCAGCAATGCTTGATCTGCCACTTCTGTGACCTGCTGCCTAAGAGCAGCAGCACACCTCAGCAGGAGCTGCTGCCGCATATTCAATATATCCCCACTGGGATGCGTGGCTATCCCAGACCAAGGCATAAGGATGTTGGCATACACCCCCTGAATTTGTCGCCGTATTATCTCAGCTGCCTCATAGGGCTGCTGCGACCATTGCTTTTCCTGATTGCTGGTCCGTCGCAGCTGGATAATCAAAAGTAAAAGTCGCTGTGCCTGTTCCACGGCCAAGGCCATGGTCCGCTGCTGCGAATGCGGCTGCTCTATTAGTTGCTGCTGACGCATTTGCTGACTCTTAGCGATTTGTGCTAAATGCTTTAGCAGCTGTCCTAATTCTTGTTGCCTAGTCGTTGGAGATCGGGGTTCTGTCGCTGCTGTCCCCATTGCCTCCACGCGCTCGTCTAGATCGGAGTCGTCGCTGTCCTCTGAAACCTGTGAGGCGAACAATACACGAATTCGGCAAGTAAAGCAGATAATGGATTGTGGCAGAGCAGTTGTGAGCAGCAAGAATAAAAGAGAGGCAGCAGGAAGCACCTCATCGCTAAGCAAGGGGGCGTCTGTGGCCTTAGAATCTTCCGTTTGCTGTGGTCTCCGGAGGATTAGCTCCCGCAACTCCCCTGAGAGGCAAAATTCGCAAGGCAGGTGGTGTAAATTGAGAGAGAACTGTAGAGGATACTGCCGCAGAAGCAACAAGTAGAGTGACACAGACTACAATACAACGTGGCGTAGCAGCGGTAGGTGTACAGGGTCATGAGTACCTCTGAACCGCATGAAGTGTTCCCAGCCAGGAGACAGGTGGATGCCCAGTTGATAGATGAATTGCCCCTCTGTCAAGAAGCCATCTGAGTCTCAGAACCAGGCTCCACAATGCACACGAGGAATGAGACAATCACGGCAGGGGAAGGCGGCGCACTGCTAAGCATATAGAACCGCCTGAAAGGACTGAATATATCCTACACAGAAAGGTCAGACACCAACTTCTTGGTTACACTTTTTACTCTGCAAACACCAGGTGTACACCACATCTCCCAAGCCATCAAATTCGCTTGACTCTGCTGTCAGTGTTCTTAAGCGCGAAGAACTAACTCCTCGAAGTTCTAGCGAGTTCTTCAGCAGCCCGCCTGACTCCAGAGGAGAGCAGGACGTGTCGATAAATGTAACGATCATCGGCATAGCGGGGAGAGTAGAAAACAATGCCTGCAGTTAGCACACACACACACGCACACACCAAGCACAGAGGTCACCACTTGAACTATCAGGCAATCGAATACCCTAAATGAAGAGCAGCTGCCAGCTACTGCAGCAGCCCTCAGTGCACTGCGCATCCGCAATTGTTGCTGAAATGCTCTTGCCTCAGGAGCACGTGCTTGTAAGGACATACCACAAGGCGTGCTTTTGACAGGGTACCTGCTTATATCAGACACCACGAAGTCGCCGTTAACCTGTTCAGCCAAGTGTCTGTCCACGGGAACAAAGACAGCGGTGTAGCGGCCCTCTGCTCGGTGCAACAACTCTTCACGCAAATAGGCCGAGCGGGAAGCATCAGCTGCGGCGAAACCATCCATGTTTGCACGGCATTCGGGTGCAGTGTCTGAGAAAGGGGCCCCACTGAGCTTCTCGTGCGCGTCGCCAGTGTATGACGTCGCAGGATCGGAGCCGTGCGGTGTCGCCGCTGCTAGTGTCTCCAGAGATGCCGCTGCTGCCAACCCACGCTGCCGCTGGCGCTGAACAGGTGACCACAAGCGACAGCAGGCTTCCTCCTTTTGCTCCTCCTCTCGTTGGGGGGCATCGGATTGTGTCATGCATGGGGTGGGATGCAGTAGGGTGCACGAAGCGTCGTAGGGTGGCATTATCACCGCCTCTGAAGTAGCAGCCTCCTGCTGTTCCCTTCGCCTTGCTGTTTCTGGTTGCCTCTTTCTTGCATAGGCGCGTGGGGACGCACTGCCTGCTATCGGCTCGTCCCTCCCCGAGGCGCAAGTAGACTGCAGTGTTTCGGTTTCGCAGCCGCTGCTGCAGCAAATGCCAATATTTTGCACTAGGCTGGCTGCTGCTGCTGCCGAACACCGACGACTGCGGCCCTTCGTGCTGCTGCTGCATCGAGCTTTCAAGGGTGCCCAGCGCAAGAAGTCATCTGCCTTGCCTGCTGCCGCTGTTTTAGAGGCTGTGAGCTGCCGAGATCTCCAGTGACTCTTGCGCTTTTTGGGGGAAAGACACGTCTTGCTCTCTGTGTGCAATCGGCCCCAAGGGCTCTCCGCCAGGTACGAGGCCCCCTTGTCCGCCGGCAGCGGGGGCCCCGCTTGAGCCTCTGGCTGAGGGGCCCCTGAAATCTTTCCTTTGTGAAATCCGCATTGAATCGGGAGACACTGCGCTGAAAAGGGGGGCAACGGAAATGCAGGCTCCTCCTGCTGCCTCTTGCGTGCTGCAGAGGCCTTCATCTCGGGCAGCGACAGCAGCGCTGAGAGTTGTGAGGGCCCCGCCAAAAGAAGTATCGTAAGAGACCAAAGAGGACTAACGGATATAGAAAGACTGGTAATCCCTCTAATACAGAGAGAAACGCGCTCAAGTGTGAACCAAGCAGCAAGAGACACGAAAAGGGGCGGTGCAGAGGGCCCTGGCCCACGCGCTCCTTTGCCAATGCTTCAGCGGCTGTATGAGGAATAAAACAGCAGAAAAAGAAAGTCTTCATGCTGCAATGAGAAACCAAGGATCTCCTAGCGCATGACTATGCATCTTTCTGCGTGGGCCATGTAGACGTGGAACAGCAGCAGAGAGGTTGCCTTGTCCGGGGAAAAGACTGGAAATCTTTGATGCCTTTTCGCTCAACAAAGCTCTTTAACGAAACGAAAAGGAAGCAACTAGAAATGTGCAAGACATTCCAACAGTTTAGCCATGGAATGGAGATACCTGCGGTGGTGAAGCGCATTGCCGACGAGGCACAGGTGCGGGTGGGACGACTCGAGACACGATGAGATAGAAATACGAATGTACTCACCTTTCCTAGCTAACGACTCAGCTAGCCAACTGGAACCACGTAAAAACATCTTTGCGGATCGAGAGATCTCCCGATGTCCTCCTAGTGGGCCACGGTCTGGACTGGCAGCGCAGATCAGGCCAAACGGCTCCCACAGGGTGTTGACAAGAACGACCAGGGCACCACCAAGTTCTCCTGGACCTGTCATGGATGTAATTCCACCAAATACGCTGAGTATATTGCACATATTCTTTTTGCGAGGCACTTAATACTCGTGGAGGGATATTTATTCCCTCTGATCAATCCCGAATGCCCCCACAAACTGCATCCTGCATGGGGCCCCTCTCGTCCTCCATGCAATGCAGGACAGACTGTAAGTTTCTTGATCGTTTGTGCTGCGCGAGGTATAGCATTTGATTTAAGTTTCAAAGCATACCCACTCCATGAAATCATTAAGCACCATCATGGATGCCGTCATGATCCAGCTCGCTCGCAAATGGGCCTTGCATACTGGCGCGGACACGGGAAAAGAACGTGCTTTCGGATGTCTCCTACTACGCCGTGTAGTCCATAGAGGGTGACTTTGCACGCTTCTTTTAATGCATGCCTAAAAGCGGTTGCATTTGTAACAGTGGTCTATTGTTCAATAGTAAGCAAGACGTCTTGACCCAAGGGGCTCCAGGTAGCCAGCGCCTCTCCACACGCCATTCCATAATTTGCCCGAACGCAAAGCATGACTGAGGAAGACAACAGGCGACCAGGTTGTTGCTAGAAAATGCTGAACGGCTACCTCCGGTCGGCGCTAGGTGATGAAAAAGTGGCTATCACGATCAATATTATGCGAATAATGCGTACAGTTCGTGTGCATGCAGTCCTCTTCTGTATATAGAATACTATTTCCTGACTAACTCGTTCTGGGAAGTCTGTAGCAGCCTAAAATGCACTTAAGAGGCACTGTAACGCGCATCTTAAAGCCACGTAGGGGCATACTTAACTGAAGACTCAATACAAACCTAATAGAGCTATTAGGTGCTCCTCAAAAGAACTTCCACTTTTCCCCTGCCCATTTCTCTCAGTTCCCAAGATGAGGCTAGAGGGACAGCCGTGGCTGAACCCTCTAAACACTCAGGGCATTAAACGCTCGCATGGAGTATCTAGCGGGGGCCCACGCACTGCGTTGCTTCTTGTGTCGAACTAGCAGTACTTTGCAATAAATAAATTATGGGAGATAAACCCAATCGCCAAATCTTTACTAACTCTTAGTTGAGTATAACTATCTTTCAAAAATTGAGAGACAGCATAGCTCGCTATGTTCTCTCCCTATTCAAAAACCTATGCCCTCGAGTGACTGTGCCTCGAGAGAAACGCCGTGGAGGACAGCGGAAGCGTTCCCATAGTACCAACACTCCTCAGGCAGTCAGGAAAACGAACACAGTGCAAACAGAAAACACGAATCAATGCATCAACCTCTAAAGTGTAATCGACTGGAAGAAAGACACACGCTAGCCAGCTGCGGACGGGCATGTTTGCTGTGGCGAGGTGGCCTGCTGTCGTTATAAGAATTTATTAGCCTCCTCCTACCAGGAAACACAGGAGTATATCACATGAAGCAAATTTGGCTGCACACTTCTTCAACGGTGTTTTCACTCCTAGTAGAGCAATATCTGCACGCAAGTAGAGCCGTCGCATGCAGCATGATCGACTTAAACGCCCCAAAAGAGGCCTAGGCAAGATATAGGGACAACATACTTACGAGTGTCTGTGCATGAATCTGAGTGTTGAGAACGCGTAGACAATAATGGGCGTGAACCTATCAAGCAGTTCCCATACATAAAGGTAGCTAGCTCAGGCAATGCATTTGCTGAAGAAAGTTTTTAAGCAACGCAATAATTACTGTGGAGGGTGACTAGTGTTGTGAATCACACGAAGTCGAAAATTCTCCTCCAGGCAGCAAAACCTTCAGTAGCTCCTCCTTCATCCACTGTGGCCGACGTTCTCCACCATGTTCCACTAAAAATTCTTCTCATGTGTCTTCTACGCTCTACAGTCCAAGAATCCAGCACTTCCACGGCTCCCTATAATTCTCCCACCTCCACACAAGGTACTGGCCTGAGCGGCGATGTCCGTGAACAATTCACGGAGTTTTTCAATTCTTGAGGAAGCCAATATTGATAGATCTGTGCCAGCTCTATCTGTAAGGGGAAGCGATAGGCTAGAAGAAGCACCGATTCATGAGAGAATCGCAAATGGTTCCAGCAAACGTGGAACACGTGTCTTCGTCTGATCACCTTCCGATGTAGCTCGTAAAGCCTGCCGATCCAGCAGAAGCAAATCTCCAGGCTTGAAGCACACAACCCACTGCCGAGTCTTATAGTTTCTGCGTTGTGTCTAATAAGCTTTGTGCATACATTTACGTGCACTAGCCAGCTCTTGCCTAAATTCCTCCCCAGTGAAAGGCGGCTTCGAACAACGAGGCCCAGGCTTGGATCGGACAGATTCCTCAGTGCGCACCCTTTATGCAAGAAGGCAACGAGTTGACGAGTGTACTGCTGTATCCTGAATCCACTCAACACAAGGAAGAGAAGCAATCCAAGCGTTTGCATTGTTTGTGAGCATAGAGCTGCAATAATGCAGGAAAGTTCGGTTTTACGCTCCATCTGACAATCTCCTTCGCGGTGGTGCGCGTTAATAATGTTATGGCTCTTTTATAAGCGGATTAAAAAGCGAATTATGAATTTCCGTCCGTAATGCTACTCCTGGGGAATCCAAGAAGTTTTCTATACATTAGCTGAGGTTACTTCATCGACCTCCTGAAGCGTGGAAGGGCCTGGAGCAGGGGATGAAATTGGCATACTTTCTGGACAGGTCATTTACGACGTAGATAGTCTCCTGAGCCTTGACCTCTGGCAGTCGAACAAGCTGCATTTGTCAAATCATGTTCAATCTTTGCAGAAACCGGAAGGCTTTTCATAAGGCTCCAGGGCTCTAGAGAAATGTGCGGCTTCAACTGCTGACAATTTGCGCATGATAATATATCCTTCTCCGCTGCTGGAAGCATCCGTGGCCACCAGAAGAGCCTTGTTTTTGCTTTTCTGTTGTGGTGTGAATCTCAAAAGAACACCAGCATGAGCTGTGTGCAAAACGGCACTTGAAACCAAGCTGGAATGTACGAACAACCGGCTACTTGCTTTGTCTCGAACAACATTAGGTCATCCTCACCATCGTACTGCTTAACCTAATCGCAATATTGGATTGTGGCAGTCGTAGCTGATGCATGGGTGCCGAACGTACGAGACTCACCCAGCTTCGCAGAAACCGTGATCGCATTTTGGACAAAAGCGGTTGCGCTGCCCGAGGGTGAGCCGCTTGGCCGTCATGCGAGTGCGTGGGTGGCGACTTTGATGGCTCCCCTGATGACCTCACTATATTGTCTCACTGCAGGAGACGCCCAAGCTAGCAAAAATTTCTAGGGAAATCAAAGTCCGAAAAGCTCCTCATAAGGTACCCTAAGACTGATGTTCAGTATAGAAGGTGACAAAACTCACATAAGTCGCACTGGCATTTCTTTGCCTCCCACCACACCGCATAGTGTTTCTCTTCTTGCACTGCACACCGCTACCCAGATCCGGCGAACCACAGAAAATAACGAGCAATATCTTGGTGTTTTGCAGAACCAGCAGCCTGCGGGGAGACAAAATCTTTAAATACTACGGTACTGGCATCGGCTGTTCATGGAAAAATGATGCGCATGATTGGACAGAACGAGTACGGAGGAGGGGAAAGGCGGCCAATAAGCGCCCTTCCTGCGGCACCAGCCCTCTCTGTCCAGGTCACAGACTGCTTTTCCGAAGTAGACTAGGGAGTAGTGATCCAGGCAAGCCCAGAAAAGAAGTTCGGCAATAAGATGCAGCCCAAAAGAAAAACTTTGCCTCTTCGAGCGTGATAAAAAATAAAGATCACGCCATAATTGGTTGAAACCTTTCACACAGGCTCCAAGAGCTACAGTTTTTCTCACATAAAGTGAACACCTGCGCGCCTCCACATACCTCTGCGTGTTCCATTACAGCTGAAACGAGTGCCAGAGGCGCCACCCGTGGCCATGCATGTTTCCGCTGAAGACTAAGATACCGTCCATGTAGACAGAAATCGCAGTTAGGCGGCACTGCGACTGCGTCAAGAGCTGCTTTCAGCGTAGCTGGAGCAGGGCGCTAAGCACAAACACTTAAAATGACTAGAGACTCTGCAAGCCCCTAGTTTATCAGACACCTTAACCCAGAGAGAAATCAGTGCTAGTGCATTTATATCTGTATCGTAAAGTAATTAGAACAATCTTCGACTTTGATAATTGTGTGGAAGGATGTCATGCGGCTGTCATAATTTCTCGCTGTTTCACATCGGCCACCTAGAAAACGAAATGGAGTTAAGCTATGGGCAACGTTGAAAATGAGGAAGCAAGCAAACATACAGCTTTTTTGATAACTGCTAAAAACGTGGCAGGACGCTCACTGGGCCAATGGGGAGCTGATTACCTCGAAGTATCAACTTGAATTGCCCTTACTAATGCACCTGGATGCCATCACTGATCATATCAGTCTTGAGTGTTGACTTCGCATAGAGTTGCGCTCTCCTGAGACACTGAACTCTGTCTATTGGCCGAAAGTATTGATATTGGTGCTGGGTTCTTGCTTGCAGACTGGCAGCAGACGAACCAGTGAGCATGAAAGCACGGGAGGAGTGATTACACCCAAGGGTTCCTTAATAGAATACTTCTGATTATTTGGAGAAATACAAAGAATGTTTCATAAGCGATATACGCTTTGCATACGCTTAGAAAGTATAAGGACAGTATTACGTTTGGGATCTCTATTGCACCTGCGTGCACTCGGCCCGCACTAGAGATTTTACTACCCCGTCACCTTGAGGAGGCTTAGGAAACCACTGGAAGGCATCATCAAGCGTCATGCCACCAGTGTGTTCCCCTTTGCTGTACAATGCATTGAAGCAGCCATTTACAGATGTGAGAAAGGTTTATGGAATTATGAGTAATCTCTTCGATACTATTTTTACCCTTGACACCCTACCCTCGAGTCCCTCTGCCCCTGAATGCTCATTGCTCCCTTTTCACGCTATGACATGCAGTGCTGCTGCATTAGGTGGCAACCGGCGAGCTGAATCCAGCAGAGTAAAGAACAGTAGCATTCGACATAGCTCTAATTAAGTAGGCAATATGAAGAAACCGAGAAAGACGTACATCAGAAGGTGCCTCAACCTCTGGCTTCTAATGCACACGTCGCTGTGTCAGCTAAATGGTAACTTGCATTAGTTGCATAAGAAGCTGCTGTGTGCCACTACTTTTGCGAAACAGGGGTTTTCCGCTGCTACTTCTGCAGAGCGCCTCTATTACTTGTTGAAGACAGGCCTTCCTCATTCCTTCACGTTCCAGGCTTTTTCCGTGCCTCTCTTAGCTGCTTTAATAGTTGGCTTTCTTCAGGAGTAATCTTTTCTGGTAGGGATACCTGAGAGATACGGATGCGCAGCAAGCAGCAATAGGAAGAAACATATTCTCCTGTAGCACATCTACCAGCAAAGCTCTGCCATTTGTGAAAAATCGGACGTTTCAGAACGCGCGCATTACAGATAATTGGTAATAGAGTGCTGGCTCACTCTTAATGTTACTACATGATCCCCACGAATTCCGTGAGGGTTCCCAGGAACCTTAGCGCCTCTTCCCTTCAGAATAAGCTTCTGAGACGGCTGCCAGTTAGGCGGGATCGTTAGTTCCGCCTCTCCGTCGATCGTTTTCACCATCTGAGAAGCAAATGAGGGCCAAGAAAAGGAAGCTTCGCGAAAATCCTTTGCAACTGGCGCACTGCCGCCTTGATGAAGCCCCCCCTAAGGCAGCAGCATCGGTGGAGCAAATCGTGCCGTTGCGGCCTACGATTTTGGATCCTAGCGCAGCATCAGCAATGCCGATTGATTCCTCGCTGTGCACATCCGCCCCCTTTCTGGTGAAGTGGCTATGTTGCTCGACGCGCACAGTTATGTACCTGGAGAAGGTAGGGGCACACGATTTGCGCTAGAATAAGAGACTGAATGTACTTTCCTGGCAGTCTGGAAGCCGTGGCACAGAATTTCCTACAAAAAAGCAGCGTCCCCTCTAGATTTGCTGGTCTGGCTCGATTCAAGTGCGGCTGCACAGCAGCCCTCGAAAAACTCACAAATCTCCACGTGGCCCTCCGTTCTCTCCTGCACTTCCCTGGCCTTCAACGCGCAACAGCGCACCGTCGGCAACTCCAGCCGGAATGCCAACCTGCGCAGCACCCACAAATAAGGTCCAGAAAGGCGGCCGATCAGTATGTATACGTGCGGGGATAGCGGCTTTGGAAGGTTTGGCAGAGGTGTATACTGGCTGTACACCTGCTGACCTGCAGGGTGGTTTTGCACGGCTGTCTCCCGTGGCCCCCACAGTTGCCACATCGAGGAGGGGGATGGTGGCCTATTCCTCCGCAAGCTGGACAGCTGATGGAGGTGGAGACAACGCCGTAGGAAGAGCGTCTTGTCTGAGGAAAGAAGCGCATCCAGCAGCATCCCATGTCTCAGCGATGGAAGCAGCAGCAACGACACCAGTGAAAACGGTGGTATCAGGGTCACTCACTAGCAGGGAGCCGCTGGAGTGCCAAGATCCTAGCGTAGCAGGATCATTCTTGGAATATATATATATATATGTATATGTATATATATATAGGGTCTGTGTTGATGCCTTGGGTTAAATGCGGGCCGTAAATAGTGACGTTTATTCGCACGTGAACAGCAGATCCATGACCGAGCTCACCTCCGTCTTCATCCCCCTGCCATCGCATGCTTTGCAAGGAGCGGGCTTTCTGCGGCCTGTGCCTCCCGTGCCTGTGCATGCTTCGCATGCCTCTAGCCGGTTGACTGTGATGGGAATCGACGGGGCCCCCTCCAGGGCAGCTGCAACAAATCCCAAGGTGACTTGAGCCTCCACATCAGACCCCTGCTTCGGAGTTTGCTCAATCCGACGGGCTTTAGCTCTTGTGAGCAAAGAGCTGCCGCCGAGGAGGCCATCCCCGAAGAGCTCTGAGAACAACTCCAATGGTCGTCGCGGTACAGCCTCAGCTGTGGCGTCGTCAGACGTGGCCTTCGATTCCGAAGTGTTCTGTTTTTTCTCATCGTTGGAGCGAGTATGCGCAACTGAACTGTCCGGGAGTTGGTCTAGCAAAGCCGATAGAGAGGCGGGCAAGACGTTGTCTCTGGAATAAGCAGCGCGCTGCTGTGCATCCTGCAACACTGTCACGGTATCACGTAAAAGAGATGAAAGGAGGGGATCTGGGGGAACCGAATCTCCGCTAGAAAGCTGCCGCAGTCGCTGCTGCAGCTCCTTGGCTCGAACAGCAATGGCCGAACCGGACGACTCAGGTGCAATGCCCATTAGCCGGTATAAGTCAATCCTTGCATGCTTCTGGTTTTGTTGCGGTGTCGGCTGCTGCTCATTTGATGAGCCTGGAGAAACCTTTCGACGGCCAAAGAAGGAGGAGAACGACTCGAGGGCACTGTTACACGCCACAGACTTCCGACCTCCTGGGATTCCGTTCGAGGCCTCTTGGCCGAAGAAAGCACCCACATCTGCAAGACGATGAGAAAGAGGGAGGTTCGAAAGCCGTTCAAATGGGGCGATATAGAAAGTAGAGACTTGAATAAACTGTATCTCCAATGAAGTCAGAAGCAGTGTAAAGGCAATTGCATAGCGAGTCGAGGACCTCAGCAGGATCGCCATCGCTGAGAGACCACTGCAGAAAGGTTTTTCCAGTCGCAAGCCTCAAGCTCTCGGGCATTCAGTCTTATGAAAGCGCCATATGGCCTCTTTTAGGTGGAGTTCTGCGCCGAAACGAGGCCTGGTGTAAGGGAACAGCGAGTCTCCCACGCACGCCAAATGACAATTAGCACACAGGACCGATCGCATTCACATAGAATCATTGCAGCAAAATCAGAGCGAACAAAATATTACACCACTTAGACGCTGGGAAATTGAAACTGAGTGGCGGAACTCTACGTGACCGGTTTGAGTAACTTTAAATACAAAATCTCTTCCTCTCGCGGACCCCACTGCACCCACTATCACAAAATGCAGAATTAGAGCAATAACAAACTTGCTAATTAGATTTGGAGGGCTTCTTGTTGAGCCTGAAGGGATGAAGAGAGGTCCCCACACGTCGGCACCGACGTGTCTGACAGTTTCACTTTCAGCTCACACACAGAAGAATACATATGCGATAATTCATTATCGTTTCTGAGACTACTTGTGAATTTTAGAGCATGAAATCCAACGACTGAGCTAGTTTAAAAAGCCACCAGAGGAGTAGTGAGGGTAACGCCCTGTAGCCTTCTGAGGGGCAAGACATGACAAACGGCCGCTAATGAAGCGTGGTGAGAAGTTTTGAGTGATCGCAATACTAATCTCCCTCAAGCCATTTATGGTGCTTTTTGGGTACTGCTTGCAAACCTTCATAGGCGCAAACTAGTGCCCAGTTCAGGGTAGGGCTGCCCCTAGTCCGTTAGCCAGTGTACAAAATCGCATGGTTGCTAAGGCAAACACGCTGTGACTAGCTGTAGGTATCGTGTCTATGGGTATTTAGTGCTGAAGCATATTTTTCTGAAGGACCTTCTTTAAGTGCATGGTAGCCCCGTATAATGTTGTGCCTATCACGCCAGCAACGCCTAGCCACATTCTTTCAAGCTAGTTATATTTCAGCAGTAACTAGCTGATAACCGATTTTCTCGCATAATAATTTGATGCAGATTAATGCTAGTTCAATTGAGTATAAGTGAACACTGTAGCTTTCGCATGCTGTGCTACCCAGGCACGTGTACCAAACAAGGTGTATTCCGTAGGGAGATACTTCACTCCAGACTCCTTTCAAACAGAAAGCTATGACTGTTCATGCAAAAATGCTTTTTTCCTTGTACGCGCACCTCAGTGCAGCGGGCAAAGCAATACTTGAAATCGTTCTACCACGCTGGTGCCAAGTCCTAGTGAGGAGTTAACACACTGAGTCGTCTAACAGGATCTCTTGTCTCTTGCATATGACTTCTACATCAATACAAGAATGCGAAGAGGTGTTGCGTGCACGGCGCTGGTTGTTCGCTCCGTCCAAGTAGCTGTGAATGCTCCGAATGCCTACAGGGTGCAGCTAGGGGGGCTACAGTTATTTTTTTCCCCCTTCGTGAGGACTCTGAAGGGATGGGGGAGGGGATGAAGGATATTTCCCTACGCACAGCTTTCTCTTCTTTTTTAAGGGTCTAGAGCTAGATGTTTACCTGGAGAGCACAGATGGAGCGTTGGAGTTGGTAGCAGTGCATCGTTCAGTGCAGCTCTTTCCTGCACTTCCACTAGCTGTTAATAAGGTAAAATGCCAGTTTCCCCTTTAAAATTCCTGGCTTTATTAAATGCATATGTTGATTCAATAAAATGATTCTTTTTTGAGCTGTCCGCTGGCGCTCGAAAGATATGCTCGCACCCTGTCTCTTTAAGCAGGCCGAGACCGCCCTGCAAACTGACGTGAATGCACTCAACACATAATGCTTAGCGTCCGCAGACTCGGTGTGCCCCTCCTCTTGGTACCAGTGATCAAAGACTTGACAAGGCGGTTGGGGGCGTCTCTCGCTCTGCACCATCCGCTGAGGTACAAATGCTTCTTGCGAATTTGTCTATTGGAGTGGTGGCTCTATTCATGCAGAAGAAGTCGTCTCCCTGTAAAGGAATGCTACATTTGGAGCCTTCATTCACACACTGAATCATTGGTTCATTTCAAAATAAGCTCAACAGCAAGCTTTTGAATAAACCAAAGACTCTGAAGCAGATAAATTAATCGAAACCTCAGTGTGATATTTAAAAATAAAAGCTTTTGCAAAACCCAGACGCTACAACGTACACGAACGGTGTAAAGCTTTATAAAAGAATGTTTTTGTCTTTCCGCATGCCCCTGCCCGCGTTTCCCAGAGTTCCTGACACGAAGTAAGAGGCGCAGCTACAGTGCGTACCCGGGTTCTCTAAGCGCTCGCAGCACTGAACGCTACTTGCACAAAAGCGCACACGGAAGAACACTGCTAATGTACAGGTGTCATCAAGACAAACCGTTAGGTCACCAGTGCTGGGCACTGCATTTGCATTGTTATCAAATCCATGCAGGTCCAGAGTAGTTAGGCCTCAGGTGACCTCTCTGTATGAGTGTACACAATAGCTTCTTGTATTTGTGGCTACACCCGTCAATGAGGAGTATCGGGTCTCCTCCTACTGCTGCTTCTGCTAAGCTGACAGGGGAGGATCTCTTCTGACAGCATCAGTAGAAGCAGTTCGCTTGCGCAAGCGAGCGCGCTATGTTGAGTATTCTACACTACAGGCACTGTAGCCTGTTAGCTGTCCACACGGCAAATGCAGGCCTTAGCGATACGGATGTAATCGTGAAGTTTACATCTTCTCACTTTTTACTGTGATTGAGGCTTTCATACAACAGTTTTATGGCGACGCCGGGTTTCTAGTGAGTTCCCAGGATGCTAACAGGATACCAATAAAGAATCAACCTCAGCTATGGGTATGACAGCTCGTGGCTCCTTGTGCTGGAGCCCTATCGATACCTCAGGTCCCTCCTTCCTTGTGCTGTATACTGTCATTGATGGCATTTACCATGCGAAGGGGACTACTTGGCAGTTTCAATAGATACAGGAGCATATCTAGCTTCATGTTACGAATACATTAATTTAACTGATGAATTTTGCTCAGCTGCACTAAAAAAACACAAGTTACTCAAGGTGTGTAAACGCAACGTGGAGCAGGACGAGCAAATCTTAAGCGCATTTTACTACACGTTATGTTTTGATAAGAATTTTCGCAGATATTACGACATGGTGTGGCTATTCGCATACGACCTATGTTGGAGCCTATACTTTACTTAATGCCATAGGAGTTTTCATCCTGTGCTTGTGCTCTTGCTGCTGCACACAGCTGGTGTGAGTGCTCGGAGTGACTGAAGGGAAAAGCAACGTATGCCGTAGCGGACAGCCTCCCCACCTGCCCGAGCACTCCAAGCTGAAGACCGAAAAAGGGGAAGTTCATTGGAGGTATATTAGGGAGTTTCGGCACGTGCCATTTTCGGATTGGGGCAGAGCTTTTGTGTGTGGACACCCTAGATAAAGCGCCATAGAACGAGTAGAATCACGCGTGGGGTGCTGAGCTTAATTGCAAGGTTGTGAGTACTGAGCTCTCCGACAAGCGTTAAGCACTATTTAAATGCTGCCATGAATTACACTGTATTAGAGAGTATCTATATGGGATGTAAGTTCAAGGAAGGCAGCATCGCCCAACGGCCAGCTCCATAGTGGCTCGATCCTGCACTGCGTTCACGCTTGCCTATTGCCACATTCTACGACTTAAGCTGCAAGCACCAACCAATTCTTCGAGCCCTTTGCATAAAACGTGCAGGGGCTACTTTGGAGTTAAGGCACTCTCGGAGCTCTTATAGCATAAGGATTTCCGTTAAAACATGCGGAAGCAGTGTACTAAAGGACAGTGGTAGCTGGACCAGGAACACCTGATGGCGCTGCACTGAACTCTTGGCGTTTGATGTTAAGGAAGTGTCGTTAAATAAAAGTTCAAACAATTTCAAGCTAGGCATAATCGAAGCCTGAACTCGCATGATGGCCTGAAACGATATGAAGGTCGTTTTATTAGAAGGCACGCTTTTATCGTCAGTAAAGTAGTTCATTCTTTTTTTCGATGCCTTCGTAAACTTCAGCCCTTAACTTTTGCGTGTGATGGCATCTATGACAGTCTCGCACATCGGCAAGGCGCCTCTTTCTCTAGCGCGTGAAGATGAACTTGGAGAGCCTTGATGACCAGGCAAAATAGAATACCATATTTTCCACAATATCACAACTATTTTTCAGTCATGCAGAAGTTTTTCTGTTTGGGGCAATGTCAAAGCATTGTTTGCCATCAGCCGATGGTCAGGCTTTATTGTGTCAACACGCTGTGTAATTCTACAATTCATTACAAACACATTTGCTATTGTAACCTCTGTCAAGTGCACTTTGTCTATATTTCAGGACAGAATGATTAGTGCAGCTGCTACGCTGATTCGCCTAGCTTCTATACAATTAATGAAACGTGATACACAGGCTGTGCCACCTCCAGAACGGTCATATAAGTCATTGGGGTGGTGATAATCTTGCTAGGTTGATTGAAACGTTGCGCAAACGGAAGATACAACCTCTGATCTGTGTATTAGTGCGAGATTCCGCTTACATACTGCAGATATGGGCCGAACAGCGAGGCTGAGCTTTTCAGATCAAGCATGGCCAGCTAACACTGCCCACGTTCCAGAGGTCATGACCACTATGTTGGCATCAACTGGCCTCTTGCGTACCACCGTTGTTCAGTCTGTCGCCCGAAGTTGTGCAATTGCCGGGGGCGATGTTTCCATAAAGGCAGCGCAGCATATTAGGCAAGCAGGATTCCCAATGATTGAGAAGGCAGCTACCAGCATGCTTAACGGAGCCATCGTAACAGCCCCATGAGCCCACACAGGGCTCAGAGCAGGACTGCTTGATTCAACACTTTCAACAAGACAATATGAAGACATCCCAGGTCTTCCTGATCCACCATCAGTGCTCTGCGCTGTGACGAGACATTCGTCTGCATAAACGAAGGCGACCGTGAAATAAAGTATCGCAATGGTGAGATTTAGGAATCCTGGAGAAGACATTCTCATGGGACGGCGGCCCAAGTGCGTGGAAGTCCACATAGAGAAGCGCACCAGCGTATGGAGGTAATCACTCTCTCTCTCTCTCACTGAATCTCCCCAAGGCTGTTCCTACCAGTCATATAGCTCGTTTATAGCATGAAATCACTACATGGCTGGCTGGATGGCAGCCCTCCAATGCAACCAAAACTACCGTTTGGCTAGAGCTCTTCATATGACTGAGCAGCAACATGGTCCCGCTACCTCCTGAGATTTCAACGCTATAGCTATTGCATAGACGTCCTTGAGTTTGCAGCTTTAGCGGCATAACTATCAAGCAATAGGCAAAGTAAATTTTGCTTTGCTTGTACAGACGATGGTGCCAGCAATGCAGGACCAACGGTGGCCTGGCATCATGCAGCGCAACTATCAAAAACACGGCAGCCTCGCCGTTTGCAAATAATCTGACTCCAGGGGACTATACAAGAGAGCCACAGATAAAGACGCAGGTGATTCCTACATCTGGTAGACCAACTCGAAAACCTGGGCGACGACGTGCCTAATTAAGGGAGGCTATTTAGAGATAGTAAACAAGCACTGAAATAGGGGAAGTTTGACTCCTTGGCGAATCGTCAGAAACAAACCTATAGGGCATATCCGACATTGGTATTGCATGTATGTATAAATAAGAGAGCACCTAAGGTGATTTGTGGTTTGAGCGACTGAGTGAAGTTCAGTTGAATTCACATTAGCGGTAACATCACCCTTGTTATACTTCGGCTTACAATACCCGAACACAACGGTACAATGAGAATAGCAGGGCCACTGTAGAAAAATCGAAGCCACTACTAGCAGGGCCAGCTTTAAGTAAAAAAACATGGCATTCGGTACTTCACAGAAGGCTTCTGGCAGTACATTGGCAAAACCTTTTTCTAGAGCATCCTGTCACACAGTCCCCTCATTCGAGATGAAACAGTTTTTCTCTTAAACTATTTGGAACCTAAAATACGAATAAGGTTTCCCGGTGACGTACATCGCAGCTTGCAGTGCTCTTTGTGGGTGCTGTTTACAAATAACCTGCAAACAGCATACTTTTAAGGAGTTGTACGGGTTAGCCATGAAGCGCTTTGCGCTTATTGAAAGCGCAAGTCCTCATGATATGTTCCGTCTGTCGTTACCTGTGCCATTAGCATCGGATTCTGGTTAATTTGATGACCCTCTGCTTCATCAGGGTTAGTATACTCAATGTATACTGTCCTTAAAACTGCGTCAATAAGTAATATCTTATGAGTCAGAGGTGTTTAGCATGGCCACGGCGTCAGCTGCGAAAATCGCTCCAATCATTGCACTTGCTCTGAATGGAGAGTCCGTGAAGCTTCCAGATATGCATCACAAGATCAAACTGGATGATGGTAATTGCTTTAGAAAAAGACATTTAACTGGCGAGAAAAGCGGCTGGAATAACGAAACTTACGTACGTTAGGTGCTTTTTGAGGCAAGACACCCTATGGCGGAACTCAAGCAAACTAAAAATGGAACCGTAGCTTATCGCATTTATACACTGGCTGAACGCACCGGAGAACTCCCACTGCAGGAGAGGTGGCTTTGCAGACAACCTGATTGGCCACACAGCCTACTTAGTAGACACCACTCTATGCCGTACACACATGGCTGCAGATCTACACAATGGTAAGCATTCAACCATCAGAGTGATTATTTCGGTACGCTCTGAAAGCTCATAAGGCTGTCAACACTTAGAGCCATTTTGTGCTGCATGACCACACGATGTGTGTAGCTTCCTAAGTGTACCAATTTGTTCCTCAAACGAGCCTTCAGATAGTAATTGGGCCTATATCAAGCAATTGAAATGAAATGAGCTAGGTAGCTTTTTCTAGTAAAAAATCCGCAATAGGAAATGGCTGCTGCATTGCCACCAGGTTCGAATGGCCCATCTCTTGCCTAGGCGTCGAACGTCACGTGTTTGAACGAGTCCCAGGGGGCAAGAAGTCAGCAAAGATCCGAGCCTGGGTGTAAGCACTTCCCCCAGTTCGCATGCCTCTAGAACTTGTGCGAATGACACAAATAAAAAAGTTCATTGTCCTGCCTGCTTCTCCCTGACGTATGTCACCGGAGGCGCGTGTAAGAGCGACTATTTACGCAGCTCCTGATATGAAGCTTCTTATGTGACTGGTACCGATCTGGCTGTAGGCGAGGAGTGTATTTTCTCGAATCATGACTCCATAAAAAAAAGTACAGCTTCATGAAGTGTTGGAAATCAAACGGAAGATTTTGCACGTTCTTTGGAACCTAGGCACTTACTTGGCTAAGCCTGCATAATGCCCGACCCTGCTTCTAGGCCGTTGTTGCATACTTTGCGAGTAACCAGCCTACGTGGCGTCAAAACGTTGCACGAGCCAACTTTAGGAGGCCTAGCGATTCGCATGTTTTCTAGGATGTTTCCAAAGAAAAGCTTGAATGGGGTTTTAGAGAAAAGTTTGATCAGATGGTTGATAACGGAAAAGCCGGGATGAATTGGATTACCTAGCCTTTCAGTGTCGAGCCGCGCCACAAGGACGGCTACGAAGAAGTTGAGCACGCTAATGCCAAAGCGCTGCCCCTTTTCCCCCGTTTCCCAGAGCACGCACTGGGTGTAGCGTCCAGCGCATATCACAAGACATTCCTAAAACGTAGCGGCGGGAGTCGTTTTGTAGGGAGTGCGAGGCCTGTAAATGGAATATCTTACTGTCACACGTTCGTTCAATTGCATGTCTGCATCCTTTGCGGGAACATCGCCGCCTTCCGCACCTTCTGCTGGCGGCCGAATGTACAAGTTGGTGACGTCGAAAGCGTCCTCGAGCCGGTCCTGAGGGTTGAATGGAGACACGAAAATCCTTCCGTCGACAGCACATGCACCAGCGCTTGGACCGCCACGTGTCTGCAACTGTGTCAAAGCAGCTGAGGGGAAGGCCACGATATGGGGAGTGTTGTCTCCGTCAAACATGAGTGGCTTTAGGCGGCCGCAGTCCAGGGGGATACGTGGACTGGCACCTCTGGGGAAAAGCGTGCGCTGCCTGAGCAAGGCGCGGCAGATTTGTTGCAGGCCGTCTTCCGCCGAACTCTCGGAGGCACGGGATCGTAGAGCATCCCCCGCAATCTCAGCCAAGGGATCGGCAGAACTGACGAGGAGATGCGTGTCGTTGACTTGTATCAGGCATGGATTGCCGAGGCAGTGTACAGTGTTGGGAAGCAGCTGCTGGAGATGTTGTTCCGCTGCTGCGAGATAGGGGGGTTGTGGAATCGGCTCAGGGTTCATGGCGTCTCTGCAGCTGGGAATGATGACAACACGCGTTCGAAGACCTTGAACAGCTGCTGAGAGGCGGCGAAAGAATTCCGCATACGCCAGTGAAAACTCAGGTGTCTGAAGGAGGGGGGCGCAGCGGCGGGCAGAAGGGTCTTTCGCATTGCTTCCAGAAGCCGTTGCTGGCTGCTGGAGGTTCAGCCAGGAGATAATCGGGCCAAAAAGAATTACCACGTGAGGCAGCAGCTCCCGAATTGCCGACAAGAGGCCGTTGAGAGCATTCCGGCTGCGGAGACAGCAGCATGCATGTGGAGAGGAAACTCGAGGAACCAACGTCATGAACTAGTTGCGCAGGAGAGAGAGAGACACACTCACATACGGCGCTCGAATCGGCTAGCTTTGCGGAGCCAGCCATAAGGGCCCTCTTAGCCCTGAGGCTTTCTCAATTCGGCTAAGCCTCTGTTTGCGATCTTCAAGGAGGTACGAGCTAGAGGAAAATGTGTGGCATACCGCAGCATCCAACCACCGTTGACCACAGGCACCAGAAAGGAGCAGCTCGCCATCATGATGTGCACGTTCTGCTTCTTGTAAGAGCTGCCTACATCGATGCTCTGCTCCTGTTGTTGTTGGTGCTGCTGCTGCTGCTGCAGTACAGACGACCGCCGCCTCACAGCCCCCAGTGTATCGAGAATGAGGAAGTCAGGATTCTGCGGCATCAGGGAGATAGCCTGCACCGGCCAAGGTACAGGTACACCGCAATGGAGGGCAGAGACGAGCAGCTGATGGCCGTAGCCGTCCTGAAGCAGCATGCGCACTTTGCAGGAGCACAGGAGATGAATGAGATGTGTGTGTATATATTTTTATAGATATGTATATGTGGAATTGCGCATGAACATGGAGTCAACGAATACGCGAATTCAGACGCACAAACCGCCATAACAGCTTCGGCATAAAACGTGCTGAAAAAACTGCAACACGCGCATTCTACTCGGCTCCTGCTTCGATGTTATGTACAGCAGCATTCCCGGAGGCACTTAGCCAGTAATCGCAAGTGCTGCTGCAACACGAGGACATCTCAGGTGCTCAGCATGCAGCACCTCACGAGCATCAGCTACAAGAGCAGCACCACAGTCTGACCAACTTGCCTGCTGCAAGCGGCCTCGTACGGCCAGGACCATTCCAGGGAAAAGAACGGTATCGGGTGCTGGTGTCTGCCTTTTCACACGCGATATTTGCCACTGCTGCAGCTGCAATTGCTGCAGCTGCAGTGCCTCCTGGAGATGCAGCAGCTGGAGAGGAGCGCTGCCATCGAAGGGCTCGAGCACCGCACTTGACCAACACAGCTTTCGGCCTCCCTCCGCTGCCAGCCTCCCCACCACAACCACCTCGCCCTGCAACACAAACACCACCACCTCCTGGATGTTTGCCAAAGAACTTGCAGCCTGCTTTCTTCGCACCAAAAGGAGGTTTCTCCTCGAAATCAGTCCACGGGCAGGAGCAATATGGGGCTAGCCTCTAGACAGTTACTCATTGGACTGCGCCATAAAAACTAGCGTCATGCATGTTTTTGTATGTGTATGTATTTGTATGTGTCTGTATTTGTATGTGTCTGTATTTGTAGGAGTATGCGTATGTATTCTATGTATGTGTATGTATTTGTTTGTATTTGTATGTGTATGTATTTGTGTGCGTATGTATTTGTATGTGTCTGTATTTGTATGTGTCTGTATTTGTATGAGTATGCGTATGTATTCTATGTATGTGTATGTATGTATCTCTCTGTGTGTATGTGTACATTGGCGATCGAGGTTTCCTGTTTGACTGGACTCGCCGAAGATTCCTCGGCGTCTTCTTCGCTCTTTAAGCCCCCCATTCGACGCCGCATGCGGCCCTTGAATTGTTGCACCCTGCACTGCTGCCAGCGCCAGTGCGCCTGCACACTGTCCGACATGCTGGAGGGGCTGAGAGCTGAGGAGACTGAGGAGGCAGAGGAGGAGTCAGCAGAGGCTCCGGAGGTGATGGCACTTCCCTCTAGGCCTACTGCAATCATTACCTGTGGGGATACGACAAGGCACAGGGAGCGAAACGGACATCGCTGCACACACACTCTCTGCGGAAGACAGGTAGAATGAAGTGCAGGAAGTGCACTCATGGAGGCCTTAAAGGAAAATTCTGGCGAAATTCGGCGGCAGAGGAGCTCTAGAAGCGCTATCAAAGATCAAGATACACATTGCAAAAAGGCGCTCGGCAGCGACAGAGGAGGCTAGATACACGGTGCAAAGGAAAGGGGGGAGAGGGGGAAATAGGGAAAAGAGGTGCTGAGGATGTATTGCACTTTGGAGGCGGAAAGCCGTGTGCGTGACTGCTGATTCCACTGCAATATGAGAATCGAGAGGGAATTTTCAGGGGGAGCATACGGGAAGAAACAAGCAGAGCCTTTAAAGAGAGAGACTTTAGCAGCTTTTCAATCAGCACCGGTAGGGAAGATGTGTAACAAGGCGGCGCAACCACACGGACCTGGTCCTTGTTGGTGCACCGATTGCCATCTGTGAAACCCTCTGAAGGGCCAAAAAGTATTTGCCTCTCCTCTGCAACACAGGCAGAACAGACACACACCTTCTATGAACAATGATGCACTTACACCCCAGCCTGTGCGCGTGCATTCCATTTGTGCTACACAGACCGTGAGAGCGACACTATGCATCCAATGGCCCAGCATACATATATATATATCTATAGATATATAGATGTATACATAGATATACCGATATACAGATACGGTAGGAAGATAGAGTGCGGTTTTTCCGCAGTTTCCACAACAAAGCACTGAAGGCACAAAATGAGGCATTGTGTTGGGTGTTTCTGTGTGTGTGCTCAGAGGGCTGAAGCCTGTCAGGTTGCCCTCACCTACAAAGTCCTTTAGTTCAGTAAATGGCTTATGCGCCAGCACCTGTGGAATAATGCCGTTAAGGAGCAAGGGGGAGGAGCCTTCGGAGCTGTTTTCGATAGGCACAGTCTGGCCTGTTGCTGCCGCTTCCAGCAGCTGCTGTAGCCGTTGCAAGGCCTTTTCCTGCTGCACCTCGGAGAGCTCACCAGCGCGGGCATGATTGGACGCAGTCTCTGCCAACGTATTGCCAAGGAAGTGCCATACTGCACGCGTATCAGGCGGTACAAGCTCCAGGACGCTGCTGCTGCTACCTGGGGTTAGCAGCTCCTGCAGCTGCATGAATACACCGGCTCGATCCAAAAGAGGTTCTTCTGTGTTCATTTTTTACCCTCAGAAAGCGAAGCGAGGAAAGGAAGGACGCTTACATGCGCCCGCGCGAGGGGGGCATGGAAGGGGGGAAGAAGAGTACTCGGAGCAGCTGTCGAAGACTCCTGTCTTGTTCCCTGCCGACAAACTCTATGAAATTCCACTCTCCGGAGGCCTCCTAGCTAATACACAGGCAGCTGGCACGCCGGAATGGGCGTCAAGGCTTCTATCCCATGGAGCGCACCCAGCGGATTTCCTGCCAGACTCGAAAAGACTCGTGCCGCAAAAAACGCAGTTTGTCGGCGTGCTGGAGCCATAAGGCCGTCTCGACAGAGAGCCGTAAGAAGGCACACCACTTCTGCCTCGTCAAGTTTTCGAAACGTGGGGGTGGGAGTGCAGAATTTGCGGTCTTCTACTCAGGGACCCCGTGTTACTTGGGGGTTCCAAAGGTTCTGAAGGGGAGGGAGCAGCCACCCCCTGCGTAGAGAGTCGATAATATGTGCCTAAAAGGGTGCCTTATGAGCAAAGTTGCAGCTTTACTGGCATACAGAAGCAACGAGCTGCAGGTGTTTCAAAAACCAACATGCTTTGGAAGCCCGCAGCAACGGAAGCAGTCGCCTCCAGCCGTCGAAGCCGCGGGAGGGTGGGTGTTACTGGGGTGGGGTCGCTGTTCCTGCGACTCAAGCATTTCTCAGGATACTGCATTTCTCCGCCGTTATAAATTCAAGATATTTGCTGAAACAAACACTACAGACGTGTCGAGCAGCACCGCTGCACCGCAATTCACAAAGCCGTCCATGGCTCCCGCGCCTCCTCTCCTCTGGGCACCACCTGCGAAGTCCACAGGCGCGCAGAGTTTAGGGGCCATAGGGGGCCCTCCGTAGAGCCTCTGCGAAAGATTTGACTTCAGGACTTCCAGCCAGCGCGTTCACAATGGTCATGTGCTGAGGTGCAGCACGCGGTGCGATCGAACGGCGAAGGGAGTTTTCCCAGAAGCCGACATCCACGGCTCTTCAGTTTTTCGCCGGAACCAAAACGTCCTTCAGCCGCTTCTATCGGCCCCTTTCTTCGATCATAACGCCGCAGCAGGCGCCTACGCTATGGGAGAGACACGAGGGAAGGGGGGCCCTCCGGCTCGCCAGGAGAAGACTCGCTTCTCCTGTTAGCTTCTCGGCACCAGACGTCACAGGCGGGTACTTTTGGCGGTTTCCCCCCCATAAAAGTCACGGGAAAGCGTCGCAGTATTTTCCCTCCTCGGAGCAAGCGCACCAAGGAGGGGTCCAGCAGCTCTACCTGGTCTTGCTTGGAAGGAATGGGCAGGTTGGGGGGGGGAGGGGGGGCCTTTTCAAGTCCAGTGCACACACACCATGCCTCTCAGCACCAGGCCGCCGCCTTCGGCAGTAGCTGAGGCAGCGACTTTCGCTGCTGCAGTGGCGCTTGAGATCCACAAGCTCCCGCAGCGTCGTGTGGCCTTCGCAACTGGTAGCATGCATTCAGAAGCTGCAGAGGCTCAAGCATCAAAGACAACACCGCACACCGTACAGCAAAGCGACCAGTCGGGGCTTCTAGAGAGGAGATTGCAGCTCTGTAACACAGCAGATATATGCCTCCTGCAAGGCACTGCGTGGGTTGCCGCCGATGCGCTGTGCACCGCATCTCTGCTGCCGCTGCTTCGCTGCATCTCTGCTGCTGCTGCTAAGGCTTTCGCAAGTAATATCCTGGCGGAGTTTGAACCTTCGCTGACACTGCCCTCCTCTTGTGTCTGCTGTCTTGCCCTTTGCTGCAGCGCAGCGCTGGCCTCCTCAGAGCTGCAACAGCCACACCTTGTGCTGCAGCTATGCCAATCACTTCCTCAAGATCTCCTATGTGACTTTCCCCCCTCTCTGCTGCTTCTGCTGCACGAGTGGCAGCAGAAACAGCAGCAGCAACAGCAGCAACAGGGAGGGACAGAGTGTACTTCTTTGCTAGTGGCCTTAGCTACTGCACTTAGAAAACGGTGCGGGGTAGCTGATGGGCTGCTGCCTTCAAACTCTCCTTCCGAGTCAGCAGCAGAAATAACCGCACGGCAAGCAGCAGCAAGTGCAGCTGCTGATTTTGCCGTGGCTGCTTTGGAAGCTCAAACCACAATATTGATTAGACTGCGAGAGGTATGCATCAAAGGGGGGGAGGGTGGGGGAAGATGGAGCATGCTGCGGCCTCTATCGGTGCTGTTGTTTCTGGTGCTGTTGTTGCTCTTGCTGTCGTTGTTGCTCTTGCTGTCGTTGTTGCTCTTGCTGCTGCTCCGCTTCTGCAGTTGCCCGTGTCGAGGGTTTCTATTTGCTTATCCGTGTCTCTTGTTGATCGTGGTGCATGGTAATTTGTACATTGTGTAGCACTTTTCGAGAAGCTGCCTGTGCTTCTGCTTCTGTAGCTGCCTGTGCTGCTGCTGCTGTAATTCTTCTGTAAAATAAATTCTCCTTTGCATGCACCTCTGCTTCAGGCTCTGTTGGAGCCGTTCTTGGGGGTCCGTCAATCCTCGCATTGCTCGAGTTTTGCAGTTCAAGAAGCAGCGCGAAGGGCCGCCGGTTTGTTGCGTTTCGGCACTTTAGCTAAGGAGGCGGCTGCGGAGGAGGAGATCCAAGAGCTTGTGCAGCAGCTCCGAGGAAGGGCAAGCCGATGTAGCTGCCTTAGAGTGTCTTCTGGAGGCTGCAGCCTGCTGTCAGCTGTCCTTGATGCGGCTCTGCAGGCACGCGTGCTGCTGCTGCATCCCCAAATTATGCCGTTGGTTGTTGAGCTAACAGCGGCAGCAGCTGATGTCTCGGCACTTTTTCATTATAGCAGCAGCGAAATCAGCACCAAAGCTGCTGCTGATGCTGATTTTGCTGCTGCTTTCTCCCCGCTGTCCAACGAGCAGCTTCTGTCTGCAGGCCGTCAGCTGCGTGCAGCAGCGCTGCAGCTCTTCCCGCCTGCATGCTTTGTTCTGCAACAGGAGCAGGAGGATGCGCTTCTAGGAAGCTTTCCTCCACTGCTCGAGGCTCCAAAGGCAAACAATAGTGGCATGCCGTCGACATTTCCCTCTCCGCGGCTGCTGGGAGGGTCTATGACAGACCGTCAAGACGGTGGGGAGCTTCAGAGTTCTACGCCTTCGTTCCTAAGGACTGCTGTCGTAATTTTTCGTGATTTTAGCTGCCGCTAGAAGTGTGTATGTGTATGTATGTGTATGTGCTTGTGTATGTGTGTATGTATGTGTATGTGCTTGTGTATGTGTGTATGTGTGTATGTGCTTGTGTATGTGTATGTGTGTATGTGCTTGTGTATGTGTGTATGTGCTTGTGTATGTATGTGTATGTGTGTATGTGCTTGTGTATGTGTGTATGTGTGTATGTGTATGTGTGTGTGTATGTGTATATGTGTGTGTGTGTATGTGCTTGTGTATGTGTGTGTGTGTATGTGCTTGTGTATGTGTGTATGTGTATATGTGTATATATATATGTGTATATGTATATATATATATATTATATATATATGTGTATGTGTCTATATATATATGTATGTGTGTATGCCATTCGGCAAATAAGGAAATTCATTGGCGCGCTTCCGCGTTCTTGCGTGTGTGTCTTGCTGCCCCTCAGCGTGGCTCGACCTGCTGCAACAGCTGCTCCTGCTTCTGCCTAAGGGACGCTCGCGGCTTCGATGGCTAGTGGCAGTCAATCTGGATGGACTGCTGCTGCACTTGTTGCTGCAGTCGCCTCTGCCCCTCTCCCGCCCGCTGCTACTGCCAGTGCTGCTAGATGCATGCGGAGCGCAGGAGGAGCTGCAGCAAGAGCTGCAGCAGGAGTTGCAACAAAGGCTGCCTCTGACACAGCAGCAACAGCAGCAACAAGAGCTGCAGCAAGAGCAGCAGCAAAGGGTTCCACTAGAGAGGATGGCATATGTGGCTGCGGCTGCGGGGGCACTGGCAGACGGTTTGCGTATGGCCGCTGCACTCAACTGTTTGCAAGTGCTTACAGACAGTGGAAGCTTGTGTTTTGATGCGGCTTCTTTGCCACCTTCTGGGAACTTCTCCTCTTCTAAATCTCTCCGTCTGCACAGTCCTGGCAGCGAGGAGCTTCCGCAGGTTTGCTTATTTAAACACATGGCAGAAACGCTTGGCTCCAAGCGGATGCTCAGGACCGCTGAAGACGCTTCGGCTGAAGTGCTGCAGCTGCTGCTGCTGCTGGAAGATCTGCCCGACGGTGCTGCGGTGTCTGACGGTGACAGCCGCAGCAGGATGCGCATCACGCAGCTCCAGGATTCCTTACTTGCGCTTATTCAGCATACCACAGCCCTTGCAGCAGCAGCAACAGCGCCGCATGCAACAGACGCGCCGCATGCAACAGCGGCATCCGAAAGGGCAGGCACCAGTCCAGCAGCTGGGGAGATTTCTCCTGTGTCGTGCAGCAGCTGCTGCGAAGTTGGCAGACACGTCTTTGGCGCTTTGTTGCTTTTGGCATGCCCGCGACAGGGGGTTGCTGAGCGTGTGTGCTCTCTGCTGTGCAGCAAGGGCTCCAGACGGCTGTTTTTGCTTCTGCAGCCAGACTGCTTTGCAGAGGCACTGACTCTCCTGGGGGAAATTCCTCGCCGCTTCGTGCGCAACGCTGCACTTTTGCTGCTCCAGCAGCCGCCACGGGTGCAGCAGCAGCCGTCTCACGTCGCAGCCGCTTGCCTCATGGATGCCTACGAGCCATCTGTGTTCGAAGAGAGCAGCCGCAAGCTTCAGCGGGAAGGAGGGCAAGTAGGTCCTCTGCTGCATCAGCTGCCTTGGCACAAGCTTCTGCTGCAGCAGCGGCTGTTCTCAGTGTCGCAGCAGCAGCGACAGGATGCTGCTGCTGCTCTGCGCGCGATGCTGCAACTGCCACCTTCGCCGAATGCTGACCCAGTAGGCAAGGCGCTGACTCTTTGGCAACAGATAAGCCGCGAAGACGAGCTGAAACTCAGAATTCAGGGGCTTAAGTGGGAGGAAGAGGAGGTGCGCCTCCTTTGTGCAGCAGCAGCAAACAGCCGACTGTGCTCCTCCACCCGCGTGCAGTCGTTGCACACCCTCCAGGTGTATGTACACTCCAGCGTCGCGGAGGCGAGGCCTTTTCTGCGGCGTCTCTGCAGTAGCCTCCTCCTTAGCCGCGCAGGGCTCCCCAGCGCTGTTGCTGCAGCACCTCCTCTTCCTCCTGCTGCAGCAGCATCGTGGGAATCGGCAGACAGCCCCTTCTTACTCTCGCTGCTGCAGTGCTTGCTGCACGCGTCGCAGCGGAGTCTGCAGCAAGCTCCGTTGATCGCCGCAGTAGCTCGCGTGCTGGCACTGCCGCTGCTGCTGCTTCCCCCAGGCGAGGCCGTGTTGCACTCAGTGATTGCGGTGTACAGACAGCTCCTGGGGGATGCGTTGCTTCTGCAGTGTCTGTGTGGGGAAGCCAGCGCCTCCTGCAGCTGCCTGCAGCTGCAGGCACTGCTGCTCTTCCATCCCCAGCAGTCTCTCCTGCTCCCCCACCGCGTGTGCTCCCTAGGTTCGCAGCTCGAAGGGGTCTTGTCTGGGGAGACCCTTCCGCCTCAGGAAGCCTCTTGCTTGCTGCTGCCAGCGTGGCTGTCGCTGCGCCTGGACCTGCCGCTCCCCTGCAGAGTTATCAGTGCACCCACTGCAGCTCAGGAAGCGTGGGAGTGCCGCAGGCACGACGCTGCCTTCCTCGTGACACGCCACCTCGCAGAAGCGCCTGCCGCCGCTCTAGAGGCAGCAGCAGCTGCAGCGGGAGCAGCAGCTGCCTTTCTAGGACCGTCTCCCGAGCCTCGCAGCCAGGCAGCGGCTGGAGAGAAGGCAGCCTTGCGGAGGCGTGCAGCAGCAGCAACACCCCCGACGGCAGCTTCAGGAGCAGCACGCAGCTCAGCTGCCTGCCTCGACCGCTTTTCCCCCTTGACAGCGGCGGAGTATCTCGTGCTGAGCTCACCCTCCGACATGAGCTGCCTAACCGCCGTGGCTGCTGGGCAAACAGCTCTCACGCGGCAAGCAGCCCACCGACTTCTGCTCCCTGCCTACCCTGAGCTGGGAGAGCTCCTCAGTATTCTCTGCTCGCCACCGTTGCCAGCCTTGCGGCAGTCTCGCGCCAAGAGCGCCTCTCCGCTTCTCCCCCTTCTTCCTTCCCTCGCCCCCCCCCCAGAAGCGGCAGCGGCCTCCTCGAGCCTTCCAAGCGACTTCGAGACGTATGCGGAGGCGCTGCAGTGCTGCAGGAAGATTGTCACTGCGCTGCAGCTGCCCCGAGACGCCACACTGACGGCGTGCTGCCTTCTCGAGAGGAGACAAGACAGGCAGGCATGCATGCAACTGCCGACGCCACACACAGCAGACTGCCACTGCTATAAGGCGCTTTCAACTTCCGTAGAAGCCGGGTTCTGCGCGCTTGCTGTGGCCGTCAGACGCTACGTCTACCCGTTCCTGCAGATGCTCGCGCAACAGACGGCAGAAAGAACGCTTGAGGCTCAAGAAGCAGAAGAAGCAGGAGGAATCGCAGCTCCAGTAAGGACCGGGGATTTCCGCAGAGACATCGATCTCCTGTTGCTAGGCACGCAACTGTTGTCAGAACTACTTCCGCTTGCTGCAGCCGTTGCGCTGCCGCCGCCTCGTGAAAATGGCAACAACAACACCAACAACAACACCAACAATATCAGCAACAACAACAGCAACAACATCAACACCAACAACAGTAGCAGTAGTAGCAGTAGTGCGCGAGGTGCTTCACAACAGTGCTGCTGCTGCTGCAGTGGATGGCTCGCTCTGTCCGACGTCTCGCAATTCTGTGGCAGTCTCCTTGGGGTGTCTACTCACCTTCCGCTGCTGCGGCGTGCAGCTCTGAAGTTCGCTGCTTTGACGCTGCGGCATTCTCTTCCTCCACTCACCAGCAGCGGCAGCAATAGCAGCACTAGCACTAGCAGCAGCAAGCTGTTTCTCAGTGAGCCGGCAGACGAGCTCTGGACGCTGCATCCAGCGGCTCCCTTCAGCTGCTTTGGGGGCACCCACAGCAGCGTGCTGCTGCAGCTGCAGCTGCAGCAACTGCTGCACCTCCATTCTCACTTGTTCACAGAAGGCTTGGCTCCGCTGCAAGAGCAGCAGCCTCTCGCTGACGCCCTCATGGCCTTACGCGCATGCGTGAGGCACAATGCATTTGCTGGCGTTGCTGCCGCGGCAGCTGAGGCTGCTGCAGACTGCGGGGGAGGGCTAAGCACCTCTGCGTGCGTCAGGTTTGAGCAGCAGCAGGAGCAGCCTCAAGAAGAGCAACAAGTGCAGCTGCTTGAGACGCAGGCGACTCTGCTCCTCGGGTATCTTGACAGCCCTCACCCTGAGGTTCGACTGGCCGCATGGCGGTGTCTCGAGAGCTGCCTTCGCTCTGCCGACAGTCTGCTGCAGCGTCTCCAGCAGCGGCAGTCTTCTGGATCGGGGAGACAGCTGCTGATGCGGCTGTACAGCTGCATTAGTCGCGCTGCGTGCGACCGCGTTCTGGAGAGGGAGGGTCTACTCCCCGGAGGCTTCTGCAGCAGCTGCCCCAGCAGCCTCGCAGAGCAGGCGGATGCGCTTGCCTGTCTCTCCACTCTGCGCAGCAGTTTCAGCAGCAGTGCCAGTGGCAGCAGCAGCAGTTTCAACAGCAGTACCAGTGGCAGCAGCAGCAGTTTCAGCAGCGGCTTCAGCAGCCTTGCAGCAGCAGCAGGAGGCGTCTCCTCCCCCAGCGAAGCTCCCCCCGACACTGCAGCAGGGGCTGCTGCTGCTGCTGCTGCCCTTGATGCTTGGGTGTCAAGCGACGCGTTTGTTTGCTCTACTTTGGCGCGCTTTATCATGAGCTGCAGCCACTGCGGCGGCAGCTTGAGAAGCATCCCTTGCGGCGCGACTCGCAGCGCATGTAGTGGCGGCGACAGCTGCTGCTGCTGCACCAGCAGCAGCAGCCACCAAGGGATGGACGCTGCGACTGCCCTCAAGGGATTGACGGCCGCTTTGGATTTGACGTGCTTCGCTGCTAAGACGCACGCAACCCCCATCCTCCGACGCTTGCAGCAGCAGATGCCGCAAGCCGCCGACTCCAACGCAGACACGCGCAATGCAGCGACGGCAGACACACTCTGCAGAGGGAACAGGTCGAGCACTTTCTTGATAGGCCTCGTCGATGCTGTACGGCCTCAAAGATTGCGCATGAAAACGCCGAGCACAGACACCGCAGCAGCAAACGAAGAAGCAAACCAAGCCGCAGCTGCAGCAGTCGCTGCTGTAGGAACAAAAGGCGCTCCTGAGGCATTCGCAGAAGCAGCAGCCAAAGTTGCCTTTTTGTACCTCCCGTCTCCTCCTCCAAGCCTCGCCGAAATCGCCAAGTGCTGTCGGGCCTTACGAGTCTTGCTGGATATTGGGGAAGCCACAAACGCAATTAGCTTGTGCTTAGGAAGCAGCAGCAACAGCACGATCCACGCTGGGGGGGCAGGAGGGGGCAATCTTTGCTGCAGCGTTAGTGCCTCCTCGCCTGCAGCCATAGCGCCATCAGAGCGTCCTTTCGCGCTCTTTCGGAATCTCGAAGAACTTGTGAAGGCAACAGCAAGTTTAGTGCTTGCCCAACCCAGACTTCCAACGGGCAGCGTGCTTATCCCCTACCCCAGCGCAGATTTCTTCACGACGAGAGAACAAGGCACAGCCGAAGCCGTGCAGGAAGTGCTGCTTCTCCTGTTGAGGCTTTTTGCGACGCTCCACCCACAAACTGCGCGGCGTGCTGCTCAGCAGCTGCCTGGAGAGACGTCAGTGCTGTCCGCAGTAATCCGCGAGCAGCAGCAGCTGAAGCAGCAGCAGCAGCAGAGGAAGCAGCAGCAGCACCAACACCCCTCCCATGCCGCTTTCGACGAAGCCCTCCTGCAAGCCCTGCAAGGAAAAGCTCCCAATACCAGTACAACAGCAGCAGCTACAGCAGCAGCCGCTGCAGAGATGCAAAAAGGCGCTCAGTCCTTGTGGACGGCTCCGTGCCTCTGGTTGCTGATTGTCTCTTGCCTGCAGGTCAGCTTCCCTTGCGCATGCGCAACAAGCCCTCAAAGCGCGAAAAAAGCCTCTCAACCGTGTCTCTACTGCGCGTTCCGCATCTGCTTTCCACGGCTGTGTGCTGCTGCTGCGCAGGCTTCACATCCCGTGGGAAACAGCCCAGTACTGCCAGCCGCGCTGCCACGCGAAGCTGCAACTCTCGCAATTTGTTTGCTGCTCCGCTCGTACGAGACAGCTGCGCAGCGCCTTTTCCCGCACGAGCAGCAGACAAGCCTTCAGGCGAGGATCGCGAAGCCTTCACATCCCCTGCTGGGGACCAACCCCTCGCTGCTGCTGCCCCCTTTACTACCCCCGCTACCCCCCAGCCATCTCAGCCTGTACTGCAAAAAAGACGGCCGACTGTCTAACAACAGCCAGCAACTGCTGTTGCCTACGGATCCGCAAATGGCGCAGGGCCTCTTCTCCGCAGCTGCGTCACTACTCCTGCAGCAGCTGCGCTGCCGCAGCCTCGCTGCTGCCTGCGCGGTGTCTGTACACCCGCGGAGGGGACCCCACGAGGAGGCGCGCTTGAGACGCAACAGTGCAGCTGCAGCCTGTGGCAGTCCACGTGGCTGCAGGGGGGGAGGATCCGCCAGCATCTACAGCCGGCACAAGCACTCCCCACAACTTCTGGATCGTCTATGCGCCTCACCTAGCAGCAGCAGCAGCAACGTTTTGAACGTTTCCCAGCTCTCTGCCCACTCCTTACCCGGTGCAGGGGCAAGGTGGCTGTCTGCTGCAGAGAGCTCCCGATGGCAGCGGCAGCAACACCCCCTCGTGGATGTTGCAGAAAAAATCGAAACTCCGCAGCAGCGGCCTCTGGCGCCGCAGCTGCAGCAACAACACAACAGGCAGGAGTACCGCAACAGCTGTCTGCTGCACACGCTGGGGGAGCTTTTGCTGTTGGTGTTTGCGGCGCATCCGACAGCAGCAACGGCCACTGCTTGGACGTATTTCATCCCCTCATCAGACAAAGCCTGCAGTAAAGCTCGACAAGAGGCGCAGCAGCTGCTTCCAGCGCATCTTGTGACTTCGCTGGAGTGCCTCCTCCATGGCTCTTGCGCAGCCTCCCTGCTGCACTTTGCCGCTTCCTTGGGGGGAGGGGTGTCGCAGCCGCTGCAGCAGAGGAAGGCGTCTGGATTGCAGCGGCAGCCGCAGGGGGAGACGACGCTGCAACAACAGCCGTGGCACTCCCCCCAACCCGAACACCTCCAGCCGGAGCAGCAGCAACACGACGAGTATCAAGGAGGCTTCGCCGCTCTGCTTAGCCTGCAGCAGCAGTGGGCACGCAGCTGCGGCAATCTGCTGTTTCACCGTGTGCTGCTGCTGCTGCAGCTTCTCTCTGCAGCGGCAACATGTTCCCCCGATGGCTGTGCAGCCGCTGCAGCAGTTAACACGTCCCTCCCCTATGGAGCTGTTGTTGCCACAGTCAGTGCTCTCTGGAGCCTTTGCTCGCGACAACAGAACCTTCTCAATCTGGTACTTTCACTCACTTCTGAGTGCAAATTCCCTGTCTTCGCGCTGGCTCTGTTTGCCTGCTCGCATGCTTCGCCGTAACAGCCCGTCTCCCTAATCCGCCTCCTCGAGAGACGTGACACTAACACTACCCTGCGCTTCCTGATTACCAGGATCTGCATTCTGCCATGCAGATCCTTGTGCCGAAGGCTTGCAGAACGCATGGCAGCAGGCACGGGGTATAGAATTTACTGCCGCTTACCCTGTCCTCTGGTGCCTCAACAGACGAGTCTTGCAATGGTGGTGATGTGTGTATGTGTGTATGTATGTGTATACATATGCATATGTATGTGTGTATGTGTATATATATGTATATGTATGTATGTGTATACATATGTATTTGTATGTGTGTGTATATATATGTATATGTGTGTATGCGCAATTTTGTGTGTGTCTCCTCAGCTCCTGCAGTTCCTGCATCGCTGTCTCTCTGCACGGCAGCAGCTTCTGCTAGAGAGCCCTAGGAGTTGGGATCTGGGGACTGGCTCTGAGGGGGGGGCCCCCCCAGGAAGTACACTTTTGCAGACTGCGGAAGCTCTCCTCAGACTGAGGCTGGAAGAGGGGGGAGTTCTTGCGGCGTTGATTGACTCGGTCTGCACGTCACTGGTTCCCCCTGGGAGCAGCAGTAGCAGCCACAGCTGCCGGCAACAGAAGCTGCCTCCCCGCCTTCTCTGCAGCATGTTGCTGCTGCTGCAGCACAGCATTGACAGAAACCAGGAGGGGCCCCTCTTGCAACGGCTCATTGGGGGCCTCACTACCTCCCTGAGGCTTCGGCTGCAGCAGGTGCTGCGTCGCAGCACGAGCAGACGATTTTCCGCTTCCGGCGGCGGCAATGTGAGATCGATCATCAGTCCTGTTGATGAGCTACTCCTTTGCGCGCAGCTGGAATGTCTAGGGAGTGCAGCAGCTACAGCAGCAGCAGACAAAAGGAGTCTTTCGGTGCTCTTTGCAAACGTCTCAGAAGGCAAGCCTCAGGGGGGCCCTCGCCGACGCTCATAGCGGCCTTTTAAAGGCCACATTAAATAGGATTTTTGTAGCTCTAGTGCCAGCGATCTGCTCTCCAGCGGCGTTTTCTTTTGCGCAATACGTCGGTGGTTGCCCCTCCGTAGATCGATGCCTTGAGGCGTTTTTGTATTAGACACTTTCGGTCTGGAGGAATCGGCTTAATGCGCTCTTATGGCTGCGGTTGTGCTCGCTGAGTCGCATCTTTCATCCAACAGGGCTGCGTACATACAGTGCGTCTTTCTTTTGCGTGCTGCAGCTGGTGGGGGTGTCGGAGGCAACGAAAAGGAATCTCTTGAAGACTTCGCTGCACCGCTACTCCTCCCCGATCTCCCGCTGCAGCTCCTTGCCGCCCTCCTCCGCTTTCTCGCGTCTCTCACCCATGCAGCAGAAGCAGAAGAGCCAGCTTTACCGAGCTCGCAGATCTCAATCCACGACGGAGTTTTGCAGCAAGGGGGGCCTCACGGTGCAGCCCATGTATTGTGCAGTCGGAGGCACCGAGGGGCCCCCTCAAGAGCCCGGAGAACTACGCTGCTACTGCAGCACTCCGCTTCTTTCGCGGATGCCGCTGTCTTCCTTTTACTGGCACGCTTGATACCTCAGGACTGTCTGCTCCTCCTCCAGCAGCAGCATCACCAGCAGTGGGTGTACTGTCTGTCTTCGTTGCGGGATGTGATACTACTGTTGCAAAGCGTGTTTCTGTCAGATTTCCGAGCGGCGTTCAAAATTAAGTCTAACGTGGAGCCCCTTCGCTCTGCCCTAATCGACTGGGACGAAACCGTGGCGGTGCTGCTGCAGCAACAGCAGCAGAAAGACGGTGATGTGCTGCTGTTGCAAGAGATCCAGCGCATAGCGCAAGAAGGCGTCAGGGCCCTTGGCGCACTCACTTAAGCCGCAGCGACTGTCTCTAGAGCCGTTCAGGAATTGAATCAACAAGATCGAAACCCCCAGGGGGCCCGATGCATGCATGCATGCCATAACCACGCGCAGTTTGCTGCCGTCGGGAGTCTTACTTCCTTTTGAACGGATGGCCAACACTACGCCCTCAGCGTCTAATGGAACGCCTTGACACGAAAAATATAACTTTTCCAATATACACATTTGCTTCTGCATATATATATAAATATATGTACTTACACCTACAGTTGCATTCCATTGCATTGAGTGAGGATAGGAAAGCCGATAGACTTCGTTTGCCGCTGAGCTGTTTATCCGTCGCCTCCATGTTCAACGAACCAGCAAACAGGGGTATCCGACTTCACGAGCATACGAATAAGACATGCGAATTTGTATGCACTTTAAACAGGTATATTTGTGGAGGCATAACAGAGCAGTACTCTGCTGTAGATATGTGCTTACATGCATACGTTTCCTTATCACAAGCAAAAGATAGTTGATCGTGAGACTAGCGAGAAAAAAGGCCGCTTTTGTCCAGAACTGAGACTTGGCTTTGTCGCAACAAACTGGCATGCAGGTGACGATCCCATTTCTAGCAATTTTAGACTGGCGAGCCCCCCTAGATAGGTACCACTCTACGTTCGCAAGTACCTTGGTATGCCGGTTGCCACGCAAATTTGCATAGTTAAACATCAAAGCGCCAGCCAGTTGACAATGCTAGCTGTATAAAGGCATTTGCACTGCTCTGTTCGTTTTAATCAGCACGCAACAGCCGTCGGGAGGACGGGACGCGCCTATCCCCCTGGAAGTAGATAGCCACCCTATCGGGTGAAGTCTTAGCTAGCTGCATCAGATGAATAACCATGAAATTCCTTTTTTAATAGTTGTGTATCTCGGTAGCTTGAATGCTGGTGTGACAAATTTTCGCTTTATTGGGGCTGATTGGGCTGGATGGCGGTTCTTTGTTCGGTGGGCGGGGTCCATCCGTTGTTGATGAAGACAAGGGTGACCTCATCTAGGAAAGCTTTTGGTGGCTGCGCTTTAAGATGCTTATTCACACAGAGAGCCAATGCAGACTGAAGAGACTCCAAAGACGCATGGCCCGCCGAATGCTGAAATTTAGGATCTGCCTCCGGGTGCTTTGCTAGCAGAGCGCGGAGCAGGGCTTCATCTGAGGACAGAGCAAGGAAAGCTTGGAAAGGGCGTAAAGAAGATAAACAAGAGGGGGCAGCTAGCCATAAATAAAGGAAGACAGTTAGCCACAAATAAAGGAGAAGAGACGGAGAGGACGGTCTGTGCCCACATGCAGAAAAGGCAAGGTAGGCAACAACTGAGAAATGCAGACAAAGAAGGACATAGGGACGGATACGAACACCCACACAAGGCGGGCAGCCGAAAAAGAGAGACGTGAAGAGAGGATAAGAGAAAATCAAGCTGCAGAAGGCGCTGAATACCATCCATGCATTACCGGGTTATGGCAGACCTAAGGGTCACCACCAACGAGTATGACTACCCTATGAAGTCTACATGCTCATGTTGAGCATGCAACGAATCCAAATTAGAGGTTGGATGAGGGAAGAACTGTTAACGCTTTAAGAGTGGAAAGCCAAGTGTTTGAGCGCCCCATTACCTTCCTTTTTGAAGTATACAGTCTCCTCCCCGGATCTTTTCTGCTCGAGAAACTTGACCGATGAGAAGCACCGGACGCCATTAGTTTTTTGTGCCTGCGCTAAGAAAGTGCGCGGCAACCCCTTGCAAATGCGAGCCAGCATTATGCGAGATAATGGGGTATCCGTGACGCCTACACACCCTAGAAATGCGAAAAGGGGGCGCGCCACTTGCGAGAAGGCTCCCAAGATCTGATGTGTAAATCCAGCCGGTAGAAAAGCTTTAGACGATGGTGAAACCGGATATTTCGCTTTTCGAGGTCTATAGGCTGCTCGCACTCGCAAGCTGCGAGCTGCGCGAAACAATACGTGTGCTGCCTCTAATGAACCCTCAGTTATTCTTCCGTTTCAGCTTTGCATTTTATCATAAAATGAGCCTTAGAAGATGTATAGACGCGGGAACCCCCCCTAAGGCGATGCCGAACCGTTGGGGCTGTATGCCTTCGGAGGAGTGATGGCAGTACCGACCGGCACAACAATATCGTTCTTTTTGGTTGACTGATTTTGCATGAAAATTGCTTATGGCTATAGATCTATGATACGCGGTTCTGTGCTGATTCCCCGCAGCACGCACAGTGGCCAGCCCTCTCTTTTCTTTGGCTCTAAGACCATTGCCGAGCACGTACGTATTAGTTGTCTCTGGATATCAGATTTCGAGGGAGCACAGCAAACTTCAAGCCTTAGCCACTAGCCCTACTGGACTGTGCAGACATCGTAAATGCGAGCGTCTCCAGCACGCATGGAGGGCACGGAGCTACAGATGTCTTTCAAGATTTAGGCTATTGGGTTTGCAAATGAAGATGGAGGGGCCCCCAGGGTTGGACTTGCACGAGGAGACCGAGGCCCTGAGGGCTCAGTATCTGCAGGTGAAGCCGCAGCACCTCTCTATGCCATAGCCTTTTTAACAATCCTTAGAATTTCCTCTCATCAACAGCGCCGTTCCAGTCTTCCCTATCATTACGGGAAGCCCTTTTTTAGCCCTTAAGGATGGCGTAATATATCAGCGGAATGCTGGTGTTGTCGCCGTATACGTGGGGCCTGGGTACAGGCATGTCGACGAATGTAAAGGTTCAGAAGCAGCATGTGTGTTCAAGTGCTCATAAGTTTGCAGATATGCTGCTGTAGAATTGTGCATATCTCCTTTTGGGTGCATTGTGGCTGCGCAATAGGGATGGGTGCTTTCGCCGCAAATTAATTGGTAGATGCACAGACCATTATTTCTTGATACCCTAGCCAGATCGCCGCATATTATCACGTAAAGTTTTGCGTTTTGTTGTGCCTTGGGGTGGCTATATACAGCAACTGGAGAAGGGCATGCTCTTCCCAAAACTGCAGTTTGAGCTTGCCTCTCTGCTTAGCTGCTCCCCAAGGAAGGCGAACCTCCGTGAAGCCACAGATCTCCTCACAGAGCTTTTGGATATTGGATTTTCAAGGTGATGACGGCGAATTTTTTCCACTCAGGGAGAAAGGGTCGCTGTGGCTTTTAGGGAGACCTTGGGGAACTGCACAATTCACCCAAGGGATCCGGCATAAAGGTTTACTCTTGGTTTCAACGATTTTGAATGGAGGGTTAAGGGTTTGTGTTCGCAGAACGGATTGCCTTTTTCAGCTGGCCTTAGTGCATCTGAAGCTTGGGGAATACTCCCTAGCAAAGCGCAGAGTTGAAACTCTCCTAAGGATGGTACGCCAAACACGAAATCACGAAATCGAAGCTATTCAGGACCCTATAATGTGTGTAGTGCTGCTGGCGAGATTTACGCATAGATGCCGTCGTGTGGATGTTTGGAATCAAGGCTCAGTGGCTTGGATTAAGGTACAGGGGTTGGTTGGAATCAAGGTAGAGGGGTTGGTTGGAATTAAGGCGTAAAATTTGGCTGGAAGTAAGGTCTGCAACGTGTTTTTTGTGAGTTCAGGAGCCCCGCAATTTATCTGCTCTCTCTCTACACAGCCTTATCCTCGACCGCGCATCTCATGGTAAACCCCCCAGGATTAGAGGATGAACGCCAGCGCTTGAATTTCACCGTCTGGATATTGGGTTTACACTTGTTGGGTGTTTGTACAGACGGCGTGATCGGCTCGTTACTTATCGGTGTACTAGCAGGTATGGGAGCCCGGCAGAGACCCCCTATGTCGCATCCTACACATTGGTCCCCGCAGTTCAGCACTTAAACGGTGAAAAGGCTGATATCTCTTAAGCTAAAGATCTTTGAACCTCATTTGTTCTGGCTGTTGTCCGACGTGAAAAGTGAGGGCTGTTCTGTGGAAACTTGAATACGCCCCTTAGGGTGCAGTGTTGGGGAAATGCCGCATCGGCATTTCCCCTCAACACCTTTTCGTGTGACAGCCACCCAAACTCCCGTCTCCGTGGCTATTCATCTAGAGAGAGGCTTTTGTTGTGGAGTCCTACGGTTGTCAGCTTGCTTGTCTTGCGTTACCACTACACAGGAGGCGCCCTGCTCTATTTGCTGAAACGCTACCACTGGCACTCTTAGCTCTGCGTCGCGGGTGGACCTTGGGATTCTCGACTCTTGGGGCCCCCAGGGTTCTCACCCGTGTTGGAGGCCCTATGGCCAGTTTTTGGTGACAATATGGAGCTGCGATTTCCTCAGGTCCTTAAGGATTTTCTGTTTTGTTTGACAGCGTGTGGGTGCCTTTAGGGGGATCTTAAGACTACGGGTACTAGTGTAAAGCTCGAGTCATTTGGTTCTAGAAAATCCACTTACACTACTACACTTAAGTACCCCTGCTTAGTATTTGCAATCAGTCTGCTCCATTGGACACCCACGTAACGAAACTGTAGCTTCCACCCCAGAACACCACGGCTCCCCCCCTCTCTCAAGGCGTACAGGGGCTTAGGGCCTCGGCAACGAAAACTGAGAAGGGTTCATCTGCCATCCTTGTAAATGTCTTTGGTTTGTAATATCAAAAAGTCTGCCAAGCTTTAGGAGTTTCAAGGGAAATAATGAAGGATGCAACAGAACGCCTCAGTGCCACTGCTCCACTGCAAATACTCTTTGCGCTATACGTGCATCAGGCGGTGTTCATGGAACTCAGCAGCCATTGAACCCAAGCGAATGGCACAAAAAGACCCATACGGATTTACCGCAGCATTTCACAAATGGCTCCACACCCCTATGGCTTTGGTTGCCGGGACAGTTGTTAGTGCAGCCTCTGCTGTAGCAGAACCATCTTCTCACTTTTACTCCCATTTAGAACATGCCTCCCATGGGCATGCCTCCCGCAGCTGACGGGGCTGCATCAGCGTTCGCTCGCGGTTCGGGTGCATCGACCACTGCTGCCTCGGTGGTTGCCATCAAAGAGGCGACAGAGGAGGCGTCACTGAGCGCTGTTTTCACAACTTTTGTTGGGTCGATGATGCCTGAAGAGGGACACAGGCGAACCTCACAGCAATACTTCAAAGTAACAAATGGGGAATAATTCATCCAAAAAGTGGGAAAAAGTAAGGTCGCCCCTGGTTCCCATCAAGAAGAATTCCAAGTCCTGTCGAATGCATACTTGTACACAACTGACCTGCGTCGATCATGTTGACATATTCTCCCGTTTGAGCGTTAAACCCGAGGTTGGTGTCGTTGTGCCTCAGGAGGTTTCCAACAACAACTGCTCCCTCATGGCCAGCGTTGTCAGCAATGAGCTTGCATGGCACTTCGCAGGCCTTCTGCACAATCTGTATACCGACCCGCTGTTCAGCGTTATCGACCTTCAAGTCCTTCAGGCCCTGATGACACAGGTTAGGAGCAGAGCAACCCCAAACACTCAGAATGGGCGACAAGAGGCTACCGATACTATATACGTTCACAGCAAGGGAAGACGTGGGAGAAAAAGGTTCACAGAAAAGCCAGAAAACAGAGAGGATACAGGCTAGTAAAAGTGAAGGATGCAGACGCGCGTGTACAAATAAGGATACACAAAAAAAAGATGAAAGTTTTTCAGTTCCCGCTGCTGCTGCTACTATCGCTGCTGCGCTAACCCAGTCCAGCTACTCGCATGCATTTGCGGCATCAGGGGCAGCTCGCTGATAAGACTAACTTGGGAAGCATATAGGAGTGCCACGCCTCCCCCTGGCACAATGCCCTCCTCAACAGCTGCCCTTGTAGCACAAAGTGCATCTTGGATTCTATCCTTCGCTTCTCCCACTGCAACTTCCGAGGCCCCTCCAACCTTGATTACTGCAACACCGCCAGTTAAGCGAGCTAGTCGCTCCTGAAGCTTCTCCTTTTCGTATTCTGGACCACAAGGCAGACAAGTCGAACGAGAGTAGGGTAGAGTAAAAGAAATGTGAACAAGCACACGGGAGTGAGCAACAAATACACTGAACAAACAGCGGGTTTGTGCACTGGCTGATGCTTACCTGAATTTGTTTGCTGAATGAGTGTCCGTAGCTGGTCACACCTCTCCGCAATTTCTGCCTTGTCGCCTTTGCCCTCCATCATCAGAGTCGAGTCTTTCGTCACCACGACGCTCTTGGCCTACAGCACCAAATGTAACCGATCCAATAATCCAGGTGCAGAAACTAAGGACGGGCTATCAGGTAGTCACCAGCACAAATGCATGAGGAGGCATCTACTGTTGCACTGCCTCATTCTAGGAACAACTTGACTTCTGCCTTCCCAGACATTCCTTTTACCATTACTTCTATCCTCATTCCCTACTTCGTAACATTAGTCATAAAAATTATATCGAGCTCCTTCTGTTGCACTGACCTTTCCCAGCATCGCCACAACATCTGCTTTCTCATCAGCCAGGGATGGAGTGTCATCGCTCAAGACCTAATACGCATGAGCGGCAGAGGAAACTTGCACACCGGATATATCAGTAGGTGAACTATGAATAGAGCACTGAGACACACGCAGGGTTCAGAAGCTTACCTTCCCGCCTGTAAGAGTCGCCAGATCGTACAACTGCGCCTTCCTGCCCTCCCCAAAGCCTGGGGCTTTCACGGCACATACACGGAGGCCAAGGCGCAATTTGTTAACCACCAGTGTGGCCAGCGCCTCACTACGAACACAACGAAACAGGAAAACTCATAAGCAAGAGCGTATGAGAAACAGGAATGCAGTAATGCACTAGTAGGCTACATAACGAGGGAAGGAATACACAAATGGAAGCGCGTCCACAACACCTAACGAAGTAATTTGTGTACCTCTCCACGTCCTCTGCAACAATAAGAAGCGCCGCCTGGTTTTGCAGGATGAATTCGAGGGCTGGCAGCAGCTGCTGTATTTGTGAAAGCCTCTTATCCACCAATAGGACATAGGGGGCCTCAAGTTCCACTTTTTGTTCCTTTGTATTCGTAATGAAATACGGGCTCAAATATCCCCTGTCAAACCTTAAGCCCTCAACAACATCTAGCGCATGTTGGAACGCTTTTCCTTCTGCTACTGTAATAGTGCCTTCCCTTCCGACCCTCTTCATTGCCTCGCCAATAAGGTTTCCAACTTGAGCATCTCCATTGGCGCTAATAGTTGCAACTGACACGATCTCTTCCGTAGTCGAGATCTCTTTCCGAGAAGCAGAGAGGGCAGACAGGACTGAATCGACGGCCAGGTGGATGCCTACAAAGGAGCAGGGAGACAGACAAGCATAGAGGAACAATAGTGGGGAAGACTGAGAGGAATATGGCTGCACATTAGCACTGTGGCAAGACATCCGCGTAAAAACAGGCACACATTTCCTGTTGTATACGTTCTAGGCAGCCAAGGAAACTAGCCCACTCTTCCTGTTCCAAGCTAGATATTACCCCTTAAGTGCTCGACGGAACACCATATTACACATCATCTGTACACAGGCGGGTGTCACCTCTGAGAACATCCATAGGGTTCATCCCGGCGTCAATTGCTTTGCAGCCTTCCTTGAAAATGGACCGTCCGAGGATTGTTGCTGTTGTTGTACCGTCGCCAGCAATATCGTTTGTTGTAGCCGCCACCTGCTTGAGCAGCTGAGCCCCGAGGTTTTCCGTTTTGTTTGGGAGCTCAATAGACTTCGCAACTGTCACTCCATCTTTTGTTATCTTAGGAGAGCCAAACGGCTGGGCAATGACAACATTGCGGCCTTTCGGGCCTAGCGTCACACCGACCGCGTCGGCGAGACGATTACAGCCTGAGGTTTCAAGCATGCGCACCACGTTGAACAAGCAGGCATGGGTATCAACAGACTTGCAGCCTTAAAGCCGTACGCGCATAATGTGCCAACCATCTTGGGCATGTTAAAACACACCATAGCAATTCATAGCAGCCGAACAGTACACAGGCAAATACCCTATTTTGGTAGCACACAAAGGCAGCAAGTGAGGCAAAGAAGACCGGGTCCTATGATCAGATGCATCACACACTTTTTGTCGGTATGCAGAATTCCTCTATGGCGACAGAATACGGAGGGGCCAAGCAAACGGCTAAGATTGGGGACGAGAACGGAAGAACACCAAAAGCAAGGCACTACGGCACTCACCAGCAAGCATCTGCATGCGTGCATCTGAGCCGAAACGAATCTCTTTCGAAACATTTCTTTTTTGCTGCATTTGCGTTAACGAAGCCGCTGCTACTCCTGCTGCTCTGCTGCCGCTTCGAGCGGCTACCGCAGCCGACGATGCCAACAACATCTTCCGAAAGTTTGGAATTTAAAGGCTGTGGTCTGGGGTTTGAGGTTTCCAGTATGCAGACTAGAGTCTTCGCACGAACACTCTCATACAAAAAAGCAGTCCCCAAAATCGAGACAGCTCAGCCGCTGCTCGGGCAGCGGGGCTGTTCCCCACGGGCCCCACAGTTCGGTTTGGCAGAGCGTCCACATAGCTCAAGCTTAGCCGCACCCTCGGACAAGGCAAATAAAACATATATTTACTTTATTGAATTCTCTTAATGCGTCAACTAGCACAAGCCGTGAAGAAGACCAAGCGCTGCAAGAGGAGCTCTGCACATGCGGTTTGCTGACCCACAGAAAATAGCTGGGATGAACATTTACCAGTGCACGGTTCTTCGATCAACAAAAGATAAGACGAAAATTAAATGCAATGTTTCGGGTGATGGCATTTTAGCTGCGTAATTCGGAGCTCTACACGTGAGGTTATGGGTTGAGTGGCTGCGTACTCAATAGGGGTAACCTGATCAAACGTCAGGCTCCACTAAATAAGTCAAACTACAGTACTTGTAAGCAAATCAGATTGACGAAGAACTTCTAGCACAGTTCAGCGCTTTGGTACCCCAGCTGTTTCGGGATAAGGTTAACACCGAACTTGTAGCGGCCGTGTTGCACTAGCTTGCTGAGCTACACTTTAGCGCCTTCTCATACACATATTGTTTCTAACAGAAAAATTGGCAAAGAATTGGTTATTTGCTTTGTCTTTTCATGTTAGATCTTACTTGGAGAGTAATCCTTGCACACTACAAGAAGACTCCACTTGGTGTGCGTGTGTGTTGGAGGCTCTCTGCAGCTAGATGTGAATGCGTCAAGCGCTTAGAGGTGGCAGCTACGCGCAATCTAGCTGCCTTTCTTTGCTGATACGTGCGAGCAAGAAAAAGGGGGATAACTTCCAGGAGATAATCAATAACTTCAATTAGGCCTGGATCGAGTCTAGAGTTACTGCACCGGGTGTACAAATCCTCCCGTACCCGCGTTTCCTGATTATTAGAGTGCTGTTCTTATTAACAGATGATAGTGACGTAAGGGGGGGTTCGCTTCTCTCGTCTATCAGACAAAAGGTTTCCAAAGCATCCAACTATTGCCTATGACTTTCAACGCTTCACCAAAACCAAGCAGCGGTATCTAGAGTAGGGGAAACTATTTTTTGCCGCTTGGCAGGGCGTGGAAAAATGCTGGCAGTATGTGTGTGGGCTTTACTTCTATGTCCAGTCAAATCACCATTCCTGGATGTAGCTTACAAAGAACTCTCAAAACTTTAAGAATCCTAGAAGTGTTTGATGGCTTGACGGCTCCTGCAGCACGGATTTACAATGAAGTATATCAAGGGCATCACCAACTGGGTCGCTGGCACGTTCTTGGCATTCTGACCACGTCACTATTGTGCATCACAGCTTGTGTTGCTTGTGTTGATTGATGGTTTCCATCAAAAGCCCGTGTGCTTGGACAACTATATATTCGCTTTTATTACCATAATCAAGACAGGGAAATACGTGAAGCACTTCTCCTTTGGGAATGGCTTGGTGTGATTCAAAGAAAGCGGGGAGTCCTTCGTTTGCACCTCCCAAATTTGTTCTGCAGTGTCACCTTTCACACAGCACGTGACCACATTCTTGCGGGTCACGGTATGTTTGCCCTGCAGTGGAAAAGCCCTTAAGGTTGGCCTTGCATGCCTCCTGCGGCATAGGAGCATGCACTGTCGTGCCCTATTTTTCAGTATAAGCCCCGCCATTCGTCGAAAAACGGCCTTTTCCACAGCTGTCTAGTTACTGGGAGGGTTTGATTTGATCTGACTTTGGACCTTATTTTTGGGCCACCGGAAGGCAAGGGCCAAGCGTTCATCTATATCGTTATCGACAGACTCGCCAAAATTCCCATTTTATCTGTTTTTCTAGCTCTTTTAGGGGTCGGAGAGTCAACCAATTATTCTTAACTGATGTATGGAAGCAATCACGGATGAGGATTCGAAGTGTGTTCTTGCTTTTCGGTGTGCCTTTCCACGCGCCTACACAATAACCATACATGACCGCTGTGAACCGTTCTGAGGCAGATGGGCAGCCAAAGAGGAACAGCTACAATTATTTGTCCCTTTTACAACTCCTTGCTAGAAGAATACCCAACGCATGGTTTGATATTATCCCCTGCGCGGCGTGGGCTATAAAACAACAATAAACGCGTCTATTCGCTATTACCCCACATATCCGGGCTACATTAAAGAGCTCTCTCTTATCCCGGCTTGAATTTGATAATCCGGCCTCAGCAGACACCCATTCCAGCAAAAATACCCTGGAAACATCCTGCTAGTGCACGCAAATATAGTCTTAAAACCCGTCAGAGTCTAAGAATGAGATGGAAATATTTGGAGCCTGGAAATATAGTTTTGGCGGATTGGCAGATGCACCAGAGGTTTCATCAGGAAGAAGTTAACCGTCAGGTGGCTAGGGCCACTTGCAGTTTCCTCACGAATCAATGCTCCTATTTATTCGATACGTTTCCTAAAAGTTGGGGGTGTCTCAGCACTGTCAATGTTGGCTTCCCAAGAAAATTCTAAAATTTGTATCTCGGGGCTTTGACGTGCAGGCACGGGATCCGAGTCAAAGCAGAAAACCCACAGGGAGTCGTGGAAGTGCTGGTGTTGGGGGCTATTGAGTGTACGTAACACAGTAGAGTAGAGTTCCCAGTGAAATAGTGTGAAAAAAGTCGATGTTAGTCATTGATGAAAGATCAGGTATACGGTTGGCTGCCTGGGGAAGAATTTAGACTCGATTTTGTTCGGAACGCTGAGTGCCGTGGAGAGTATACCAAAGCTTCTAGGAAAGTGTTTCTCCCCCACTCAGATTCTGACTGAAATACTCACATGTATCTATAAATAAAGCTTGAGAGGTTTCCCTTTATGACCATCAAGAGCTCTTCTAGGCTCAGAATCATGCGCGACTGCTCTCGGGTAAGCTGTCTCTACATTCTTGCTGATGACGTTTTGGGGATTTCGACATCGACTGGGCTGCATGCACCGGCTGTTTCGCCATGTATATGTTGGCTTGTGAGGCGATGAGGCACTGCTGAACTAGTGCGTGTTTCTCCCTCAATAACCTATTTTTCTGTTCTGTTTCCCCGTAGCAGGTGGCTCATACATCAAAGCGCTCCGACGGCAGCCGGTCGTTGCCTCGCCGCAGTCGTGTGGTTTAATCCTTTTTTTGTTAATTACTGCGTGTGTGTGTGTGTCTTTCTGCCCTTGATTTTCATGTTTCTGGTTGATGTGCACATTTTCTTCTCTCATTTACAATGTTATTCATTTTGCTGCTTGCCTGGGTAGTGGCAATAGGATGAGAAGCTTCCCAACGTCAAAACACGGAACACGTTGGCGTCCTTTAAAATGGAAGGTAAGAGACGCGGCGGCACACTTTGGCAACTTCTACACTAGTACTATTTAGCTAAGAATCAATGAAGAATACGGTAATTGATTTATCTTCTAGGGTATCATATTTAATCCAGAATACTGTTAGCTGCATACAAGAAGACGCAATTCTAATGCGTGTGCCCTAGATCTTACGTGCAACGAGGTGTGAATGCTTGACATGCTCAGGCGGTGCCTCCACGTGCATTCCAGCTTTCCACTTTACGTCATCTTGGAGACTCTAATGGGCAGCGGAAATAGGAAGCTCTTTTGATACATATTCCAAACTGTTTCCATGGGATTGTGGTGAGTGTGGGATCATGTGTCTCCCTACGGATACCTTACAAATAGAGTGGCAAACAATAAGCCGTGCAAGGGTTCAGCAGGGTGGAGGCGCGAACCCGCCCATACTCCAGTCTTATATCAACGGCTAGATTGGCGGGTTCTTGGTGTCGCTGGATTGTTCTTCTTGCAAGCTGTGAATAATTGCCACATGGCTGCCTATCCATCGGACGAGATTCAAGAAATAGATATGTTTTAGATTCATGAAGCATACGCTAATTTTAGCTACTTGTAGTGTTGTAAAGGATGGAGATATTCCGCCCTTCTCACAATCTTCCCTAAACTTACGGGCTTGAGATTTCGCCTCCAGCCGTGGAAGCTATGGCACAAAAGGCACGTCCATTGACTGGTTCTTCTCCAAAGCTTGTGCTGCAGCTTTCTTCTCTCCGCCTTGCCTGAAGAAGCGAAGTGTCCTCAAATCTCACTAAAAAAAACAAAGCAGAAAGGCTCTGGACAATGACAATTCCAGCCGATATAATTCTTTATTCTGCATAATGGACCCGGAAAGCCTAAGCAGAAAACCCCTGTCAGCTGAAAGAGGGTCCGAGAAAAAGGTTCTTTCACCGATAAGGCTTAAGGTAGAAAGCAAAAGGGCTGTATCCAGGATAAAACCGCTGCTGGGCTCATGAGACAGATTGCAGCTTCATTGTTTACAGATCATGAGAGTTTGGTGAAGTGAGCTTGGGGCGAGTGGAGAACTGCCTTTCAAACTTCAAGACTGTCCAATAGAAAAGTCAAGGTAAATATGCAAACGTAGCACAATATAGCCCCCCCGTTCTCCCCTTATTCCTAAAAGTCGAAGTAATAGTAGAGGTAACGCATACCACAGCACAGTAAGACCAAAATTTTGCTACCCCTCATGGGCTGGGAAAAGCTTGCGATCCAAGCGGTAATTCCCCGAGTCTGCGTGGTAGGAAGCATAGCAGATGCATGTTCGTCGCTTACTAGGGGAAGGCGCCGGAAATCAAAAGGTACAAAACGGAAAACAGCAAAGCATGTATACTGGAGCCTTGTTAGATAAACCCGGGCAGTTCCTGTGTCCTTCGCCTCTACGAGACGCACTGGGCTATGTCGCAGTCGGATATACGCTGCACGTGTTGCCACTGGGAGGCATTACTGCTGCTGTTGCTGCAGCGAGATCAGGCCCCATATCCACCAACTAACGCTCGCTATTTGGTACACTGAGAAACAGAATCGTGGGCACGTGAAACCGCAATAGCACAGCTGTAATCACTGCAGAAGAAGCAAAATGCTGGTGTGGTCAATGCCTAGAGGCCCCCAACGTATCTTGTTGACACTATCATGAGGACTCCAGCTGCATAGCTGGCAAAGTCCGGGGCGAACGAGTCCTCTTATATTCAATGAAGGTGCAGCGTACCTGCGAGGCACGTGTATCAAAACTCAAACCTTGCTGTTATGACCTAGGGGATGGGGCCTGTAGCAAGAGACCCTGAGTGTTTGGTCTCTTCAGCTTGTAAAATTTCGAGTCAAAGAACACAGCAACCTCGAAATTGATTAAAGTTGGGTCAGTGCTTGCATAACTCTGTGAGGGGGGCCCTTGTGGGCCCTTAGAAACCACGGACTCAGGCCCAGGCTTCGTCGGACACCGACAGAGGTGCGTTCAAGTAAGAGTTTTGGAGAGAATAGACTTATTTTCGCGCTATTTTTTACTGAAATAATCGTATGGTTTTCCCTAAAAGGGAACTTGCAGAAGAATACAGAAAGGGAGGGGTAGTGCTGCTGCCTCAAGGTGTCGTGGTGCTAGTATTGCTGCAGCGGGTGCTTGCTGCTTTGTCTTTTGTATCCTTTGATCAAGCTGCGAAGTATTAATCCTGCTGGCAAGCAAGGCTAAGGTTTTCCGGTGCCGTACGCTAAGTACTGTGTTGCCTCTGCAACCCAACCAACCAACGGTACCAGCAGCAGGCAGCAACAGTTTTCTTCGAGTGAAAATCCACTAAAGGCTAAAAAAAGTAACGATATCACCACTAGCAAGAAGTACAGCATCACTACTAGGAAGTTTCGCGGCAGCTGGAAAACAGATTGCGGGGAAATGGATCCGGAGACTGTGCCAACACAGAAACAGCTGCAACAGCAGATGCAGCAGGAGGAAAAATGCAAGTAAGCGCCATACACGTCCTCTTCTCTTTCATTGCATGCTATATGCTAATGGTATAGATCTTGGGGTTGATGTAAGCTTTTGTTGTTCCTGTGTAGGGCTATTGAGGAGCAGCGGCGGATGGCGATGCGTTCATTGTTATCATCAGAGGCTCATCAGAGACGTACGGCACATGGCATAGGCTTTAGACGTAATCTTTAAGTGTGGATGGGGCTTAGGATTTCCCCAGTCGATGGATTCTGCAAACTACCGCAGCTGAAGTGGGCCGCAGTGGGAAGATAGATATGCAGAGCGTGCCATGTATGGAAAAATTATGCCATATGTAGAAAAACGAGCATAGGCACACAGAGACACGCAGCTAGAGATACATAATGAGCCAGCAAGAAGAAGTCAGGGAGACCGAGTAACCACAAGAAGGGAGAGACCCCGCCAGGAGCATAGACAGAGAACATGCCGCGGCACAATAGCGACAGCAAAATGTAGCGGGTGTCAGAAAGAAACGGAGAACAAGACAGCGCGAGATCCCTGCCTCAATTTTATTTCTTCTTCGGTGTCTTTTGATCGTCAGTGAGCCGAATCTCTATGGTGAAGCCCCAGAACGCCGCCGCAGCAGAAAACTTCATTTTGCAGGTATTGACCCCTGAATATACGCACTTGCAACAGTATTGGCATGAATCGGTATTAACCGAAGCACCGACAGACGGCACCCTCAATGATCGCATTATGTAATGTGGCATCCTGTGGACTGTATTGATTCGTCTCTCCTTGCATCTGTTTACCTCTACGTTGCTGTTTGTGTGTCTCGCATGTACTCCCTTTCACCGTCCTTCATTTTCAAGCCTTTTGTTTCGTGCATATACGTTTCTTATTTGCTGTTTGCCTCGCAGGCTGCTCGTTCGGGCGCTCTCCAACCTCCGGTGTCTGAAAGCACGTTAATAGAAATCCTTGAAAGGATATCTGGGGCCGAAAATAAAGCGTCAAACGCAAACCCGAAAGTCGTCGTAAGCAACTAACTACGCTTGAATTTATAAGGCTTTGAAATCAGGAATCTACGTATTCGTTTGGGCTTCAGGGACATTGGGATAAAGTGTGGAGGTTGGGCCTATGTTTGGGGTTCCGGATAGTCAGGGATGTCAGGGAGCAAGGATGGCACCAAGAAATAAGACATTTAAGATCCAGCTGAGGCATGGAAAGAGGAGATGGTGCAGAGCAAGCAAAGGGAGGGAAAGATTGACAGAGAGGGGAAGAGCCATGCAGAACAATAAGAACAGAAACGCAGATTGGATAAGAGAGACACAAAGGGGGAAGAGCTGCCTGCTTTTTTGCTGCAGATCAGGCGCCGGAGATTCGATGATGACGATTCAGATGAAGACATTTAAGCCTTTGAACCCGAAACTGTAGCTCCTCGCGTTGTCATGCACAAAAAATGCTAGTGTCCATGATGCACAAAGGCGAGACTAGGTCGGTATCAAAGGAAGATTGTTATGGACGAACTACAGCACGCATCTCGACAGATCAACAACCGATTACGCAGTAGCTCAAGGTGTTTACTGTCAAACGCGAATATGTAAACACAGATTAGGGGAAACGGCGCAGTGTCAGGTATTTGGAGTTATATTCTCCAGCCCATGCCCTACACCCCAAGCTATGGGTGTATCAGGGGGGCTAAGGGGCACGCACGTGCATAGCTGAACTGCTGCCTTCTTAATTTCTCGCTGTCTCGTTTCGCATTCCATGCAGGATTAGATTTCGTACAGCAGATGATTAAGGATTTTTAGAGCTCAAGAATTTGGGGTGGGGGCTAGGACATAGAGTTCTGTCTGTTCACCGCGCGTTTTAAGATCAAAAAAGCTCAAACTCGACTCTGCCCACAAGGCCACGTTTTATATTATTCTTTGCATGAATATTGACAGAGTGTATATCCTCTAGTGTGTGCGTGTAGAAAAATGTGCCACAGAATAGAACCCGCATATATATACATATTGTACGCATAGTGCATGCATACATAAAGAGATGTACACACATCTTTGTACACACATGTGCTAACCTGTCCGTCGGTGCAGGTTATATACATATACATAGCATTTCGATATATTAGGGTACATTAGATGTTGGAGAAATATACTGAGTATTTTTTTCCTGCGCATTCATCCTGGAGCACCTCTGGACCGGCAAAGGAAACTGGAAACCCTCCAGAGCTACTTGTATACAGGTGGATTTTGCAAACCTTCCCAGCTCCTAGCGTCTGGGCTCAGCATGAAAGTCCTGGGGCTTAATTTTGTCGTTGTGCAGCTGGCGAAACAAAACCAAGGCGGGGTTTACTTTGTAGAATCCCAACTTGGGATGCGCATAGCCAGTTGATGAGCATAGGATAGCGACTCCGGCATATCCGGTTGCACAAGCAGCAACAGAAGCTACTTTTACTGCAGCGATATGCTACGTCTTACTTGTATGGTAGCCTGATGAATGTATAGCTTGTCGTCATATCAACTGTTTTGCTTGCCTGTTTCTCACTCCATTGGTCTACGGTAGCGTGGTGGATGCATACTTGGTCACTGTATTCTCTATTCCTTTCAGTATTAGAGTGCTTCGCGTGAGCTTCAGGCAACATATGTGGTGTAGCACAATTCTCCAAATTGACTATAGGTTCACTGCATTTGCTGCATCAGAACGAGCTCTTAACCTCGTGAAGCTCTGAGCTCCCATTCCCCAAAGGGGAAGGTTCCTGTGCAGAGGCAGTGGAAGACATCGCAGGGACCATAATGAGCTGCGCTCCAAAGAGCGGGCATTCAACACCGGTGGAAATACGCTTGAGAAGTGCGGATTGTACAGAGGCACAACAATGCAGATTTCCACCTTTTCGTCTCCTTTCCCCTAGAGAGCAGACATGGGCCCTCTCAGCTGTTGTATGATACAGCAAACGTCCAAGGGCTTACTGTATCATGCGTACAACCAGAAAGAGAAAAAACCAGATATTGAGTGATCTGCCGGAAGAACAAGCTAGAAGGCCACTAGGCCCCTGAGCCATGGGAACGTGCTAGCAACAGATGCGTGGTATAGACAGCATGTGAAGCAATACAACATGGGCATGTGGGCCCACTCGTTTCCATAAATGGTCTGCGATTGCAACGGTGAACCAGTCAAGGGCCTTCACTCTAAGGACACCAAACAGCTAGTACTTGAATAAATCAAAGCGAGAAGCTGAGTAGCTGCTACGTATATTTAAATATTTAATTTGTTGATGGGATTTCCAACTAAAAGAGCTGCTGTGGTGTGTGCTGAGTTCATAGCCGCTGCCACAAGGTCGCCAAGCACCGCAGCGCTAGGCCCTTCTCCTGAAGCAGCAGTACGTAGCTACCCCGTTTTCGAAGAAGCAGCCTCACTGGCGTTTTGTGCAAGCCAGCGGCTATGCTTCCTCCTAACATTCCTTTGTCTCTCTTTGCCTTCCCTGCCTCTCGTTTCTTCTGGACACATAAGCCTCTTTCTACATGACTAGACGTATACATGTGCCTCTCAAGCCCTTATCTTTCTAAGCTCACTCTTCATGCTTACAAACATCGCACTTACAAACAAAACGGACAATCAAAATCCCTTAAATGAGTCCTCCCCACCATTACATAAAAATCACTCATCAATAATACCCTAGGAATACAGTTAGGGAGATTCCCAGCAGTGCCACAATCGCACTGCAGTAACTCCTCCCTCAATATTTCCTCAGGCAAGTAGAAATTCAAATAATGCTACGTGAGGAGGACGACGTATTCATGCTAGTCTGCTACGTAACTACTGCGCTGCTCGAGGATCACCAATTCTGCCAGCGAAAAGGACATGAAAAGCGTTTTCCTCTTCTAGCCACACCTGGAAAATAAATGGCTTATCAACTGTTACGGGGAGAGGCGTCTTTGGGAGAGGTAATGACATCGCCATGATGCCCATGGCTGTTGCAGCAGCCGCCTCAGTCCCTTCTTCATCCACTTCTATGTCTGCCTGATGAACATACGAGGAAACATACAATTCTTGATTCCCGGACATACCCGAAAAGTCCGCCTTTCCACGGGTGAACATCAAGTCGACTCCGAAGCCCTTGAACAGCTCAACAAGGTCTAGACTGTTGTTTTCTGCCGTCAGCTTAAACTTCGGGAAAGACAGCACTAATTCATGTTCAGGAAGAGAGCTCCTGCCAAGGCGAGCTGCAAGCTCCTCCAAATGTTGGGGGTTCGCCGCAAGTTGCACTTCAAAAGCGCGAATATCATCGGGCATATACACATTTAGCTTTAAACGGTGATCAACGTACGGCAAGGAGAATGCAGTGATCCCCTCCTCTTTCAAATACGTAAAGCCATTCTCAAGTCGCTGCCTCATAAATCGCACATGCTGCGTCTTTGTCTGCCCAGGTCCTGTCTCTGCGTAAAAAATCCCCTCCGAAGTGCGATTCTTTGAAAACGGATGGAGCCAGGGGGCCTTGAAGTACAGAGCGTTTACCAGCACCATCCTACTCAAGGGTGACAGAGAACTGGCAGAAAGAAGTTCTGTTATGTGGTTGCGGGTTTTTTCAGCGACAAACGCATTAATCTCATGCGCTGCCAGATCTGGGTCTTTAAAGGAAATCGCCTTGGCATCACCGCTCATTTGCTGAATTAAATCCTTTGCGAAGTTGGAAAAATACGGATTTTTTTCTAGTGTGTCATCAACATATATTCGATTTGCTACATCCAGAAGGACTACTTCTTCTTCAGGGTCCCAGGGTGAAAATTTCAAATCGGGTAAACGGAAGGATGTATCGGGGGGAAGTAGCGAATCCATTTGCAGCCTGGTGTGGCCTTCTGCCCCCCTCTGAGCCATGTGGAAAACCGCCATTATGCTGAATGGGGAAAACACGAAATTCGTTCGTTGGAGTCGGCTACATTCTTGTAAGACAGCAGAGAAGAGCACCGAAGCAGCGCGATCTGAGTCGTTCTCTGTGGCTTCTGATGTAAAAATCATACATCCCACAAAAGCCAGTAAGGAAAGTCGTGCTGGGAAACGAAGTAACCTCATTCTCTGAAGGTACGCGCAAAAAGAGGTCGTAGTCTCGATCCTCGAGAGGGCATGAAGAAGATGCACAGAAAGATGACGAAGTCAGCAGGAGAACCAAATAAACAGGTATCACAAAGTACAATGAGATTAATGAAGTGAAATAATCATGAAGGAATCACCATAAATGCGGGAGATTCTTGCTCAGCATGTGCATTGGCTCGAATGCTGAGCGTCGCGAAGATCCCGGCGGGGTGACTTTGCAGCCTGCTGCTTTCCGGTAAAGTAGGCGTATTGACGGTCGTTAGGACAAGCATATGGTACAAGGGAGCATGTTGGTACTCTTTTTGGGTAGCTAGAGGCATGCGGTCACTTTGCTGTCTGCTATCAGTTGTTTTTTTTGCTGGAGTCCTAGTACTTGCCACGTACGGCTTTCCGGTGGACAACGCATCAAAAGCCTCCCCAACTTTAAAAATTCCTTCTTTTAGCCGACCATATATTTATTATGCTGGGCCACACACAGTATGAGCTTCAGCTCTAGCTGTTTTTCGGTATCGTTACTGTGTAGTATGCCATTCCGCTCACGGAAGCTGCGCCTACACGCGAAAAGAAGTGCCGCTCATGTTCATTCTGTTCCGGGTGTATATCAACCACTTGACGCAAAGGGAGCTTTAAAATATCCTTGAAGACTCCCGTCGTTCCATTATCGGCAGTTTTAGCCCTACTCGTGACGGCAGCCAAGTAGTGTATCGCTCCAATTGTCGACTCCAACAGGGTAACTTTCGCCTCAAATCTACCATGAAAGCCTAAATGGAAGTATTAAAGTGCTTAGTTTGAAGAGATATCTTCTTTCCTTGTCCTCGATTCACCCAGTACCAGCATGAGAGGACAGAGGACAGCTAGCGTGCTGGCTGCCCTCGACTGCAAACACTTGGAGCATTCGCAGCTCGCTGCCATGAATGTATACTCCACAAACAATCGGCACGTTCATTCTTCTGGTATTGAGCTCAGCATATCATGCGACAAATGGTATACTTCTGCAGCCGCACTAAGCAGTGAATTTTTAGTTAATTACAACGAATGCAATACGATGTAATGCTTCATTGAACTTTTGAGTAGGGAGACTCTTCACTCCAAAATCAAAACGGACCAAGTTAGTAAGCTATGAACTGCTTTTTTCCCATAGAGGGGCCCCGTTATTTCCTGCCCCTGCCCCTCAAGGTTCTGGCATGAGGGTAGAAGGGCAGCTTTGGTGCGGGTTGCTGCACCCTCCAGGCACTCCAAGTATTCACACCTAGTAGCACTTAGCATCCAGTGCAAACGCACGCAACAGTGCATTCTCTTGTAGCTAGCTATCATTACTCTTAATTAGGCAAGAAAAAATGGACAAACCCAATAGTCAATTTTTAACTGATTCGGAGCTAAAATTACTCGGGTAGTAGAGTTGCCTTAATGCACCTTTCCTGTCCACACAATCGCTACTCCCCAGGCAAACGGAAGCGCAAAAAAATATAAAGGCAAACACGCCTGAAAGAACGAAAGGCGGACCAAACTAATTGCACAACCGTGGCGGCGCGAGGCTCGCTGTCCTCATGAAGTTGAAAGGTGTGAGCCTCTCCAGGCAGAGTATTAATATGGACTTGAGGTGCATACCAGTTCAACAGTGTCTCGGTGCCTCATACAGCAGTGTCTGTATGCAAATATGCCTGGTTTACGCAGCATAGTGAGCTTCCCAGCCAGAAAAGGAGCTTAGGTGGGGCTGTAGAGCCAGCATACCTGATACTGCCTGCATATAAGTTGTAGTGCACAGAACATTCTAAGGAGAATAAGTGGCAACTTTCCAAGCAAAATTTGGAGATCGATGTAGCTGTTTCACAGAGAGCATGAAAGAGGAAAGGACGAATATCACGTAGTGCAAAGAACACCAATTACCATGGCTAGCGCCGTGAACCAAACAGAGCCCTAAGTGTCCCCAAGGCAATGATACCTGCTTCCCCTTCTGCATCAGCCAAAAGGGTTTTCTTTCCTCAACACTCCTTTCTTGGCACTTCCTCGTTGCATGTCTTCGGTGCTTAGTAGTCCTAGAATCCACCACTTCTACGGCTCCCTGTGAAGCCTCCGCCTCCATGCAGGTTACTTGCTTGAGCGGCGAAGTATGCGGGTTAGTCAGGGTGGTACAAAGCTTATTTATAAATCCTCTATCGATAGTGCTGTAAACTTTCCAACTGTTGGGGAATTCCATACACTAAGAGCAATGATTCGTGAGAGAATCACAAAAGGTCCTACTAACCTTACGGCAATTTTCTCCCGGTGGCCACCTCCTGATGCACCTCATGAAGCTATCCTCTCCACCAAGGCCTAATCTCCAGGCTCGAAAAATACAGTCCAATACCGCTTGGCATAATTTCATGCGTTTCTGCGTTTGAGTTATGCTCACACGTTTGACTGCCTTGGCCAGCTATTCTATGAGCTCCTTCCCTGCTAAGGGTGGCTGCTGGCTCCTGACCACCAGGCCCAAGACAAGCTCGGAGAGCGGCTTCTCAATGTAAAGTAGAGATGAGGGAAAGCAATAGATAGTCCTAGCAGTTTTCGTACTATAGACTCGCTCAGCCCAGGTAAGTATATCAGACCATGCACGTGGAGGGTTTTGGCGTAGAGTGGCAAACACTGCAGAGGAGTGCGGCTGGTGCGATTTGCCTATTCAAGTGCCGGGCTGGAGAGCAGTGTTCACATTCTGGACTGTTTGTAGGCGCGGTATAAGGGGATGCCAGAGAGTACTAACGAACTTCTGATCCCGATCCGTAACGATGCTCTTGCGTCTCCGTGAAGCTTTCGGACACGACTTCAGATTAAGTGACCAATATTCTGAGCCCCCACAGGGTGGGGACAAGGAAAGAGATAAGCGTATTCGCTGAGTTTTTCGACCACGACGTGGACGCTCTACTGACTCTTGTCCTCCACCGGTCCAACAATAGGCTCCATAGTCAGCTCAATTCATCTTCTCTCATAAACCAGACAGCTTTGCAAAAGCCTAATTTTAGGCGAACTGCGCAGCTTCAGCTGCATATGATTCGGTCATGGTAGTGTACACTCTTGAGGTTTAAAACAATTTCAGGTCGCCAGATAGAACGAGAGCTTTTGCACTGTAGTGCGAATCTTTTGAAAGATCAGAGCTTGATTGCTTCGAATAAGGCAGCATTGCGGAACAAAATTAGGATGTACAACCGACAGAGGCTACGCTTCGATTGGAGCCACGGCAGGCCATCCAAAACGGGGCAGTGCGTCATATTCCTGCCACTCCGGATTTGGTCATAAGAGCGAAAGTGTGGGCGTCTAAAATATGGGGTGTACGCAATTTCAACAGAGGCAGGAGATCCACACGGACAAAAGCGGATTAAGTACACAATGGTCGGGTGGTAGTGAAACGCTTAGTATACTGCGCTTGCTGTAAAGTAACTGTTCAAGCCACCAAGTAACTCCGATTTCTAAAGCCCAGGAAACCTTTTTTGCGAAGACCATATAGGAGCGATGGCCAGTGTTGCCAATAAAATAACACATGCGTTAATAGGGCTGGCATTTCTTAACCGCAGCCATGTTCTATAGAGTTGCATTCCCTGTGCTGGATGCCGCGGCTCCATTTCGGTGAAGCAATGAAAATACAAGGAATTAATTTGGTGTCTGGGAGAGCCTGAAGCCTCTGAAGCGAGAACCTCATGCACCTCTACTTCACCAGTCGGCTGCTAGGAAGAAATGGCCCTCCTTATAAGGCAGCGGGAGTACAGGGAAGAATTGCAAGGTGGCTGGTGAGTGTCCGTGCTCCGGCATCAGCCTCCTTTGTCCAGGTCATACAGAGCAGCATCTTATATTAATTGATCAAAGGGGCGGCAATCCTAGCACACCCACGAATGAAATTCGAGCACTAAAATGCAAAATTCACAATGCTTTCATTTTTCTTTCAAGTGTAGAAAGGCAAAGGCCAAGCCTTTATTGCCTCAGTTTTTGCTGGATTTGGCTCAATCCCCGCTGTAGAAACGCAGATTCACCATAACATATTTGTCATAAGAACCACAAATTCCTTACGTACCACTGCGTGCAACAACTGAAGCGCACGCTCTAGGGGCTGGAGGTGCACTTAAACGTCTCGGCTGAATACCAAAACGGCGTCCACATGGTCGGCCAATCACCCCAGCTTAATGGGCTTTAGAAAGTTCCAGATGAAAAAAGCTGTCTCAGCAAGTTCGAGCAGTGCACAGGTATACGCAGGTTCCAGTGTGTGTGTGCGTAAGGCTTTTCGTGACTGCTGTTGGGTGATTGGGGATTTGCAAGAAAGTGTCTGTGAATTCATATGCATAGGCTTTTGATCGGTGAACTGTTTAGCTAAGTCGCCAACAAGATGCATCATCACCATCTGCATTCAAGGTTTTTTCAGAGATGTAAAGCTGACGCGTATGCGCCACCTCCCATTCGTGTTCGGCGCCAAAACGAAAGTGAACCAAAAGACGCCGGTCAAATTCAGAACTTTGCCTTTTGAAGCAAGCAGCCGCTTACCCCTCAATCTTCTCTTCATGATATGGAGCCTTTTGGTGTCGCAGATCATAGTCTGGAGCTGACTCAGGGAGTAGCTCTATCGAGTGTGCTGGACGACCAGCAGGTGGCCGGCCTGATGTTACCTTGTCCTTGTCTAGTACATCCACCGAATCCCCTTTAATAATAACCATTTCCTATTCCCCTGGGCAGATAGATTTACAAAGCACCATAATAAACACTGGTTGCAGAGCCACCAAGAGTGCATGCATGCTCGAAACCATCTTCTCTTACTGTGCTGCTGAGGATCCAGTGTTGAGACTGTGCTTCACCTTGCTGAGGCACCAGCTCTACCCAACCTGCAATAAATACTTCAAGTGTCGATAAAGATACCAAGGGCTGCTTCTCCTTAGTCCTTCCTGGTATATTAGAACGCACACCGCTCAGTTGTGGCCGCATGCGCACCTTCCATTGGGTCACCAATGGCATAGCTAAGATTACATCGCGGGGCACCGGTCTCATATGAATGTTCACGAACTGCTGATAGGGCGAAATTTCAATTTGAAGTACCTCTTCCCTGCCGAACATTTCCAAATCCTCAGATCTGCAACTAGGCAGCAAAGTTGAGCGTTGAAACCTGCACTAATAAATGAATAAGCAAATCGCATTTTGTGCCAAATCCTTGATAGTAGATCCACTTCGTCTCCAGAAACTAGCAGCTCTTGACCGTTAGGGTACCCTTGCATTGACGCAGAATTGGTATTCTGGTCATCCCCAGCTGCCACTCTATCCTCTGTGGTTCCCGTCATTGCGTCTCGGGCCACATGATGAGCTTGCCGTTGTCCTATTGCGCCTTCTCAGCTCGACAACTGCTTTCTCTCACTGTGCGCAGTCCCTTTGCACAAATTCTTTTGCTTTTGCATGAGCTTTCAGTTCCAGACACTGTGACCCTAGTTTCTACAATAGGGCAGGTGTGCTGCTGGGAGGCCAATTGAGACTGACTAGAAGAGCGCGTACCCTCTGGCTTTCCTCGTCGTCCACCGTGGCATGTAGGCTAGGGCCGGCTGACACAGCCCCTACATCCCTAGGGGTGAAGTCCCGGCTCAGTTGGTCGTCAGCCAAACATGCAGGAGTTGCAAGTATTTGCTTCTTAAAGCTCAAGTGCTCTATCACTTCTAGTATACTCACCGGTTGGTTGTCTAAGGGCTCAGTCACTGCCCAACTTACGACACCTGACGGAATACTTCGAGTACGCCTGAGACAAACCACTAATAAGGTAGCGATTTCTCCAAGGTGTGGCTTTTGCAAGCCAAACATTTGTATCTCTCTATCTGGCTACATCCTTACTGATTCCCTTGCTTCAATCCTTCCTGTTCTCCCAAAGGCTTGGTGTTGAGCTGACTTTGACTCCATGGGTCAGTCAGGGCTTGTATGAGTGCTAGAACTGTAGAAATCCCTGCGGGCAGACGCCTTCCTCTGCATTTTTAGAGCCACTACTGTAATGGCTCTGCCTCTAATAAGCATGCCAGAAGAAGCGGGCGTTGCTCTTCAGCTGTGAAGTACAGGGCGAGGTACGTTTCAAACCGACTGATGAAAACTTGGAGTACTTGCCCATTGTGGCTTTCACTTTTTTCTGGTTAGCATAGCCTCATCGACGCATCCATAAATATTTTGCTGAGGGCTCATGTTTTATTGAACAGCTGTGGATCTACTGCGTTCATATTGGCTTGCAGGCCGGCCTCGGCATTTTCCCTCAAGCGCTGCGCCGTCCTCCTTTGCTAGTCGGTCTTTTGTTCTGCCTGCTGCCACGAGAATCTAGCTCTTCAACTTCCAAATAATTGAACAATGTTACACAGATGTTTCATGGGAACCCGACATCCCACTGCATCCACAGCCAGTGGATGAGCGAGGAGAACTTGAACCGAATCATGCTGTGCCACCAGCGGTAGTGTTTCAGTTCCATGTGTCTTCACCTGGACATACTAAAGTCCAGGCTCAATTTAAGCCGAAACAGAAAGTTGTTGAGTGATTTCAAAGGAGCTCCCCCATTTTCATGCCCGCGTCCCTTAAAGTTCCCGACATGAGGGGAGAGGGGCAGCTAGGGTGCGCACAGCTGCACCCTTTAAGCATTTCAAGCAACCAATACCATTTGCACACAGCATCTAGAGCACACGCACAAAAAAAACAGTTCAACTAATTGTATTCAGCTGAAAGTACTCTGCAAAGAAGTATATATACGAACAGACGATTCAAAGGGCAAATTCTTAGTGTTTTAACTCTTTGGTGAAAGAAGCTAGTGTGGTAAAAAGCTTCCCCATGCAGCATAGCTCACTAGCAGCAGCGCTGCAGAGATTGTGGAGGCTGAGCTTGCACATCCGTAATCCGAGATATCTCGAGTTCGTAGCAGATGCGATGCGACACCCTTACACTGTGGGGTCTAAAACACCATTAAGTTAATTCTGGGCGGGTTGCAGTGAGACGGCTCGCACTCAACGGCCAGACAATTAATTTTGTACTGCGTGGACAGACAGAATATCGCATAAGGCAAAATCGACTGACCTTACACCTCATTTACCTCAATGGCTGTAAGGTCATTCTGCATCTTTTTGTCATGTTAAAAGCTACCTTTTCCAGTATTCTTCCCTAAAACGTAAAATGTGCAAAGTCACTATGTATTCTTCTTGGCAATGTGAAGTATCTTCGAACTAACGCCATTGCACACAAGCGTAGCACGTTTTTGTTACAGTTCCATGGGCTCTCCCTCTGGGGGCCCCCAGGGCACCAAGGGGTCTCTAGCAGGTGCCGATTTTTAGTTGAAGGTCTCTATTGAAAAAGAATGATGTGAATTCGGCAAATGTATTCATCCATATGCTATGAAGGGACGCAAAACGTGCTAACGGTTCCTGTGGCTTCCACCTCCCAGAAGACACAGACAACAGAGTTTGAGTTTTTGGTGTACACACACCATAAATAAGGCGCAGGTCCCTCTACTATGCGGATCACTGTGAGGCCTCCTGGGCCTGTAAAGTGCCTTTTCGCCGTTATTTTGGCGTTTAGCTGCTTCTCGTGGGAGAGCCTATGGGGGAGCCATGCAACGGGCATCTCCAGGGGCCCCCCCACCATACAGGAGGGGCCTATACAGACAAACTATGAGGCAGCAACAGCTGTGGGCTTTGCGCACAGGGTCCCCTTGTGGTGCAAAGCGTTTGCGCTTGAGAAGGCTTTCAGTGTTTGCAGGGGCAGTAACTGCAAGGCCGACAACACTAGTGTGCTAACTCAGGTATTTCAGGATGGGGCTTGCGTGCTTTTGATACTGCTGATGTTGATACTCGTTGCAGATCAGGTGGAGTGGCTACTTTGCCAAGTGGGTGGTCCAGTCTTCACCTGGCCCCAGGGGTTGAGAGGCGGCAATCGCTGCAGCAATGGGCCAGGGGATCCAGATAAGCTGCTGAAAGAGCTAACATCCCTGCAGCACCAGAAGCTGCAGCTGCAGCAGCAACAGCAGCAATTCTCCCCTACAGCCGACTTTGCCGCGTACACTCGGCTACAGCGCCGTATAGACCAGCTGGAAAGGGCCAAGGAGGCATGCTCCACTCAGCTCCAGCAGCAACAACAGCAGCACCGGCAGGAAAGCAGCACTAAAAAACTGTTATTTGGAGTTGCTTATCGCATGGCACTTAGACCTCTCGCGCGGAGAGCTGTGAAGGTGCTTCTAATACCCTATCCTTCGTACAGAAACAGCGACTTGTCGGGGTCTCCAGGCGTCCGTATGATGAAAACATCTAAGAAGTGTGGGTGGGACGTGACACACTTGTTCTGGCTGTCATGGGATACGTGTTGCTTTAGCTGTTACCTTCTCGTGTGCAACCTAAGCTGAATAGCGGGGGAGCTAGCGGGCTGCGTTTGTGTCTCAGCCGTTGATTTGCTGGTGGGTCCTCTCGAGCGTTTTTGGAGCAACAATCGAGCTGCCCACAGCCCAGATCGCTCCGCTCTTACGTAAGTCTCCACTCAGAGCATGAAATTCAATGTTCTCCAAACGCTGACTGAGTTTAGGTTAACCTGGAGCATGTTGCTCACTCCTCATTTTTTTCCGTAAGGCCGCAATCTAGTTCTTCCGCCCTCTTCCCACTGGAAAATGCGCCATCGAATCCTTTCAGAGTTCGTAGGTTGTGTTGTCTGTGCTTTTTGTTTAGCGATTGGAGAATTTTACCAGCTGCCATTCCCCTACGCATATCTCATTTGTCGACTGTTCCTCAATGAGATGTACAGACACGTCGCGCTCTTGAAAAGAGACCAAGACTCCAGGACGCTAAAGAAGGCTTAGAAGTATTGATCCAGTCCACAAATGTTTCGCTTAGGCGCCCTAGATCCCACCTCAAATAGCTCGGTCTCAGGATGGTATTCTGTAGGAGACGGGGAACCGCACATTCCCGCGCTTCGCAGCACTGGGGGTAGCTGAAGCTGGCCAAGATGGTCTGAATTTTGAACGTTCGTGCTTTATAGCTAGGTATCTAACTGCTTAGAAAACTAGGCGGCAACATGGCGAATATATGCAGCTTGTTGGGGCCAAACGAAGTTGAGATCAAACACCAGCTCATCCTCTGGTCACCGCAAGTGTGCGCATCGGGAAGGCGTTCAGCAGCTGACTCAAGACTCTATACGTGTTCAGGTATGCCTGCCACCTTTATGCCTCTGGTTGCAGCTCGCGCTCTATCAGGGGCAAATTACAGGCAAGCTGGCTCGGAGTCCTCGTGTTTGGGACTAGTGGCCGGTGTCTCTAGACCTTGCAGCGGTCAATTTCATGCTATATCCGGAACTGCAGGCAGGGTATTCTTCTTTAGCCACATACCACCAAGTAGCAGCAAACAACACTGGCAACCAAGGAGAGTAACCTTCGTCGTGCAGGCACGAGGGATATGATTCCTCCCAACCAGATTAAACTGCCATACAGTCGCAACAGTGCCATCTACGAAAGAACTCTGCTTGCAACTGTGTACTACACGGATCGGTTGCATTGCAAGGATAGATTCTTACTCTGAGTCTGACACATTTAGCCCGTTTCATTGCATGCTACGCTAGATTGCATCAGAGCAAGCCACACTGAGCAAAGGGCATTCCTGCGTCTCACAGGCTCGCACGCGGATTGCAGCTTCTATGGTCCTAGTTGAAGTGGCCGACCAAATGGATGGTTTTGGAAAAGACATATGGAAGGCACCCTTTCTCCGCCAGTCGTTCTTGCACTCCTATAGCTTTACTCTCGATTCAGCGTTGTTTGAATAAAGATTGAAACTTTACAAAAGTAGGAGTGTTGATGTCGTAAGTCATTCGCTCCACAGAGCACTTATGGTGCGTGATCGCTGGGGCGACTTGCGGATGCACTTGTACACAGACCATGGAGTGTGCGTGCACTATGTGGCTGAATGTATCATAGTATTCCCGTATATTTTATCCTTTGGAAAACAATATGCAGGACCTTTAAAACGATTTCATTATTGAATCAATTCAAGGCGATAATTGATAAGCAAAAGTACTAACGTGGCCTTGGGCCTAACGTTGAATAGCGTGTATTCGTCCCACTCCATGAAACTAGTTACTCTCTTCGTCATGCGTGAAATGAAAAAAAAATCCTTCTGCGAAAGCCACATGTTTAAGGCCTGAAGAGCTCTCCTAAAACGCTCGCTGCTGCTTCCAATTATGAGCAGCAAATGGAGAAGTTGTTTCCATTCTTGCATGTAGTTGAGCGCCAAGCACATGTAAAGAAATGTGTACGCACTCCATTAGGTACAGAAATTGTTAGCGATGGCCACGAAAGAATGAAAACTTCTTACGTAAATAGCGCACACACTTACCACACACAGTTAACACGACATGTATAATTTGGCTCGGTGTAAGCTCGCCCTTCTGCCGGGAGCTTCTGCTACGGCTTTTCGTTGGACACTAGTATGTGTGCGTTTCCAGCCAATAGCTATACACCCTGTAGTTGCAGCTTGCAAGACCCTGAAAGGCGGTGTATAGACGGTTAGCTGTGAATCTTCAACTTCACTGACACTACCCACAATTGAAAGCCTGAGGTAGTTTGCTTCGTGCAGTGAGAAAATATATAAACCATAGCAATTAATTTGGTACATTGCACTTTGATTCCAGATGTTTTTTATTCGTGCAAACACAGTTCTACAGATATCCGTACTTCCATGTGTGGATGCAGATATCCGAGAAGATATATACCTATTATTACAAGGGCACACACACAAGCACAGATGACTGTGGTATAGCTGCTCGCATTATATATACTGCGCCTTCGGCGGTGTGTAGTTCTGTACGTGTAAATGCCGATAGTATAAACAGATGCTATTATACCATTCACAGAAAAAACAGCACTGGAGTTTCTCTTGCACCTTGCCAGATTCCGTCATTACCTGCTAGTGTACTCGTGCTGATATTCATGCATTAAGGACCCCGTAAATAGAAATGTACGCAGGAGCAAGCGGGGAACTGGATCTACCTCTATGTACTCGGTGGCAGCACAAGGGGTATATTTTGCCAGTTCTTTGAGCGATAAGTCATGCGAACTAGGCACGCACACTGTTAACGCCCACAACGTATGCACAATGCACACTGACCGCATTCACATGGCACATATGCAAAAAGATATGCACGCTACATAATACCTACCCAAGAACATGGGTGCTTTGTTCCCCTGCGTCTCTAAGTTGATTATGCAGATGCGCCAATACAGGAACCAAGAATAATACGCAGAAAAGCTCTGGTAGGAGACTTGGACGCCTTATTTTTTGTTGCGGGTGCTTCTTTGCTTCTGCAACCCTGGTGCGCCTGCAGAACTGCTGCGTACGATGGCTAATTATGTGTGCCTTTTCTTCGTATCCTTTGATATGTGATGATATCTCCACAGCTTCTGCTTTGGTTCAGTGCTGTTCAGCTAACTAATGGAGGCATGTTACAGGATCACATGAAACAGCACTGGCAAATACATATATCACAGTCTACTTACTAGGAACACAAATTCACCTACTGATTTTAAGTACTAGGACGAACGAGTTTTATATGAAAATTGAGGACCTCCTGTCTTGCTGTGTATGCATTACGAATCCTATATAAATACATATGTATGGGAGTGACAAACCAGTTCCCATTGCATGACTACCACTCCTTTATTGTGTATTGAGCTTAGTTTCAGTATGGCCGACTGGATGGCTCTAGTATTCGTAGATTTGGTCTTCTCAGGGGCATGTGTAAATTGCTGCTGAGAAAAACCGTAGCGTATGCTCATGCGACAATTGCCTATGAGCCTTCTCACATGCTGCGTCTAGCCTGGAAAATAATCTAAAACGATTTCGAATCCCACACGAGCGGCAACGTAGGCGCCTGAAGCCATGCAGTACTGGCTGATGAGGAAGAGGGACGGCTTGGGCACACCTAAAGGCTGCTTAAAAACGAACAGCACTATGTACCTAAGTCAGAAAACTACTTCCATATCCAGTGATAAAAGGAGCACATATGCAGCCCAGTAACACTGACTGATTTAGCCTGCCTTCGTCAGCACAACTACTCTAGAGGCGACAAACTTCTAGCCACTTAGTCTTATGCATCGGCTCCCTGTTCTGAGCTATATGCTGCATTTGCAGCTTCAAATGGAGCTTATGCAGCTACTCCAGCTCCAAAAAGTGCCGCCATGGGCCATTAAAGTAGTCTTGCACTATGCTTTATGAAAAAAATAGTGTATTCAGAAGCTGACCTATCAAAACCTGTATAATATCATATGTAGCGTAGTATATTATCTCACGTGATAAGGTAAATGTGCTACGTATCAAGCTGCGTGTAATTCTGTGAAGTACCTGTAACAAACCATCTTGAAAGTCCCCCTAGAAATACATGTTTTTGTCTGGAGACCCAATATGTACTGAAATAGAAAGTTATTAAATGCATTCCAAGAACAACTTCCTACTTTCGGTGACAGCACCCCTCAGCACTCGGATATGAAGGGGGAACTAGAGCTAGGGTGCGTGTAGCTGCACCTTCGAAGCACTCCGAGCACTGACAGCGAGTCGCACATAGCAGCTAGCGCAAGCGCACACAACGCAGCATCTTCTCTTACTTACCTACCGGTACTGAGCAGCAAGTAAAAAAGCTAAACAGAAAATCCAATTCGTAAATTCATATGCTATTCTTAATTAAGTACACCCAGTTTTGATAGAAAGCCATCAAGTGTAGCTCAGCCCCGTCTATCGCCCTCCCCTGCCCCAATTTCCGAATTTATAATCGCCCTCGTGTATCAGACCTGTAGGTTGAGATCAGCTACGAGGACAGCAGAAGAGCTTCCAGCCGATTGTGAATCCGCCATGCTCCTCCCAGAGTGTTAGGAGAAGCCAGATTTATTACAGTAATGGCTCTACTCGTGCAGAGGAAGCCGTCCACTCGCAGGAATCTCTACAGTTCATCAGTCAGCCATAGCCTACATGCCAAGGTGGACTACGAAAAAGGCCAGATGATACGCGCGCTTCTAGGCAGTCTCAAATAGCCTTCTCACAGCACACTTGCCCTATTGTGGGAAAAAGAGTCACAGTAGCCAGGACCGAAAGTGCATGCAAAAACAAAAGAATCTCAGCGAACGGACTCTGCACAGTGAAAGCAGGCAGTTGTCGAGCTGAGAAGGCGCAATAGGGTAACGGCTGGCCCACAATGCGTGCTGCGGCGCAATGAAGAGAGCCACAGAGGATAGAGTGGCAGTTGGGGACAACCTGAATATTTATTTTGCGTTAATACAAGCGTACCCTATTGGCCAAGAGCTGCTAAAGTCACTGGACTAAATGCAAAGTACAAGTTATTATCGAGGCGACGGTGCAAAAGGACATTATGCCTGCTGACTCGTTAGCACAGTCTTTGATACTCATCCTCGCTGCCGTGTTGCACAACGCGAGGATTGGCAAGCCTACTGTTCCACTCCATCGCCTATTTTCCAAGGGAGGCACGTAGCCCCCAATTCAAAAGAAAGCTCATCGAGCGCTATTGGTTGGTTTTATCAGAAGTCTCCTATTTTTCGTCTGGCTCCCCTTAGATTTCCCGACATGAGAGAGGGACAGCTAAGGTGCGACTAGCTGCAGCCTCTAAGCATCCAGAGAACTTATAGCTAGTGGCGCATAGCGTTTTTGGCCGCTGGCAGACAGCATTATATCCTATCGTCATGCGCTAACAGTACTAGGCAAGAAATATAACGAGCAAACAAATCAGTTTCTCAATTCTTCACTGATTCTGCTTCAAATGCAACTTATCTAGTAGAAACTTCCAAATGTGGCTCAGTCCGCTACAGATGATGCACGTAACTGCTGTTTTAGAGTGAAATTGCCCCTGATAAGCATGGTCCATTACTTTTATATTGGACCCATGCACCACGATGTAATCCTGTACATGCCATCGGCGAGCCGAAGAAAGGCACGCGTGCGTCCATAGCTGCGCGCCGTAGATGCCGATGTGGCATGCAGCACTAAAACAATCAGCATCTTGGACTTAGTATCAGCGATTATTTCTTTTATGGTTCGCAGGGTAGGGCTGTGGCGTCAACGAGCTAAGGCACAGTCTTTTTGGGGGCGGCCCAGCATCACAGTAAGACAATGGGGTTCTGAGCATCTAATTGCACTACCATTCCCACATCGTTGTCAGCAGCTGAAGCGGCCCAAGTTGCCTAACCTAGGCCCTTTTGCAAAGCCATCCGGTTACTAATAAGAACCTAATTGATTTGCCTATGGACTTTTCGCTGGAGTGCCGATGGTCAAGGGTGAGGATAGTGTCAAGGCCGTGTTCGACAAACCCGCCTAAGATGCTCGTTTCATCCCTTGCCCCAGGTCTACGGAGGCTCAACAACTTAGTCACTTATTCTTTGCTCATGTATGGAAACTCCACGGATCCCCTAAGAGTATCGTTATGAATCGGGATCAGAAGTTCGTTGTTACTTTCTGCCGTGTCTTTATAAGCAACTCAAAATTGACCATAATGTGAGCACCACAGCAATTCGAAGGCAGATGGGCAGAGAGGGCGCACCAACCGCACTCGTCTGCAGTAGTTCGATTCTGTGCACGCTTAACTCCAATTGCGTAGGTGGGTTTGAGTTCTTGAGCTTTGTGGGTTTGTAATGCGAAAGCTGGCCGGTTTATCCGTTGCTTCCCGCATCTCTGCTCTACATTGAGGAGCCACTCTGCGATCTTGTATTTGGCCCGGTAGTTGGTAGGCAGCAGCCGCCGCTAGCAGTGAAGGGATTCGGGAATAGCTGGCTTCTGCCCGCGAATGTATGCGAAAAGCTAAAAACAGACAAGCACGGGCGGTTAGCCGCTGTGTTCTCCGAGCCTGAAGATTTGGTCTTGGTGAAGCTGGTGGTCCTACCAGGTGCATCAGGAGACTACAGAAGAAGTTTGTTGTAGGGGTGGTAGGACCCTGTGTGATGCTCTCATATATCAATAACCTTTCTTAGTGTATGGACACCCCAAAATTTTGGAGATTCCACAGCACTATCGATATTGGTCCCCTATAGAAGATTCAATTATTCCCGACATATTCGCTGACTTTGCCGGGCAGGCAACTGACCTGTATGGAGGCGGACGCTGCACAGGGCGCCGTAGAAGTGTTGGAGCCTAGAACTACTGAGCACCGAAGGTATACTAGAAAAAACTGTCAAGGGAATATGCTGGGGAATGCAGACCTCGTTGTTTGATAAAGGGAGGGATGCCGGATTCATCGCCTTGGGGAGAATTTGCGGCTGTGTTTGGATGACAGCGCTAGTTGCTAAGCAAAGTACGCCACGCATTCCCGGTCATTCTCCTTTCCCCGGTACCTCGATCAATAGCTGTTGCTTGGAAAGCTGCCACTTGGCACCAGGACTCTTTTATCAAAAGACATCTGCAGGCGCCCAGGTATGCTGACTCTGCATCCTCGCTATTGTCTCTTTTCGGACTTGAAAGGTTACTATGCTGCACGAACCCTCTTCGTTTGCATGCAGGCATTGCTGTATAAGACACGAACGTACTGTTGAATTGATGCGCATTTCGATTCCCCTTACACCCTTCACTTGTTTTCTGCATTTACATAGCACGAGGCTCACACCTTTCAGGGATCCAAGGATAGCGAGCCATGGCACCGCCACGGTCGTGTTGTTTTAGTCCCTGTTCCGTTTTGGGCGAGTGTGTAAGTCTTCCTCCATTTTTTCACTGGTTAATGCACACTTTGCCCTTTTTTATGCGCTGTGTTTCGTACTCCCTTGTGCTAAGGGAGTGGCAGTAGTGCAGCGGGCAAAACTACACTTTGGCACGTTCTCCTGCATGGCTTATACCTGGCTAGCTGTGAGTAGAAAATTGACTAGTGGTTTGTCCGTTCGTACGTTTGTTAGCTGCAGAATGCTGTTAGCTAGATACAAGAACGGGGTTGTGTGCATGTGCGCTTGATGCTATGGGCAACTCACTGCGAATGCTTCGAGTGCTAAGACGGTGCAGCTATGCGTACCCTAGCTGTCCCTAACCCCCTTACATAGGAAACCCTAAGGGGCGCTGGCAGAGGAGGGCAGGAGTTTTTCTAAAAGGGTTAATAACTTTCTGCCAGGTTTGCATCAAGTTTGGAGTATAGTGTGGTTCCTTATAGAGACGCTAGATGGACCGTTTCAGCAAACACGAACCCTTCAGCATCGTTTAAAACCAGCTCTCCCCTTTTCCTGCCCTCATGATTTCTGCACGTGGAAAGAGGGCAAACAGATTGCGCTTCGCTGTACCTTATAAGCAATAAATATTCATTACTTTCTGTTAAAAGTATCTGGCCCACAGGTACACAACATAGATTCTTGTGGTGCGTGGGCTAAATCTACCCCGCAACAAATGACATATGGACAATCATGCTAAACGATTATTTCGCACTAATTCCCAAATGACCCCCAGCCCCCAAGATTTTCGCATGCGGGGAGGGGGCAAACAGATTGTGCTTCGCTGCACCATATAAGCAATGAACATTCACAAATAGCTGCAAAAAGCATCTGGCCCACAGGTACACAACACAGTTTCTCGCGGTGCTTGAGCTAAATCTACTCTGCAACAAATGACATATAGACAATTATGCCAAACGATTTTTTCCAACTAATTCTCATTTGACCTATAGCCATGGTAGTCAAAAGTGCCGAAGTGTGATCTCGCTAGATCAAGTGCCGCTTGGACCGCTGCATCGTGCGTCTCCAGCCAGCTCGTTCAGCAAAATGCATTTCTGGCGCAAACTTGGCGATAAATCATGGGAGTGTGTGCCAGATTCAGATTTACTTGCATGTACTTGTCAGGCAGTCGCAAGCAGTGGAGATTCCCAGAGATGCCCGGGCTATTTTTCTCAGTTAGCAAAGGTCGCCATCCTTCTCGTGTCTTTCTCAGCCAGATAGACACTTGGAGGGAGAAACACACAGAGATCGCCAGATGGAGAGGCGTGGCAAAGGAAGACAAAAGGAGTAGGGCACAGAAAGGCAGACAGTGCGCGGGAAGGAAATGCAAGAGACGACTGAAAGAGTAGAAAACTCCCGAAGCGCAGTAGCTACACGGCAGAATCCTGCGATATCAGGGTCTCTATTGATTTTCAAAATACCTTGATTGCGCATGAGAAAAACAACTCGAAGACAATTCAGCAACAACTCCTGTTGTTGAGCTGCCGCGGTACCTGCAGCAGCAGCGCGTGGGCCCGCCACTAGCAGCAACGCCAGCAAGAACGGCAGCCACAGCAGGCTTTCCTGTAAATCATCAGCTCCGCCTGTGTGTATTCATATAAACATTAGCAGGCACCTCATTATGAGGGCTGAAGCCCTCGTCTGACGATGCTCTCCATTCTTCAGGCCGTTGCCGCTCGAGAGAGGACAGCTGCTGAGCCCAAAACGTTTAACCCCAAAGCCTAACTCGTGGGATTCCCCGGACGTTTATTTCTTTTTTCGACAACGCCGAAAGCTCAGCTCACACGAAGCACACTCAGAAAAGGCTTTCCTCCCCAGCACAGCTGCAGCGTTCGAGCCGAGGGTTTAGGGTTTAGTCTTTGCCGAGTATTCTTCTCTTGGAAGCGCCACGGGAAGTGAACAGCAGCAGGTAGAGCCGCTTCTCCTTCAGCCGCTTCCCTTGAAGCCTGCACACAAGCACGGCTTCCTCCCAACAAGGACCCCAGGCCGACCTCCTTGAGTCGCTGGCTGCGCGTCACCCTCAATTTCTGCTCCCTTCACCAGACACTCCGTCGGCGACCACGCCTCACCGCAGAGACGGCGCTGCAGCACACCAACAGCGGGCGGGATAGGAACGTAGAAGGCCAGAGCGAGGCAGAGGACGAGAGTGAGTAGGAGGATACGCAGACAGAAAATGAGAGAGCAACAAGGAAGGGTTCATGACGAGCTCCTGGAGCCGGCAGAGGATCAAACCAAGCAGCCTAAAGGCGACTTGCAACATCCCAGGGGGCCCTCTGCCACGGCGTCCAACGACGGGGCCCTTCACGTAAATGGCACTGAAAAGGATGGCAGCAGCAGCAGTAGCAGCAGCAGCAGTAGCAGCAGCAGCAGTAGCAGCAGCAGCAGTAGTAGCAGCAGCAGCAGCAGCTGTAGTGGGATTCAGCCGACAGGCGTTTCACGTGTAGCTCAGATCGCAGCTCCGACATCTGCGGCAGGATCCTCAGCAGAGACGGCAACAACAGCAGCAAAGAGGGAGAACCACAGGAAGAAGGGCACCACGTGGATGGACATCTTTTCTTTGGGCCGGTGGCGCTCCAGCGGCAGCAGACAGCAAGGCGCTATTCAACTTGCACAGGCTTTTGGCACTCCAAACCAGCCAGGCAGACCGGTGTGTAGGCTGTGGAAGCGCAACATATTAGCCGGCACTTTGTGTACTTCTTCACTGTCTCGCGGTTCTTCTGTCCCTCTGGCATTTGTTCATCTTTTTAGCGCGTTGCGTTGCGGATTTCTTAATCGGCGTAGCTTTCTCACGCTCTCAACATCGCATTCGTTCCGGTGTCGCCTCTCCGCCCCATTCTCCCCCCGTCCTCTTCTTGTACTGGAAGCTTGCCACTTGCTCAGTCCTCGTATCTCGGAGGCATGGGCAAGTCGACTGTACCCTCTTGCGCACGTTTTCCAGTTCTCGCTTCCTGTGACTTGTGCCTCCACAGGGTCCAGTCATTGGTGTCTTCGTGTGCAAGGGCCCTCGCAACGAGCTTCAAGGTCTAGTCGTGGCTTCTCCCCTCTCTCTGGAGCGCTTTTCCTTCGAAGGGCAGCTGCTGCAGCGGGCTGCTCCTCCGCAGCCGCTCACCTGTTGCAGAGGAGGAAAGATAGGGGGTGTTGGGAGGGTGCTGCTCTGCGGATCTCAGTCCGGAACGGTCTTCATCGTGAATGCGGAGACCTTTGAACTCATGCTCGAACTCGACACGAAAAGTAAGCAGCCGACGCGATCCTCCAATCGCCATCGCCACGGACTGCGGTAAGAGCCACTGTGAGCTTCTGGTGCTGCTGCTGCTGTATGTTCCTGTAGAATCCCTCCCGACTGCGATTGGCAGAGGAGCCTCGGACCTCCCTGCCTCCTCTGCAGCTGTAACTCCTCCCCGCTCCACCGGCAGCAGCTACGCCGCTTACGAGGGCAGCCATGAGGTGTGCTCCTCGGTGGATCAGGGGGCCCCTGCGGGAGGGGGGCCCCAGGAGAATCCTGGAGGTGCTTCTTCGAGTGGCGTTGACGGCGTTCCGTGGGAGGCCCCAATATGCTCCTTGACCATAAATGCGACATTTGCCGAGTTCGCACACTTTGTTCTGGCTGGAGACGTGACGGGGAGAGTTTATGTGTGGCAAGTGCCAAGCACTAAACTGCTGCTTGTGCTGCCCCCGCCTGAGCTGTCGCACCCACAGCATCATCCCTTGCCGCAGCAGAGGCAAGAGCAGGACTGCTGTGGGTGCTGCGGCAAGCTGAGCAGCGGCAGCGATGAGATCTACGCAGCTGCAGCAAGGCGGCTTCCGTCTTCTCTCCACGGAAGTGCTCCTCACCAGCCGAGACAGCAACACCTGCAAGCCGCTGGAGGGATTCAGGCAGTGGGGTCGGTGGCAGAGATCGAGGTGCCTCAAGAGGATACTGATGACGAGCGAGGACAGGAAAGCGCCAAGGTTTTGGGAGACTGCCAGAGGGACGCCTTGGGGCCCCCTGCATACGAGGTTGAGCCGTCTTACAGGAACGCTCAGTGGCTAGGCGCCCGTCCCCGTGGGAAGGGGAAGGGCCCCCTGAGGGGGCCTCCCCAGGCCCCTCACTGCGAGGCCCCTCCGCATCCACAGGGTGACACACAGGAGCAGCTGCCTTCCCAACAGGACGGTGGAGCTGAGGAGTCGCTGTTCTCGGGAGACGAATCGGGGGAGGAAAGTCGAAGTGGAGCGCAGGGGCGGGAGAGCTCCGTAGACAGCGCAAACAACCCACTCGTGCAGAGCGAGGAATGCCTTCCTTACATTCAGCATGCGCCTCAAGAGCTGTTGCAGCAGCTGCGGGCAGAAGCCCAGCAGCGCCAGCATCACCAGCATCAAGACGAGCAACGACGGAGCGAGAAAGAGGAGCATCCACAACTAGCCAAGGATGGAAGAAGAGGCCTGGAGCCTGATGCAGAGGCTCGCGGTTCCGGAAACGGCAGCGGCGATTCTATGAAGGGGCCCCGAGGCCCCTCAGGGGCCCCCAGCGGATGGGCCCCCCCCCCTGGAAGCCTTCCCGAATCTCCAGAAGTGGCGGTTGGCTTGGAATCGATTCCTCTCTCGCCTGAAACTTCGGGGGCAGCAGGCAGCCCTCCTCCTGCCTCTTTGGTAGGTGACACAGACAGAGAAGTTGACGAGGGAGGCAATTCGTTGCCGCAGGTCAAGGCTCCTGCGGCTGCAGCCACTCCTTCTTCTGCAGCAGCCTTAAAAAGCAGCTGCGGCAGCAGCAACTGCTGTATCGCTCACAGGAGGGCCCCCTGTGGCCAGCGCGCATGCCGGGGGGGGCCCTCTGCATCTGGGAAGCCCTCTGCCTCTCGCTACGTGGGAGCCCTCTTGCCCCTGGCTGCTTTGGATCAGCTCTGGGTAGGCTACGGCGACGGGGCCCTTGCTGTCTTCTCACTCAGCACGTACAGGCTCGTGCATGCGGTGCAACTGCCAGATACAGACGTGACCAAGCTGGAATACGCCAAATACCGAGGTAAGAAAAGGGAGAAGGAGATGGCTCCTTGTTTTCACGCCTGCCCTCTCTTCTGCTTCAGTTCCCCACTGCTGCTTTCTGTTCCTTTCTTCTGCTGTTTCTTGGCTGCGGGCACCCTGCTTTGTTGCTAAGCCATTTTTGTGTGCGACGGCCCCTATGTATCTGCGCACAGCGCGCACGCGGTTTATTCGCCCTTGCCCTTGTTTGCAAATGCTTTTGCACTGCAGATCTTATCATTGTGGTTAGCGCCAATAAGGCCCTCTACATGTGGTGCCCCAGGACGCTTCAATGCATCTTCGAGTCTGTCGGATACACTGGCGAAAAGATGCCTGCATCCTAACGCAAGCTTTGACATTCCCGTTGCGAATCCCTTTGGCCCTGTTCATCCAGTGGAGGGTGCCTGCTGGAGTGACACTGTGCTGTCCAGTGGTGTGTCTCGGTTGTGGAATTGGCTCAGCTGAAAATCAACGTATTTCGGATAGCTCTTTAATTGCTTCTGTTTTGCAGGATGGATGCGGCTGCAGTAACCTGTTCTTCCCCCTTGTCTTTCATTTATGTGTTGGAGGCCCCAGAAGCCTGGGAGCTTCGCTCCACCATCGTTCTCGCTGTAAGAATTGATGCCTGGTTGTATAGCTGCTGCTGTACAGTGACGTGGCTGGCGCCAGTGTCAACACCAAGGGTACCAATGATGGCTTAGAAAGCAGCCTGCGTGGCGACGCTGTTTCTGCTTGTGTGTGTTTAGGGCTGCATGGATGGCTCCATTTGCGTTCGGCGACTGGAAAGAAACCTTTCAGACGGTGGTATTTCGTGCAAGCTCGTGAGGAACTACATCAGAGGTAATCTATTGCACCTCTCTCTCTGGCGCTGGGTGTCGCTTGTTAACCTGCTCTGCCGCCATATAGGGGGGTGTGGGAAGGGCGAAGTTTCCATCCTTGCCACCTTCTAGGCCTCTATATGTCCTCTTCACGCCTTCCTGCCAGCCCCTCTCTTGTGTATAGCTTCTTGGCTCCCCCCTTCCTCGGCTTTCCGATGTACAGAAGTGGAGCCCCAAGTGCCGATCAGCTGCATTTTGGTCGACTCATGGCTCAACGCCGCCTTTGTAGGAGACGCCAGGTACGCTGCTGCAAATGTTGTCGGTGCAACGTTTTTGAAGGGGTGGTCCTCTAAGAGGGCGCATGGCTGTCAGTGGGAACCCCCCGCTACAGCTCCTGGAGGTACCTCCAGCCCAACCCTCGTAAGCGCGAACTCATAACGCCTTAATCCCAGACTTCGAGCCGTAATTCGGTGTTTTTACGTTTCCGCCCTTCTCAGTGGTGTCGTCTTTACGCTCCCATACGTCTTCCAACTCCTCGAGGCCCCTGCGGTACCAGCAGTCGGCGCCTTGGAAGGCTGACACATCTCCACTGAGGCCAGTCCTGAGTATCTTTAATTGGATCTGGGGCCCCTATCTATGTCCCTTTCTAGGGCCCTTTTCACGGCTTTCAGAAACGCCTTCGGGCGTCCGCCTCGCATTGCGGGCCCTAGGGAATCAGAAGGCCTTGAGCCTGAGGACGCCCCGTTGGCACCATCTGGTGTTTGTTGCTTCCAGTTGGCTGCTCGCATTTCCTGCTCCATTTTTTCGACAGGCACATTGCGCCTTTTCCCCACCTAGCCTGGGGAGCCTCTCCTTGATGCACTCAGACGCGCGAGACATCAGGGTATTTAGTTAGAAGGGGCTGCTATGGCCACATATCATCCTTCTGAATGGCTGCCCTGGCTTGTCTCAGACGAGCTTGCATTGCAACAGGAAAACATATCGCCACTGTTTAGTGCTCGTCCATCAGAGAGATATACACCCTCTGCTTCCCTCCTTTTGCACCTTTCCTGCGTGGGTCAATATGGCCGTCTGCTCAGTAACGAGACTGCAGAGTGGGGGCCCACCACATGTCTCTACACTTTGCAGCAAAAGGTCCCTCCTATTTTTTCAGGCATCATGCATTTGCAGCCGAAAATCTCCCAAAAGGTAGCAGTAAGGGGAATGCACAGGGTCAAGAGTTTAGTGGAACGGCGAACCTAGTCCGCAACATACTCACATTGCGGACTCAGGGAACCGCAATATATGTACAGGGCTTGGAGACAGTGACAATACGCTGCCAGGAACGATAGGCATGCCGCTGCTACTGTCTCGGTCTTCATCAGTGTGTGGGTCAGAATTTTTATCCTTGCTGTATGGTTGATCCTCCGTATCTGATGACTGCACAGCGCTTCCTTTCCTTACCATCTTCCCTCCCTTCTGGCCCGTCGCCTCCACTGCCTTCCCGTGAATCGCCCTTTGCAGCAGATGTGGTTTGGTGCAGCTGGGAGAGAGGGACAGCTCTAATATGCTATTTATTATAATAAGTTGTACCACTGCTAATTCAGCGATGCCGAGCCAATAGGCACACTTGTGTCACGGCAAAATGCATACTGGCTAGCTGTATGGAGTTTAGTTCCATACTTTCAAGGTGGCTACATGCGACGTAACCGCCTGTACGGAGGTGCGCTGTGGCTAACAGGCGTCCGATAAGAGCTGCTTAGCTACGGTGATGCCATGTGAATTAGGGGATGGAAAAAGCAAAATAGACTAGAAAAACTGTAGCCATAAAATTTATAGGTCAAATAGCCACCACAAGACACGGTCAGAGCAGCCTGCCACACAACGCACTGATGCACAAAAGGAAGCGGATTATGCTAGCACCGGGCCGATAAGTGACAGCTGTGCAACAAACGAACTTTATTTCCCCTACAGGCTTAACAGGGTCTCTCACGAGTTGGGGCGCCACAACTGTTGGTAGCTAACTGATTTTTGCTCAGTTGCAGGTCGGCTGGGTTTTATGCCGCTCGTCGTACTAGCAGTGGACGTAGAGGGGCAGCGAATGTACGCGTAGTCCCAGCCCCTATAGGGAAGCGCAGTGTTGCAGTTGCATTCCGTACGTGTGGCGTCGCTACCCTCGCGAGGCTTTAACAACATGAGTGCAACACTTGTTAACAATCACTTAAAATTTTTTGCCACCGCAAGCTAGATGAAAAATCTTCCAAGGCTGAATTCCTCCACCTTGCAAGTCATAATATTCACCAGTTCAGGCAAGTATGCACAGCCTGATCAGTCAACTTTTGCCTGTACGTCATGTCCGAGAGCACTGGCGTGTGCATATGTGCTCTGTGGTACCCCTGAATGAGCTAGAATCAATTTTGAAAAGGCCATTCCGTTGTAAGACCCTCATGCGCTGAATACCTGAAAGGCTGCGATAACTTTTTCATTGATCTACGTCGTTAAAATGCTTCTGCGCTTTGTGTCGAGGTTGGAAATGTGTGCTGTTGAGCAAACTGTCAAAAATGTGTTGGGAAACTTGTTTGCTCGAATCGGGGTATTCGAGCAACAATGCCAATCGATGATGCGCGAATATTGGGCATTCTAACGCAATAGCAGGTAGACTTTTGATGATAATTTGTTCCTTAAGATCAAGTGATTCCGTACAGCGGTCATGTCATTGTGTTGAGAGGACGGATGGCCTTCGCCAAGCGTAGGAACACTCTTGATATACTCATTGAGCTGTCGGTGGCAGTGCAGCTAGCGATGTAGCTGCTGTTCTTAGAAATATTCCGATTCACGGAATTATATGCAAATGTGGCAAACTGTTTTCAGAAATTCATTCGACATTATTCGGCATTCGAAAGAGGGTGATGGCGTCTGTTGTCGAAGGTAACGTTAGGCATGCGAGACTTGCGGTTTCCGATAAAAGAGAATGTTCAACTGCGCCAGCTCTGGTTGGCCGCACTGGAGTCATGAGCATATGTTCATGGCGAATACTGGGATAGCAAGGCGCCATGATGTTTGCCCGGAGAGATCTCCTGTGGAAGACTTTTGCATGATTCCAGGCTGTATAGCTCTGCGCGGTGAGAGCATGCATATACATTTTTGAGTAAGATGCTATTGGGGTAGTTATGCGTGCGTGGAAGGACCCCACCAAAGCATGGGCAGTCTGCCTCTTGCTTCTGTGGTCGCATTTTTTCCTGCCATTCTATGTTTATTACTTCATGCTTAATAAAGCTATGGCATGTGGAATGATGCAGAGTGCTTGGAAATATTGTTTGCTGCGTAAGTCTCGAGAAATTATGGCCACGCTCCCTAGAAAAGCCTCATGCAATCTCATTGAGGCTTAACTCGCGATAATTTACACAATTTACAATCACATAAATCTCAAAATCATTGTTGCAAGCTTGATACAAGTGCATTTTGCTGACTTTTCAATATTTGTGGGCAATACTTCGGGTGCTTGCTGTGGTGACATTCCACTAGAGAAACCTGCATCGGACTGCGCTTTCCTGGTGGAGACATGCCGCCATCCTGTGCTGTTTCCCGTAAATTGAACTATCACATAACGCCTTTTCCTCGAAGCTTCTGAACTGCCGGGCAAGCGACGTAGGATCCAGTGAAGCCATTGTAACTCTAGATAATGGTGAGGCCATCGAGAGATTTGGAATGGATTCGTGCTCCATAACCTAAATATCAAAAGTTGCATGGCTCTTCCTCGTATCATGCACTTGGTAAAATGCTGCGGAGATTGACTGAAGATATTCCAGGCTGCTTGCCTACAAAGGCTGCTTAAGCGCTTTTATGTAGACATCAGCGAGTTTTCAACTGCTAGACGTCCCCATGTGAGTCCTACTGGTGCCTGCGTTCGCGGAATTCTGCACAGTTGGGGCAACACCAGGCATCTGAGTGCTTAAGAGTGAAGCAGAAGCTACTGAATCGCTGGTTTTGATCAGCAGATGGAGGAATTGCTTCAAGAGCAAAGGGGAGCGCTACAACAACGGAGACAGGGCCTTTGCAACCTTGATGTAAAATCATTCCTGTACTTGTGAAATCGAGACTGGAAAATATTAGGTCGCTTAGCACAGTGAACGTATGCGCGCATTTATCACCCCACCCAGGCCCATTTGGCCGAACTCCAGACCAGTCTCACGGGCAGCCACTAGTCAAGGCTAAGGCCTCACCGGCTCGCATTTCCATATCTATCCAGCTAATGCTCCCCAGCTGTGTGCCCCCTTTACAAAGAGCCCTATCTGTTCCGAGGATTCCAGGAATAACTTCAGCATCTTTCCCTAGGTATACTTGCCTATTAAACACCTAGGCAATTACGGAGCTGGCTGACTGCGGTCCCAATCGCAGGGGTTCCCTGACTGCTATGTAGTTTGCGGTTTACTTCCAGTGCAATGGCTATTGCAAAGCTAGGAACATTACAGCTAGCTCTACAAGGTTATGATTGTCTTTGTTTGGCGGTTGAGGTCATAATCATCGGGAGAAACGAATTGGGAAAAGAGAGCACCAGGCAACGTCCAGAGACCTGAAGCCAGATGTGGGCTCCTCTGAGTCTCTTCATCAATCTGATTGCACGCCAAAGACCAAAGCCCCTTTGGGCTAAACTGTTCAGGGTTATCGAAACCGTGGACAAACACAAGTAGTAACCATCCATCTCAGCCTTTGTAGCAAGAGACTTGACTATGAGACTCGAACCAAACCCAACAGGATTAATTGGGGGCCTTCAAAATAGGTTCTGCCTCCCCCCAATGCCCCCCAGGGTTCCCCTAGGGAGAAGAGAGGGTAACCTAGGGTGCGTGTAGCTGCGCTCCCTGTGCTCCTCAGGCATTCACAGTAAGGTCTACATAGCATCTAATGTGCATGCAAGTGGTGGGCTTCGCGACAAATGGGAGCATTACATTCTATAGGCAATAGTGCCTTTTTGACGGATGGAGCGTCTGCGCTACCACGCTGCATGTAGCTTCTTGTATACGCTGGCTGTGCAGGGTTCGAATGCGTGCCTTGCAAGGCTGGATAGGCCAACCCAATTAGAGAAGCTAGTATAATACATGTGAACACTGTAAGCTTTCGGTATGAGTGTATCTTTACGATCGTAACCCTGAGCTGAGGTCTTAGCCCCAGGCCCTTAAATGCTATGGTCATGGAGGAGCAGTGCACCAATTCTTAACTCCAGTAGCACTAAGACTAGCAAAAACGTAGCAGCTTACCTCCACAAAGGGGTACAGCACGATTCCCATGAACGCTGGCCCTTTGAATCGCTGTATACTGCTGATGCTTCATTCCGCGCATCACTACAAGACAGAAGGGCCCTGGTTGTGTCTGCTAGTAGTCTTGCGTAGCCAATGAAGTTTGATGTGGCAAATATAGTAATTATAGCCAATTAGTAGTCTGCTCAGTAAGAGATTTTAACTGCGGACCGAGAGCTGTGGAGCGGTAGAGCAACAATCGCGAATTACCCTCGAGAAACGGACCTTCATCCTGGGTTGCTAGTCCTGTAGTTGCCGCTGTAGTTACAGCTGCTGTCTGTTCCAGCACATTACATGTCTGGGTGCGATTGTATTCTGCAAGAAAATGCAGTGCGGCAATGTGTGCTGCTAATATTGACCACAAGGAACGGCAGCGCCTACGGGGCTTGGCAGCAGCAACAGCATCACCTGTTGTGATGGCGCACATGCTTGCATCCATTGGCAAGTATCGGCAGCATCTTTCTTTGTAGATGAATTTCTAGTTTCGCGGCAGCTGCAGTAGCAGCAATACCAACAGCAGCCGCAGCAACACCAGCAACCGAGAGCCGCTATGGTTTTTCAGCGCGATTGAAACCAATATGCCCAGTCTCACAGGAGCTGAAATTGGTTGCCGCTGCTGTGATGAGTCAAGCTTAGCCAACGGACCCCGGTGAAGCCAACGGAACCAGATGCGTATGCACATCTACACCCGCCTTCAAGGTCCCCCCCTCGTTTCTTCTCCTCTGTGTCGCTCCTCCTGCCCCCGACAGCAGCAGCACGACTTTGGCTTCTCCGAATTAAATGTCGGACTCCTCTAAGGGGAGTCCGTGTAGAAGTTAGGGCTTTCGCGGCAGCAGCAGTTGCATATCCTGCAACTGCTGCTGCTGCTGCAGCCTTCACCCCCCATCTTCCCGAGATCGCCTTTCTCACTGGGCAAGATTCGAGCTTACGGACGGGAATCAGCACCCATAGCACCACAACTTGTGCGCCGAAGGATGCTGTGGCCCCTGGCCGCTTACTGTGGGCTGCTGTGTACAACTTCTTAGAGTCTGGTTGTGTATCTTTTCTTCCCCCCAAGCCAGAAACCACCATTCTGCGCCTTTCAGCGGGTAGAGGCCCTCCTGCGTCTCTTTCCGTACTTCGCCGACACCTTGTTTCTGTACTTTGGACTTGCGCTACTCTGCCTGAGCTCGCTCAGCACGCACACGCCTTGCAGCATTCCTTTGCGCTCTGCCTGCGCGAGCTCCTCCCACCCCGAACTTAGAGAGGGGGGCAGAGAGGAGGAGCGGAGGAGGCGCACATCAGTAAAGCACAGGCATGTCTCTTTTTTCGTTATTCCCATCGTTTCTGGCCTGTTCAAACGCGTTCTTCAGTACTAACAGCTGCGGCATAACCCACACCTCCGATCACCACCACCCGCAGCAGTACCTTCAGTCAACAGCTGCAAGGGAGTCAGATCGCCATCGGCTGGCGCCCCTCTGACGCTCCTTTTTTCAAAGATGGCGGATTTTCTCGACTTCTTTCGCTCCGAAGTCGTGGGGGACAGAGGAGCTCCTGGAGCTTCCACGCAGCAACAAGTCAGACTCACCAAAAAACTAAACAGTCCTTCGGCGTCTCTGCTTCTGCTGCTTTCTCCTCGAGACGCAGCTCCTCATCTACCCGTAGCTTCTTCGCCTCTCCCTATGCGGTGTTCTCATAAGCCAGCCCTCACTTGCTTGCGTCGCGCGCGCCGCTCCTCGGCAGCTTACTCGCCCCTCATCTCCGTCTGTTTCTTCCGTTTGACCTCTCCGACAACTGGACGCTGCACTTCTGCCTGCCTGCCTGTGCGTGTGTGTGTATGCATGTGTTTCCCTGTTTCTCAGGTGGAGGCATTAAACCGCGTTAGTTTGCTGTGCAAGGTGCTAGGCCCTTCCAAGACACGCCAGCTGCTCATTCCTCTCTTCCTGGATCTGCAACAGCAAGTCAAAGACAGAGACGAGCTGCTCTGCCTGTTTGCTGTGCAGTGGAGGACTGTTGCCTCCACGGCTGCTGCGGATGATACTGCAACAGCGCACGAGAAACAAGTGGCTCTCGCTCAGTGCGCGGATGCCCTTGCCGTTCTCGCAGCGGCAGAAGAAAAGTGTATTCGACATGAAGTGAGCGATTTTCTTTCTCCCCCAAATTTTTCCTCGGACCCCACACAGCCGAGCCTCACAGCCCGCACGAAAGGTGATGTGCTTCTGCACACGGATTCGTTTTGTTGCTGTGCCTTCAGGCTGTGGCATCGCTCCTCTCCCTCCCCTCCCTCCTCTCCCCACCTCACAGAAAGGCCTTTGTGCAGCAGCGGCTGCTGCCTATCTCCAAGGCTCTAGCCGCCAACGAAGCATGTCTCTTTGCTCGCTGCGCAGCCGCCCGCCTCTTACCTCACCTCCTGTGCCACTCAGAACCTCGATCACCTGCCGAGAGCCTTCCGAGGGAGGGAGACATGTCGCCAGAGAAACAACACCCGCCGCAAAAAGATGCAAGAGCAGCGCCCTCAGGAGCAGAGATGTACAGAGAATTCGACGATGCTGCCGATGCAGCTGAAAGCTTGACCACCAAGAGAATCGAACAGTAATTGCTACTTGCCTTTTTTGCTCTACACATCCCCTTTACCCCATAAACACCCCAATTACCTTTTCAGGCGAACGTAGCCGCTAGAAATCCTACAGCGGAAGCAGACACATCCCCCACTTGCGGGAGGGTATGTGTATGTGCGCGTGTCTATGTACCTATTCGCACGAATGTATCCCTACGGTAGGCTTTGTCTTTTCTTTGCCGGGATGTCTAAGCGTCCAGAGGGTGCTGGCTGTGCTGCCTGCAGGCTGTTTGAGGCGCTTTGCGCCGATGAATCCTTGCTAGTCCGTCGCGAGGCACTGCAGCAGCTACCCGCACTGGTAGAGGGTTCAAGGGCAGCCAGGATTGCCAGTGCGACAGCCACAACGGCAGGCAGCTCAGCAGACACTGCGACTGCTCCTGCAGAGGACGAGGCGCAGCTCGTCGCGTTGCGCATTTTGAGAGAGGCCTTCGGGGAGACTTCGGTCAGTCATGGTGCTGCCGCGATTTCCTCCCCTGTCTCTATGTTTGTGGCTGTCGTTACCTATGTGTCAGTCTGCGTTTATGCGTTCGTTCGCCTTGCGTATTCTTTCCCGACATTGTGTCGATGTGCTGCTACTCTCCGCTACCTTCCCTTCCCCCTCCTCCCGCGGGTTCAGCCTTCTACCTACTCTTCTTCCTCCTCGCCTCTCGCATGCTTCATGCCCGCGCGTCTCGCTGAGGCTCTGTACCGTTGGCTTCCTTTCTCAGGATTACCTTCGTGCTGCAGCAGCGGAGTCTGTCGTTGCGCTTGCGACTTCTTATCCACCCCCCACGTCATGCCTCGTGGGCTTGACTCCCTCTGCATCCCCTAGAGGTCCTCACCTCCAACCTTCTTGCGATTTGCCTGTGACTTCTACCCCTCCCGCCGGGGAACGCGAGAGCAACGGCGTCTTCAGCGTAGGCGAGTTGTTGTCGCTGTATCTACGTTCTGCCTCTGATCCTTCCTGGCGAGTCCGATCTGTGGCAGCAAAAGAACTGTACTCCATCGTTTCCTTCTCGCCACTCAACTTTGGGGAGATCTACCCGTCCCTCTGTCTGCTCCTCCAAGACTCGGCAGTGCGCGAGGTGCGTCTAGCCGCCATCAGCAGCCTAGCCAAGATAACGCAAGTGCTACCGCAGGAAGAAACAACGCAGAAGCTCTTGCCATTGGTTCAACAGCTCCTCCAAGGGGCCCTTCTCTCAGCAAAACCCCCCGCAGCAGACAGCTGGGATACTTTGGGCCCTGCGCCGCCTCTATTCCCACCTCCTCCTTCGCATGCGGCTTCTATTGCTGCGGCAATCGACGCTGCACTGGCCGTGTGGCAGGCTGCAGAATCAGTGGCAGCTGTTTCCATTTCGCGAGAGGTTTTCATGACGCTCCAGCAAGGAGACCTCGTAACTGCCGTGTGGTGAGGAGGAGCGCGATAGAAGCAGAGCTAGTTGGGCCCGACTTATAATAGCCGTATACACTCTACTAACATGCGGAGAGGAACACAATGTTTCTTAATGATGAACGAGGAACCAGAGAGTGCTTCAGGCAGCTGTGGGTGGTGGGCATTAGAAGCTAGAACTGCAGCTTTTTTCCTCACCGACTCCCCCCTTTTCTCCGTTTCTGCCTTGTCGATTTTATCCTTTCCAGCATTGCAAAGCGGCTCAACGACTTTTGTCGTCTCTACCAACCAAAAGCGAGCAGCAGCGGAGGCGCTCCAGCAGCAGAAGCGGCTCAATTGGTAGAAGCACTCTGCGAATTCCGTCGAGGGGTTGGGCAGACCGGGGATTGGCGTCTGCGCTTGGAGATTGTCAAGCAAATGCCAGCTGTTGCACAAACGCTTGTGAGCTCGTTCATCTAATTACCCTTTCTCTTGAGTCTTTCCTCCTTATTGTGGACGTCAGACGACCCTTGAGTAAGAGGGGCCCCCATCTGCGCTGCACCTGCGATTCCGTCTGTAAAGAGTTCATCGTTTTGCACGCATGTGGTCTTCAGGGAGTCAAGTTCTTCATTTCGTCTTTGTCTCCATTCCTCTTTGACTCTTTCTGCGATCCAATCCACCAAGTTAGAGAGGCAGCCGTTGATGCCTGCGAGGTACGCTCTATGGAAGCCTAGCAAACAAGCTGTAAAACAGCGCTGACTCTAATATTTCAGGCTCCTTCAGTCGTCTGAAAGCTGTGAACTGGACGCGGTAGGAGAGAAGACTCCACCGTCCAGAAGTATTGCACAGCTGGAATCAATTCCTGTAAATTACACAAGGGAAATGTCAAGGGAAAATAGGGGAGTCCAAACACGAAACAGCAAGGGCGCATCATGTGGCAAAAACGGCGCAGCCCGCACGAATTGAGGTCCTTTTTCTTTCGCACATTTTATTTGCAATGTTTTAGGAATTAATTCCAGCTGTGGGTTACCGCTGGGCTGTGGAGTCTCTCCTACCGCGTCTCGTGCGTTCTTTTGAGGGGTGCGTCCCTTCCCAAGATTCAAGAGGGGCCCTCCAGGATTTTGGAGGTTCCCAAGGACTGCATGGCGATGCAAACACAACTGCGTCTCCCTATCTTCGCCGCATCGTTGTGCAGCACACACTGCCAGTAAGCGCGCCACGCTGCTGCTGATGCGTTGGTTTTCCCCGGAGACTCTTCCTAGTCGGCACGGTGTTGACGCGATTTTTGCGTGCTTCTCTAGTAGCTGCTGCCGGCTCCTACCTACGCCACGCAGTCGTGGGGTGCTAGGAAGTGGAGCGAACTTTTGCGCGTTGCAGCAGTAATTGGCTTCGCGGTTCGAACTGGTGTTGTGATCGTGCGTCTGTTTTGCTGCTGCAGAAGCTCGCTGCTGCGCTGCCGCTCGATATCTCTGTGAAGCACGTCGTGCCCCTTTTGCTTGAGGGTCTTCAGGTGGGGTATTTGCCATCCAGAGCCTAAATCTGCTTTTGCTCTTTGTGTGTGCTGAAAAGAAGGTGGTCCAGAAAGTACATCCCAGCCACCATGTGCGTCGCGCAGCCTCCAAGCATCAGCGGCAGCAGCAGCAGCAGCGCGTTGCTCTTGAGCAAGGGCCCTTTATTCCGTGTTTTTTGCCTGCCTGCAGGACGCTGTTCCCAACGTCCGCCTCACTGCGGCAGAAATGCTTCGCATCATCGCCAAACAAAAAACGCTGCCCCCCCAAACTCTCGCCGAGTTTGTCGGGTAAGCTGCTCCCCACCAGGCCCTTGTGTCGCGTGGGGTGTGTAGTGAAGGGGGAAGAAAGGGTTTGGCTCAAAATTTGAGTCCACGTGCATTTGGGGGCATCGAGGTTGGCATTCGGCGTTAGGAGATAAATACTTCGACGTAAAGGCTTGTTGCGCGCGTTTTTGCAGCCCCTTAGAGGTTTTGTCTGCTGACGAAGATGTTGACGTCCGTTTCTCCGCCAAGTTGGCGCTGGCTGCGTGTCGTGCTGCCTCTGCCGCTTGAACCGGCAGCAGAGGAGACAGAAAGAGGCGAGTCAAAGGGGAGACAGCGAGTGAAGCGGGCAAGAGGCCTAGGCAGACAGAAAAGGTCAAGAACGACAGCAGCAGGCACGAGGGACTGGGGAAGTCAGGAAAATAGAATGAAACCAGGATAGCGCGAGACGGAGAAACACAGGACAGACAGACAAACAGACAGTCCCAAGCGTAAGCAGGAAGGACTGCTGTAATGACGCGCTGTCCTTTTCTTCGGGTGTATCGTGGCCTTCTATTTTTCTTTTACTGCATCAGTGATCGGCGCTATGGCGTCTCCTGTCTAGTCGGTAGATAGAGCTCCTACTGACGGACTACAAGCATCCCCTGCTATTTTCTACGGAAAGCTGCCGTATTACCTCAATAAAATGAAGGCGCAAGCAGTTAGAGTCCCCACAATGCTGCAAAAGGATACGGTGTGTCATCCGAAAAGGGCGGCCTAGGAAAGAAGAACGGGCACAGACAGTGCGATACATGCCAAGGCATACTTTAGAAGGCTGTGTTACATTGCAACGTCCATCCAGACGCGCCTCTAAGCTGAATGAGGAATCCTAGTGTTGCAGGAGTTCTGGCTGCGCTTCCACGTTTCTGTAGTGTTTATCTCTTGGCCAGCTACTGCCCCATCACGTTACCTTACTACTGCCTGCTGCAGCTCCCCACCCCCGGCTGTCGTATCAGGTAGATCCAGTTGCGTCAGCCCTTGCTGCTATCCGTCTGTCTATTGCACTCTTGACGGCAGGCGTCGTGACGCCGTAGAAGAGCCCGTCGACGGCATTTCGCCCCTTTGAGGCTTCCCCATCTGGCGCTGCTGAGCGGAGATGCAGCAGCGTTTTTCTGTGGCCCCCTGTGCATCCCCTCGATACAAATGAACGTAATTTTTTCAGCTTTCCCGCAGCAATCAAACGCCACGGGGACTGAAGGCGCTACTAGGGGTGCCCTGTGGGGTGCCCCTTGCGGCTGCGAAGTAAAACCCCCACGTGGGAGGTTCCCCGTCTGCCTGACACTGCAGCCTCTAAGGCGGCAGTGTCCGACAACGGGGAGAGACAAGTAGACATAGAAAGACAGAATGAGAGACACAAGAGGCCATCATCTACTGCTGGGAAGGATACATAGAGGGGGATCCTCCCCTTGTAACTCATCGCTGCTGCACACTCCCCCGGCAGGCAAACGCCGAAACTGCGCTGCCATCTAAGAAAGACACTGCAAAGAGTACATGCAAACAGGTGTGCTGGCATCGCCGCTACACTCAGAGAGAAACGCTCCTACGCGCATGCCTTGCAGCAGACGCGGGAGAATCCCCTTTGCACTGGTCGGGTCAAGTGCCCCTTTTCTCGAGACTAGGGGCCCCCCACTCACAACACAGCCACCCATAGATACAACGACGCCCTTACAACTAACACTGGACAAAATACACAAAAACCCCCTTCAGAATCGCTTGGAAAAGAGCGATTCCCTTGCTCCCCAGAGTAAGAGGGAGCGGCCCTCAGTCGGGTGCAGCCAGATTCGCATGGCGGCATATTATACGGCTGGAGCCGCGTTCTGCGTCGAATCCAGATTTGAGAGGTCAGAGGAGAAGACGAAAAGACAAGAACTAAGAGCTTGGAAAGGGAGCGGGATGATTCGCGGACCGCCATGCGTGACGATCATCGAAGCGCAGCAGCATCTGTCACCCCCAGACCAGCAATCCGCAAATCGCTAGACCAAGCAGAGAGAGACGAAGCAAGCGCCAATTTCTTCGAAATTCCCTTCTGCCTACAATCCGCAAATCGCTAGACCAAGCAGAGAGAGACGAAGCAAGCGCCAATTTCTTCGAAATTCCCTTCTGCCTACACTCCGCAAATCGCTAGACCAAGCAGAGAGAGACGAAGCAAGCGCCAATTTCTTCGAAATTCCCTTCTGCCTACACTCCGCAAATCGCTAGACCAAGCAGAGAGAGACGAAGCAAGCGCCAATTTCTTCAAAATTCCCTTCTGCCTACACTCCGCAAATCGCTAGACCAAGCAGAGAGAGACGAAGCAAGCGCCAATTTCTTCAAAATTCCCTTCTGCCTACACTCCGCCGTTCTTCCGGCCCTAGTCTTTTCTTCCGTCTTCTCGAATAGGCCTTAAAATGCATTTTTAGAGCTCCCCTGGGGGCCCCACATGGGCCTGCCTCCCGTTCCCTCTCAGTCGCGCACCCTTGTGCTGCTGCATCAGTCTTCGCCTACATTTGCACCGTTTGCTGCTGGATAGGCACAATGCCTCCAGTCTCCCTTGCGAGCTGTTTCTGCTTGAGCTCGAGAGGACTCTTGTTTCCGCCGGCGGCATCCCTCGGAGAAGCCTTCTGCCCCTGCGCTTCCGCCTCGGCGCTGTGCTTTGCTGCAGACTGCTGCTGCAACAACTCCTGCTGCTTGGCGATTGCCTGGCAGCGGACAAGACTGTTGGCGTGCTGCTGGACGGCAAGCAGCACTCTGCGGTGATGAGGAAGAGTCAGGCCTCTCTGCACCCATTCCGCGATGAGGCGATCCGGGAGATACTCGTTGACGGCTCCGGGAGATCCTCCCGAGGCTCCCACGCCTCGTTGCAGCAAGATGCGTTTCACGCTTAGCCACTTGTGCAGCATGAGGAACTGACAGCGGCGCACTGCTCGGAAGGAGGCAGTCCCACCTGTTGCAGCCACGGCTGCCGCCGCTGCACCTAAAGCTGCCTGGAGCTCCGGGGGGAAGGAGGAGGCCCCTCCCGAGTGAAACATCGCTAGCTGTGCAGCAGCCGCTGCAACTGTGGAAGGCTTGAATTGCAGACAAATATTTCTGTCCAGAAGAGCCAAGCGCACGAAGACCTGCGCCACTTGCCGCGAAATATCGACACGGCTGCTGCCACTGACACGTAGAGATAATGCCGTGGAGGCAGCTGCAGCGGGCGACACCCCGCGGCATATCAAGGCGTCTTCGAAGGGGTTCGCTTGTGAAGGCGCTGCTTCTTTCGGAGACGCTTCTAAGGAATTCGTTCTCGTGCAGACCAACGCCTCTCGCTGCCGCTGCTCCTTCTCGTCTGCTGCCGCTGCCGCCGCTGCTGCCTCCTCCGCACCATCCTTGCGCAAAGCGCATCGGTAGTGGGCTGTCGCAAAAAGAAATCCGACGTTCAGGAGGCTCTCCGTCAGCTCCGACGTGGGAGCCACCGCGATGTTGCCGGAAGGCGCGATGTACGCGACAATGATCCTCTCGATGAGCAGCAGCTTGCTTCTCAGCGCATCCGTAAACGTAAGAGACGAAGGCCAAGCGCTTCGAAGCATCCCCGCCGTGTTTTGCCTCCAGATGTCAACGAGGGTTCCGTAATCCGTGGCGGCAATGGCTTCCAGGCGATCTGCAAAACTGAAACAAGCGATTGCTATCAGCTGGTTCAAGAGCAACGGACTCGTCCCCCCCCGTCCCGCAAGCCCCCTAAGCGGATGCTGCTTCCTCTCTGCACTGACACCGTAAGCCGCGTCTCCCTTGTGGATAACAGCCATGACGCGATCGAACAGCTGCACCGCCACACCCACAACTGCAGCGACTCGAGGATCCAGGGAGTCTTGAGGCTTCCCCTGCGGCTGCCAGCTTCCCTGCTGAGCCAGCTGGATGGCCACTTTGTTCAGAATGCACACAATGAGGTCTCTGGCTTCTGGAGTCAACCTCTTGAACCCCTTCAGGTAGTCGCCAGGGTGGGCGCCGTCAGCCCTGAAGGCTTCCTGGCAGTATCCACTCTGCGCAGTGCGCGAGTTGTGGTTGTTGTCTTGGCCTGTATCTCTGCTGTACGCAGCGCTTAGATCGTACAGAAACAAGCGGCAGCGCTGGGAGACACGCCAGGGCTCCTCTAAGGATGCAGGAGCAGAGCAGGGTGGCTGGACAGCTGGTTTCGTGCGAGTGGAATCGTCCTCTTTCTCCTTCTGGAGGGGCGGCGATAGAGGTTTGCTGCCATCCGTCGGGGAAGTCAGCTTCTCCTCCGGCCCCTGCAGTGTCAAGACACCCGAAGGGGTCCCAAGGGGGGACAGCTCCTTGGTGGCGGAGGCCGCTTCATTCCCGCCCTTCACTGCCAGCACTGCCCGCCCCTTGGCTCCGATGCAGACTGCGCTCTGCAGCTTCTGGCTGCCCCCCAGAGAGGGAGAGAGAAGCTTCGAAGTGACACGGTTAGCCGCGACCGTAAGCGCCGCGAAGGGCCCCCCTGAGGCACCGACCTGGCCACGGATCTGCTTGTAGGGGGGCCCCCACAAGGCAGACGCGGAAGGCTCAGCCGCCTTAGAAGGCGCAGCCAGAGAGGGGTGCTGGGTAGCCTCCCGATTCCTCTTGCACGCAACCTGTTCTGCAGGGACCCTCCCACAGGGGGCACCGAGGGGTATCTGGGTGGGGGGAGTCATTCGGAGGGCTTGCATGGGAGGGGGAAGGGGAAAGGAGGAGAAAAACTGCTCAGCGTGCTGACTGCGCTGCAGCCGAGGGTCACACGGGATCCCTTAGGGCTGTGAAACAGCAGCAGGGGGCAGTGTAGACACAGAGGTGCCAGAGGGGAGGAGCCCTCGCTCTGCTGTCTGCCTACTCCTGGCCCCCTCCCGGTAGCCCCCAAAAGCCCCTCACAGCTGCATGAGAAATATGAGAATATGGGGGAAAGCGGACTGAACCAGCAAAAGCAGCTACAAAGGCTGTGTGCTCACCGGGGAGACATCCAGAGCCGCCGCGGCACTGGCCGCACAAAGGACAGGTCTACGAGCAAGTTGCTGACAGAATTTGAGAGACAAATCAAATTTGGGAAATGACGGAACGAGGTAAATGACGTGATCACCAAGTCTACGCGAGAGAGTGTTGCTTTGGCGAGGGTCCGCGGCCGGCCCCCCTAAGTAATGGAACTGGAAGGTTGGTGCGGCTCTCCAGACCAAATACACAAATATTTGCACACTCCAAAAGAAATTTAAGGGGAAAGCACAGAGCAAGATGAGTGACAGCGGGTGATTTTGTCTAATTTCGGAGTTCTGCAGCCACCGCTGCCTGGCGACCGCACGCAGGGCACTGCGCAAAGCGGGCAGGGGCAGCTGCGGTTCAGGGTAGCGTGACAAGGAAAACTATGCATAAAGAAAGAGCTGTATACTGCGAATGACGGAAAATGAAAAGAAAACGGACCAGGTGCAACTGTGCCGCCGTGTGTGTAGCCTACAGGCAACAACCCCGTGTGTCGCGCCACGTGAATGAACGCCCTGAGAGTAACACGGACAGAAACTGAGCACTTCGGGGAGTACAGAAGCATTACTTCGCGGCAATGAGCCGCTAAAGCCAGAAAAGACATGCAAAGTTCACAAATACCGCGAAACAGACATTGAGTACAAGACACGGCTGCCGCCGGAGGCGTGCGACGCCCCAGCGGTGGGGGAGAGGGTGTTTGTGCAGAAGGGGAGCATCAAGGGGCTGCCTTTGCCTCATAATACATGCTTGCCTTCCCTTCCCCTCACTGACCCTTCTGCAGCACCGATTTATGGTTCTCCTCCAAGGTGGGCCTCTAGTAAATGGTAACGCAATCGCTGACCTCCGCCTCTCACGTAGCCCTTGGACTAGCGGGGCCCCTCCTGCAAGAAGGCCGGGAATTAGAGAAACTGACGCTCACACCCTTCATACCGAAGCACACAATATCTTTCAGCCCAAAATTACTAGGCTAAAAGGAGTAAGGCATCTTGATTTTACCCCCTGCGCTATCCAAGCCCCGCTAGTATCAGTAGTGTACGTGCAATACTCCTCCTAACGTCGCCCCTTAGGAAGACTCACACCTCCAGACTCAATAGAAACTTCATAGAAAGTTATTGAGTGTTTTTTCAAAAGATCTTCCCCCTTTCCCTGACCGGGACCCTCAGGGTTCCGATATGAGGGAGAGGGACCGCTAGGCGCCGCACAGCTGCCCCCCACCCTCTCTCTGAGCAATTTGAACATTAAGAGCCAGTCGCACAAAGCATCTATAGCATGCGCACACAGCATCGCATCTCCTTATATTGAGCTGGTAGTACTCTGAAATTGAGGAAACACATGAAAACAAACACCAGTTAGTCAAAACTATGCTAGTCCATAGTTATGCAAAACCAGGTACGAGAAAGCGTGTCGAAGAGAATCTTAGCCCGCTGTAGCTCTCCCTCTCCATTTCGAAGCGCAAGCCTTGATATTTCACACCAGTACGTCGAGACCAAATGGTTGCACGAGAGCGGGTGAGTTCCCGCCGTACTGGCACTCCCCTGGCAGGCAGAAACGCGAAAACCGTGCAAACGAGAAAAGTGTTAAATGTTGCATCAACCGTGAAGGTGAAAGCGAATGCGAAAACAACTCACACAGTAGCGAAAAGCAAATGTGTGATCAGACCAGCATGGGGATCTCGGCGGCGCAGTGCCTCACTGTCCTTGGATCGTGTAAATGTGTGAGCCTCCTGCTACGATACAATAGAAGACAAATAAATCTGTAAAGAGAATTAAAATGTAGCCCAATTCAGCAGCGCCTCCGTGCCTTATACAGCAATGTGCACATGCAATTGCAATCGGTTCATGCAATACGGTCGATTTGCAAGCCCCATACATGGCATGAAGGTGAATGCAGGGACCGTATACGTGCGAGCGCTTGCGCAGATATATAAGCGAGGACAAGTTTCTGAGGAAACCGGCAATCTTCAAGCACTATCCGTGGATCAAAGCAGCTATTCAGGCAGAGCTTTGTGTAGAGAAGAATTACAAGGAAACATGTGTATCTGCCTTGGCAATCGGCGTTGCGAATCAGACAGACCCACAAATTCCCTCCAAAACATGGAAACCCCTCAATACTCCTTCTCCAGTCAAAGAGGTCACATACTTCAACATGATTCCCTAGAATTTTCTGCCTAGTATGTCCTCGAGGCTCAACACTTCTTAAAACCAATACTTACATGGCTCCCTGTGGATCCTCCGCCTCCACGCAGGTCGCTTGTTTTCGTGATGATGCCTGAAAATAGGTCGAGGAATCCTGAGACTTCTTAACAAAGCCAATTTCAACAATTATGTGGCACCTTTAGCTTTTAATGAAGTCAGTAGTGTAAGAGAGAGCATGGAGTCATGAGAGAATCGCAAAACGTGCAAGCAATCCGGTCGCAAACTTTTTTGCGTAGTCAATTGTTAACGCACCTCATAGAGCCAGCCGATCCGCTAGGATCAAACCACCAAGCTCAAAACACACAGATGGCTGCCACTGATATGAGCTCCGTGATTGCCTCTCTTTAGCTTTGTGGATACATTAGTGTGCGCTAGCCAGCTATCCCTTGAGTCTCTCCATTGCTAAGGGTGGCTCCCGACTCTAGACTACCAAGTCCAGCGCCGGATTGGAAAGGCGCTCTTTGTGGCGGACTAGGAATGCGGGAAAGCGACGAATATTACAAGTAGACTCGCCTATTGTAAGCCGACCTAGAATATGAATAAACTTCGAAAGAAGCACATGGATTTCTGTGAATCTGTAGTCGTAAACACTGCAGAAGAGTCCGCCAATTTGATCTCGCTGCCCGCCTACCTTTGAATTGTGCGAAGTGATCATATTAGGGCAATTTACAGGCGAGTCACCAAGGCACACGGGGACGCATTAACAAACTTTAGGTCCGTTTCCGCAATGCTACTCCTGGAAAGTCCAGGTAACCTCCAGACATCAGACAAAAATGAAGCGATTTCCCAAGCGGTGACAGACTTAAAGCACAGGAATAAAAGGAGGTATTTGCTAAGTTTGTGGACAACAACGTAGACGTTATCCTGGCCCTTGACCCCGGCAGTCCAACAATAAAGTCCATAGCCGCATTAAACCAAATCAGTTGGCAACCGTGTTGCCGCGCAAAAGGCCGGAATGCGCTGCTCAAACTGTTGACAGTGTCAGCATGAAAATGCGTATCCCTCTGCTGCCGCAGCCCTTAGGCCACCGGAAGACCGGGAAAGCCCTTTACGTCCATTGTGATAGCTATCGTGGCCCCACAGAGCATGTTTGTGTGCTTTAGTTAGGGCTACACTACGGGGAAAAGTTGGTACTCACGATTCAAGGAGTTTGTGCTTTGCTCTGAGCTACAGCAGGTCATCCTTAACGTGATAGTGCTTCATTGTTTTGCATTCTGGATGTTGCTATTAGTAGCGGTTGCATGAGGGTAAACAGCATCTCACGCAATTGGGCTAGAATCCGCTTTAAAGTTATTACGTACAACAGCAGTCGCGCTACACACAATGCTAGACCCATGGGAGTTACGAAAGCCCGTTGCCGAGCATGTTGGGGATGCTCCATACATACTTCGCTCTTAAGGCGTACTGCAGGAGGCGTTACAGTCGGCACACAGCTCTGGAATTCTCGGAGATCTGCAAACTATCTGGTAGGTGCGTACGACTGTTGCTCACTCTTGATACCTATATAAATAGTGTCGACATTTTTTCGCACCCCGCTTCATTGGTGCAGAATGCTCCCTTTCCTGCCTTTGATACTGCTGCTCGGTTTGAGCGGTGTGATGAAATTAACACGCAGTGATTCAGTGCGTGGGGGAAGCGGTCGATTATAAGGATAAAATAGTGTCCACCACCAGGTTACTGACACCCCTGCTAGGAAAAAATGGTGCTCGTAATCGGGTAGAGGGAGAAGCGGGGAATTGTAAGGAGGCTGATCAGCTTCATTGCTGCGGCGTCAGCCTCATGTCCAGGCAACAGACTGCGACTTCTTAAGTAGACCGGCCGCATGAGCAGCGCTCCGAGCGGACCCAGGAATGAAATTTTGGTGCTAATATGAGAGCTCAGAGCTTTTCAACGTCCTTGCGGGTGTGCAAAGGCAAGGGCCATGTCTTGATGGCATCAATTTTTGCCGGAACGAAATTAATTCCTACAGCCGAGACATATCACTTAAGAATGTGGATGCCGGAAAATAAACACTCGTTTGCCCTCACATGCCACTGGTTGTCCCGCAACACTTGAAGCGTACGCCGCACGCCGTACGCCTTGTAGGTGCTCTTGGCCGTTCCGGCTACAGACTTGGACGTCGTCCATGTCAATAGCTAGCCTCCTCACCTTATTAGACCCTTTGTAAGTATAATTAGCCTGCAAATTAGCTCAGCAAGGGCACTAACAAATTCAATTGGTATACAGGCAATCTCAAGTTTGCAAGTGAGCATGTGGAGCGCCGTTTTGTCCCTATCATCATAGCGAATCAGGATTAGTCCGAAAGCTTCTATGAAGCTGAATGTCCAGAAGACCATTGGTCCGTGCAGTTTATCAAGTACTTCTGTGCACGTCTGTTTCACCGGGCTCTTGCTCAGGCACTGACAGGTAACGCAAACGCGCCACCTACAGTCCTTTTGCAGAACCAATAGTGGTGTTTGTCCAGAGAAACTCACCGATTCCTGCGCTTTGTGTTTTGCCAATGATTATTTCGTGCAGCTTCTCTTCATGTTGTAGGAGCTTCCGATACTGGGCGGCATGGCTTGACACTGACCCAGGGACTAGCTCAAAAAAGGTACAGTGGACGAACAGCAAGTGGCTAGCCTGCTAGCAGCACATCCTTATTTAGCATGTCGCTAAATTCTTCCTTGGGAGTTGCCCGTTTCAATTTTCCTCGGCTGCGCATTCAGGCGATTTCTCCCATAAAGAGTCGATTGCAGAGCCACTCAGACATGATGCGATGCCAGAACCGTCTGTTCTTTGCACTACGGACCAGATCGCATGAAGGCTCTGCATGAACTTGTTGAAGTACTGACTCTACGCTGTTCACGACGTGAAAAGTGAGCTTTGCTGAGGATACCACGTGATGGTCGTTCCAGGCAATTCTTGCCACACTGACCTGCACGGCGCGTGACCTTGGCCACATAAGCGCCCTCCTTTGACTCATCCATGGCATAGCGAGAATGCGTCATGGCGCATAGGTTCAACATAAAAGTCATGGACCATACTGACAGGAATCTATTCTAATTTAAGTGGCATTTTGCTTGCCCTAGCCTTTACAGGCCTTGCATTCTACTGCGCGGCAGCAAACCTGAGTCATAAAAGCTGCTCATATAAGTGAACAAGCCAATCAAACTTTTGCACCTTCTCCTCTGCCATTCGTCGCAACCATAGTCCAGTGACACGTGAAATTCTTGACCTTTCGCGTAAATTTATATCAGGAAAAGATTGCAATGGCACGGACTACAATGCGCGTTTTCGTAATGTGAGGGGAATTCGTGTCGGGATAAGCTACACCTGGGCATTTCCTACTACACCAATTATATTTAACGGAAAATACATGGAGAGCTGAGTAGTTCGTTTGGCTGATGTCATATCTTCTTATTGCAGAATACTGTTAGCTCAATACAATAAGAAGCTCTGCGGTGTGTGTGTGTGTGTGTGGTAGGTGCAATGTGCAACTAGCTGTGCGTGCTCGCAGCGCCGACGCTGCTAGGCGCACTCTAGCTGCACCTCTTCCGTCATGAAGATCCTGAGAGGCGCGGCAAGAGAACTGAGCTACCTATTTTGAGGAACATCCAATGAATTTCTAATAGCTTTGTTTGAGCCTGGATCTATGTGTCTCCCTCCAGAGACCTTTGTTAGAATACTAGACTGGCTGTGCCTCTCCCCTCACGTCCAGACCCTCAAGGACGCATGCCAGAGAGAAGGAGGCCTCCGTTGGTAAATCACAATACTTTTTGCAACAGTATTGAGGTCTGGAGTCAAAATTTTTAAACGGAAAATTTGGGGTTCCCGCAGAGCGTACAGTGCGACGTAGCCAACTACACTCAGCGTCCCGGCAACCATATGTTCATACCCTTGAGAAAACCATTCACACATTATTCTAGCTACTTATTTTGGGAAACGTGGATACGTACTGTTCAGATCCTTTTCACCACTACCTGTTCATTCTTTATCAGACAACCGACAGGGAATGGGAATACGAGAGGCGCATGTAGCCATGTACCAAGCCTGCTTGAGTCATTGTTTGTTTCGTCGAAACAAGTTAAATGACGTTTGACGCCTCCATTTGCGGCTAGAGGCTTGATTTACAGTTTGTTTCGCTACAGACACATTGTCCTGTATCTTTCCTGTCCAACTATCGGGAGACACTGTGGGGCCTCCAGCTAAGGAGGGCGACACTAGATCCCATAGAAGTAGTTTTGAAATTAATTCATGACACATTTTCCTAAACTTCGACCCTAGAGCACATTAAGCAGGAACTTTGTGCCGGACTCGGCTGCTTCAGCCACTGTCGTGCTGCCGCCTCCTGCATGTTGCGGGTCCCGTCGGCTGCCGGATGGCTGCATGTGAGTTGTTGCTCTCCATCAGCAAAATTCCCTATTTCTGCGTCATTTGCCATCTTATTTAGCCTCTCTCTATAGGAAGGGCAATCAGCGGAATCCATCAGCGGACGATAGGACATTGACGGGCTGTTTGCTGCTTGCAACGAATCTTGATGAAATTCAAGCCCGACCCGTGGAAGTCAGCTCCTGCGATTCACCCTTTTGCTCTTCCCAACAGGAATTTGTATTTATCAAACCATTTACTGACGTGAGGGGGCTCTCTGTGCGCCACTAGCTCCAGATCACCAAGAAGGGGCAATTGAGACTGGCTCATCTGTATGACTCCCTCTTGTCCCGTGGTTTTGTTCTTGCTGTTGTTATCTCCGTTAAATTTCTTTTTCTATTGCTTTCCAATATGCTGGGCGAAGTCACAAAGTTCGGGTGTTCCATATGGGAGGAGGTAAAGCATCTTTGCCGCCGGCCACGCGATGCGTGCCAAACTGTTCTCAGCATCTGCTGCGTCATTCTAGCTGGTACTTTGCGTCCCTAGTAACCACTGCTTTCAAAATAATCATTAATCAGGAGCATTATTTGAGCCGCCTTAGGAGCATCACCACTCACATACCCCAATTTTCTCCCCTAGCGTCCCAGCAGTAGGATCCGCAGTTTTGTTGTGGATAGACCTCCCGTTACACCATCCAACAGTTATCTCTTGTGTTTTGAGCCTATTGACCTGTGTGAGTGGTGTTTTTACAGCTCTCATGCTATGGAAGGTGCTGGTGTTGGCCGCTGGGAGTCCTTCCCCTGTGGTTGTTGTACTGAGTGGCTCCATGTTGCCTGCCTTTAGCCGTGGAGACATTCTCTTTCTGCTCGACAGGGGTCAAAGTACAGCTGTTGGAGACATAGTCGTATTCAAGGTAAGGGCTAGTACACACAATACCTATTTTCACATGCAGCCCAGCAGCAATAATACATGTTTCTTCATTGCGGTGCTAATGCATGGTGTCATAATGTGTTAGTGTACAAGATAAATATCTACAATTGCAGTGTGTTCTTGCATTTATTGAACAATCGTACTTTGGCACTACTTTCATTGCTAGTTTAGGCTATTTTGTTGTTATGTGTTTTCGATTTTTTTTAGGTAGAAGGACGAGAAATTCCAATTGTGCACCGTGTGATTAGCCTGCATACCAACGCCTCGGGAGAGTCTAATATGCTCACGAAGGGCGATAACAATTCTGTGGACGACAGAGGCCTTTATGCCAGTAAGATGCGCGCGCTCAAGTCTAAATTACAGAAGTGTTTCAGATTAGTGTCCGTGCATAGAATACAGCACAGAATAAGTGTAAGAAGGGAAGCTGCTATTTGCAGTAATTATGTCATCCGCATTTCTTTTTGCTGTTTATGCTACCTCTTTTATTCCAGACAAAGACTTATGGCTCAAGGACAGCAGCATCATGGGTACCACCGTTGTGTACTTGCCTTACGTTGGCCAAGTAACCATTGTATTAAACGACTACCCGGTGGTTAAATGGGCTGTTATAGGGGGCATGGTGATTCTCGCGCTTTTAGGCTACGAATAGCGCGACATGCGTAGCCACCTGTGGGCGGCTGCGGCTGCCTACGGGGAAGGCACTGCATCTCCTTCTCCGACGTAGCTTTACGTGAACTCTCAAGAAATAAGACTCACTGTCATAGAAACAGGAGAGGAAGACAGGACTTGATTAGAACAGAAGCAGGGGGATTTTGGCTGGGCTGCTCCGTGCTATGTTGAACTTTAACATTAGCGCCCACCCAATTGCCAGTAACAAGCGAATAGCGAACAACTCAGCTGAAAGTGGTGCTCGTACACGTTTAAGACGCCACTTTATGCAGCTCCTGTATTTTCCCGATAAGGATATACGATTTACTGCAAGTAGAACCTGCGCAAGGCGTTGCGTAGACTAATTTGGGCGTGGCGTTAGGCTGTAGGTGTAACCAATGTGCACATGGCTACAAGACGAATGTCTCGTGCATTTACAAAAAAACTGTTTGAATCTGAATGAATGGAAGGGAGCATCTCAAAAAGCATTTCTGTGTGCATCGCTGAAATGCCGCCGTAAAGCTGGTGTTTTTGTGACATTTCTATTCCACAGCGGCACATCGTCGATATTGCAGATTTGGTGGATTTTCATGGACGTCGGTTTTGGTTTTTTAGACAGTATTTTAACTAGTTTACTAATGAATTAAATGCATGCTAAGCTAAAATTCTCATGTATGATGACAGCTTTTCTGTGTCGTTGAAATCGAGGATGTAGAGAACTGCGTGGCGCTTAACGCTCGCGTTTTTGTGGGGTCTCGTAATTTTCATCACTCAAGGAGTGTTTATTCATTATGTTTTAATTACATACCAGTTTATGAAAAATCTAAGTGGGGGAGCGTGGAGGGGAGGCAAGCGACCATGGAAAACGACATCCAGAACTTTGAACGCATGAGGCACCAAGTCTATCCAATGGAGCTTTGCCACCGGCTACATTTTATACTAATTGATTCGAAATGGCAGCTGCGATTTAGGGGCTACCCGCAACAACTACTTTGAACTCTCCAAGGTGTACACACACTTGGCAAAAGATAGGCTATTGCCGAGACAATTGCCGCGCCAATGCAATGAAAACCACGAGAACAATACATGCGTGTGAAACTTGGCTTACTTTACCATGCGTTTCGCCTTCATTGCGTTGTCTTTCTTAACCTATTTTGTGTTCTCCGCACACTGTACCAGAAAACGATACCCACGCCTGCTCTCCATTTCGAGTTCCAACGATGCGCCAATACCTCACTCCGAAGGAAGGGGAGACGAGCTGGTTGCTACGCTCCAGCCTCCCGAAGGGCCATGCACAGAAACCTCTTCGAACGACTCCCCCGCTTTTCTGCGGGGTCTCGTTGCCCACTTGCAAGACGAACTGGATGCAGCACAGCATCACCTGCGCCGATTCGCGCGTATGTTTCTTACAATTCAGGGCGTAGGGGCATCAAAACAAGCCTCTCGGGAAAAAGAAACGCCAGTAGACCAGAACAAAGTCAGTCCTGTATCTCCGGTGGGTTGTACGCTTGGTCTACCCTGTACGCTCGCGTGCATACTGTTCCGCTCTGGCTATTTATCTTTCACATTCTCTCATCTAGGAAGTGCAAAAAGATGTCGAAACTGCCCAGGAAGCAAATACAGAAAATGACGATTTCGACGACTGGTATGCGAACACAAACTGCGCTGGGTAACGTGCTACCCCTACAAATTTACATCAAATTCAGGAACAACGAAACTCATGATGACGTAGTCTCGAAGAATCAACACGCGCTATCTGGCGCAACCCCCACCGAAAAATCCACTCTGCTAAATGTTAAAGCATATTCGCTCTAGCGCGACGCAGTACATACTCGAACGTACGCAGAAAAACCAGTTTGGGTAGCAAAACGCAGTGTTACCGCGAGGGGCCTTGATTGGTGACCACCGTCACCCAACAAAAGCTTTAGGAACAATGTGCCTTTTACTTCCAGTCATTGGATGCTGATTCATTTCGCACGCGCTGATGCATATTTTTCATTTGCTTAGGCTTTCGTCAAAGGTGATGCTGGTGGCACCAGTGTAGCCGTTCCCTCAAGAGTGCCGCTATTTCACTATTGCTAACATGTGCACCTAGTGGGAAATCCCAGAATTTAGCTTCGCAGTCCGCCGATTTGTTACGCGTCATGAATGCCCTCATTGATCCCTTGCATCCATCACCTTTTCGGTTGCCTCGTCCTGAATTACTCCAATTTCCTCGAGCTCATCCTCAAAGCAGTGAAGCTGCAAAAAGTGCAACTCCAGCATGAGCATCAGTCTCATTTTCCGGTCATAGCATTCCTTTCAAGTTAAATTTAGATCCCACTATAAAGCAAATTACGCTCTCTCAGACTGGTGGATTACCAGTTTGCAAATAGCGAAACAGTCAACATAGTGTTCTATGGCAACCTCAGATACCATGTTGTCAGCTCAAACCCTTTGCCAGCAGACAGCGAACGAGCGAAATAGCTATTAGAGCCAGTACTTAATCTGTTTTAACACCCAACGCTGCACTTTGTGAGCCTCCTACAACTAATCAACTACAAAAGACGAATTGACAGCTCACCGCTGCTGCAACCCTTAAGAAGAAGAGACTCTGCTGAATATCGTCTGAAGCATTAGGCTCGCGATCTTGATTCCAGTAGCTGCACACCAGAATACCCACGAAGTGATACAAGATAACGCAGACCGGGACCACAGATGATTGTAGCTGCACGATGCTGCTCATAGACTCTTGAACCTCAAAACAATGGAGTTTGAGCACACCATGCCCTTCAAGTAAATACGTAAAGTAGATGAATGGATTGGTGGCTTCATACCAAAGTGCATCGAAATCGGCGCAGGGGCGAAGCTCAGTGACGCAGGTGGCATTTTCTCCTGCCTCCACGCAGTCGCGTCCTTTATTTCCCTCTCCTGTATTCTTTGGATCGAAGCACCTTCTGATTCCACTAAACGTGCAATTCATACTCTGTGGCGCAACCACAAAACCCCGCAGCTGTGACTTGCTGGCTATTGGGCTTTGGGCTAATTGCTGCTGCTGGCCGCGTAGCCAGCGCCCATGCAGCAGCACTTCTAGTCTTCCATTGCCAACCATTTTTTCTTGATCCGCTGGACGCAGAGGTTTGGGGCAAAAGAGCTTGGATACGGGAGCCAGGCCGCTGTATTTAAGCTGACACGGCAGAAGATGCACTCCTTCAAGAGAATCGAGTGCTGCTTTCAAGCATTCCCGCTTCAGCCCATTGCTTGCATTGTTGGGGCTGTTTTCACCCCTCTCGCCGAAAACATCTGTGGAATTCGATGTGGTACCATCAGAGGAACGTGTTAGGATATTCTCCACAGAGTCTGCGAACATAATGCTGAAGCACACGTCGACGCCGAACGGCAGTAAAACCCGATGAAACTATTGACGAAATGTTTTGCATATTAAAAAATAATACCTTGATTTTTCTGTGAGTAATGCGAAATTTAGTATTTTGCATACAAAAGGCACAGAAGACACTGCATGCATCTACATCTCGGAATTTACAAAAACCAAGGGGTAGGGTGGGCGGGGTCATGAACACCATCCAACAAATAGAGTGACATGCCTGCGGTGTGGATTTTCCATGGCAATAAAATCAGAGAACTTGGCACCATGTCCTACACTTCTTAGCTACCACTTTATTACGCTTCGTGTGACGATAACACAGTTTGCTTCTTTTTGCCTGCTAGTGCATTTGTCACTTCCACTGTGCCATGTATTTTATTGCATATTGGCTTGGTCATGTTGCACTATCTGCAAAACTTGACTATATCACTTTAATTTTGCAAAACGCTAAATATCATCAGTTCACCAACGTATACATAGTTTGTTTGTTTTGGAGTTTCCCTCGAAACACGAGGTGGGGCGACACTCGGTTGCGCCTGGAGGCCTGCAGCGTAGGCCATTAGGAAGAAGCGGAACGAGGTATTCAACATGGTATATAGAGTAAGCAATGTTTGATGTTTCAGATTTTGCTATCATATACAACCGGGAATCCCTTTCCCTCATTGTATCATTCGTTTTCGCCATGATCTCTTTGCTGCTCCCTGTAGCATCTTTGGCCTTCATCCAGGAAACTCGCAGCACCCACTTTAGATAAAGTAGAGCAGATGTGTGGTCTGTTGGACCCCAGCCTGAGAATAAGTAAAAGTGTTGTGTACTCCATTAAGTAATGCGCAGAGCTCGGGACAAGTGGAATAGCAACTACTTGTAGCACAGGCGTCGTATGAGTAGCGTACTCTTCGCACAAAGCGATGGTGAGATTTGCCTCAGAGCTCGGCATATGTCTCCCGTTCACTATTACCCAAGGGACGTAGTCGTACTCAAACCGTCTGGAGAACCTCCCCACTGATTTCCTGAAGTGTGTCATATGAAATGCTGAAAACAGGAATTTTATTAAATAAGAAGGCGCTTACAACAAAGCTTGGCCTTCATCTTCCTCAAAGCACGCTGCGAGTAAAGGATCTTATATTAAAGGCTGCAGTTTGGACTAATTCATGTCCTTAACCAACAAACCTTCAATTTCGGCTTTGCGTGTCCCAGCAACAGATAGGCAATTTCTCCACTTGCCGTCTGCGACGCTATCCAACGTCTCAACGCTGAAAATACAGAGGAAATATATTTTGCTCATACAGAAATAGGACATGCTTCCAACGGTGAGATCAACCTTATCCCTATTTTCTGTTGGTTTTCGTATAGTCATGAGGTACGAATGAACGTGGAGCTTTGGTACGAACCGTCCGACTTTGTTTCGGTAATTGTTGTTATGACGCAAATACAGCGGCGTGCACGAAAACGTACCATTCAATGAAAGAGAGCCGGCTTTCCGGTTCCCCTTGCAGCTTCTTAAGGCCACAGGCTGATAATGTGTTACTGTTTACAATAAAACAGACGTCATCTCCGTACATCTAAACAAGAAAATGATTTATAGAGGCAAGTCCGAGCTCACAGTTGACATTCTTCAGCACCATGCTGGCATTCCACCACTCCGTCGCTCTCAGCTGCGTTGCCTGCAGACGAATTCACCCATTCCAGTGTTTCGCAATCCACGCCTTCCTCCTTTGAAACGAACAGAAACAGATTAATCAGCGTACCGTAAGGATAAAAATGCAGATCCACCATCTTTCCTAATTCTGTTCTCATGGTGCTTGCAACCTGTCCTGTAATGTACTGTCGAGGAGAAATACGGACAATTTTGATTAAGGCTCTGTAAGATGAAGGCATTCGGGGCTTACACTTTTGCAGAATGGGCACAATGCTTCATAGCTGATGAGTGGATAAGCCAAAATGAAGCATATGCTCGCTGACTTACAATTTACTGGTGCCAACCGACCCACAGAATCTCAACTTTGACTTGTGGCTCCCCCAACAGACGTAATTCGTTTTCTTTCATGATTTTGAACTTCCGTCGGATGCTTTGATGGTCATGTCCATTGACCAAAACGCTTGTAAAAAAGCAAATGAGGAAAGCTGGATTGAGTACAGCCATGCCGCCTATTGCAGAAGCAGACAAAATGGTGGTCAAACGATAAATGGTGGTCGCTGTCCACACTGCCCGCAGGCGACAAGTGAGAATTCGGTATATTGCGTAGTCCGTGACTCTGAGAGGAGACACAGAGCTTGGCACCTTGTTGGTAAACGATTCGCACGAGAGTGCACAAACTGGACATACACCTCAACGCCAGTTCAGATAATCGGCTACAACACCTCCTCTCTCCTTAAAAAAAGTTACCACGAAGGGATTTATTCCATTTCACTCATTATTTGTTTCTCCTTTTCACGCGGGTGCACAACCTGAAGGGTTTGACAGTCTTTCCCTTTGCACCGCGGTTAGAAGTACCTTGTACCTAAATCCTGCGCTCGTCCGCTTTGCTACATTCACTTGGGGCATCTACTTTCAAGCTAGTTCGATGTCCAAATTTTGACTTGATACAGAATTCCTCATAGCCTGTCAATGAGTTGTTGTACAGAAAAGAAAAATGGAGGCCTGGGGCACTTCTTGCTCTCTCTCTTTGCCTGGCGAACTTTTCAAGTGATTGCTCGCACATGGAACCGCGCCCATTGTGTTATAGAGACCCCAAGGAACTACCAAAAGCTTTCATGAATCGTCAAACGCCTGTAGGTTCCGTCGCGTAGCGAACGGGGGCCCTTCCTTAAGACGACCTGCCAGTGAGTGCTGGGCCGACATGGGGCGAGTTAGGATAGCAAGTTGGCACCTGAGGCTCATCAAATGAATGGCTCTAAAGCTGCGAACTATCGTGGCACTTCTCATTTCATAATACCTCCTGAACTGAACAGCTCATCCACGACGGTGAAGAGGGCGAATGATAAGAAACAGATCCCTGAAGTCAATCAAAGGCAAAGCTGCGAGGGACATAGACACTTTAGCACGACTTTCGCAGCTCACAAAACAAACTTTCCCCCATGAGAACAAACCAAGTGCGCTCGCGCAAGCATGTAGATGAGTGGGTGGGTGCTGTCTCGCGTGCACACTTGTTCAAAAGCCTACAAACGCACACACTTTGTTGCTCATATAGCCTAACGTGTTATTTTGAGCTACAGTTCCGCAGTAACTAGGTCTCTCCATCTGAAAATCCCTGACCTCCGATAAGTAGAACAAGTCGCTCTGAAATCCTTTTTGCAAGAACGTTGCCGCCTAAGACGGCGAGTCCTGTGCACAGGCCGTGGCCCAAGATGGCCCCTGTGAATAATACTCAAAAAACAGAATGCGGTTGCAAACAATGAAGACGTAAGAGTACAATCAACCAGTACGTCAATTCCCCGGCAGCCGTAGTGTGCCTATGGGAACAAAAGATTCGACACAGAAGTCGAGAAGTTTTTTTTTGCGCTCTTTAACGACTGAATCCCATCCCCGAAGCACAGTAGAAGAGCAGCAAGCACGTCACGTGGGGAAGCCCAGAGGTAATGTGTTTGCGCTGTTCTTGCTACAAGCTCGAAAGGCTCTGGAATATTACCGCTGACGAAGTGCGAACCCCTAGAGCGTAAATTTCTGACCCTAGAAGCAAACACTTCGAAAATTTACCAAGACAAACCGCAGAAGCGCTTCTATCTGCCGCCAAGGCAAATGTTGCAAGCTGAGACCTGTCACCCCACTCAGCCATTAGTGTTAATGAGGCAGCCTGGAGAGACGCAAATAGAACATTCAAAATTTCGTTCTCGTCAATGCCTAATTTATACGACACAAAACCACACTAATTCAGAAGCTCAATAGCTCTGGGGTCGCACTACCAGCACAAGGTAACTTAAGGAAAGAACCTAATGGGGCCTCTTGCCAGTACTGGCACACCCAAATACACACGCACAAACATACCAAATGGCCGTCTAACGATCGTGCAGGTCAGAAAAAATGGGTTGAGTTAGAAAGCTAGTAAAGTTGCACATGGTAGCCCTCAATCCAACGCTCGCAGCCCGGCTTGCCGTAGAACTCCATCTACTCTTAAGTATATAAATAATTGAAGGAGTATGCATTTTACCTGTATGAAAATAGGACTGAAGAAGTAGCGGGCAGCGCGAAGAAGCCGCGAGGGCCCAACTAACGCTGCTCCATGCTCAGGCCGCGACACCTCTTTCAGCTCCTCTGCGGAACGCATTAGATAAAGAAAATTCTGTGGGACGGATTATTCTACAATGAAGAGATAGGGCGCCTAATCAGATACTGAGAAAGAATATGGGGATGGAAAAAATTCGATCTTAGAAACGATGGAACAAGCAGCATGGGAATAAAGACACTAGATATAACTTGTCTCATTTTACTCAATCCACCAAGCAAATTGAAAACCCGCAGGGACCACACAAGGACCATCGCAAAGAGCAAGAAACACGGCGCGGAGGAGGGAAGTGATAATGAGCCTGATGGGGCAAGAAAAAGATATACGAGTACACTGCATTAAAAGCATCACATTTAAAGGCATCAAACATAATCATGATAACTTAAATCCTTACAGCGCGAAGAAGGCCCTGGCAACACTCAACCCCGACGCCTTTGCCTCTTTTCCGAACCCATGGGTCCATAATAGAGAAAAATATATGTGTACAGATGAACAGAGAAATCCATAAGGTATTAGATGTATCAAGATCTTCAGGAACATTTATCTATTTCCCTCTTCTCATGTACCTGGTTCTTCATTATTCTCTTCATAGATCATGGCATCGTACAGCATTTTAAGTCCAAAAAGCACAAGAAGAGCAGCCATAAAGACAGTGCGCAGTTCCTGCTTGAGAAACAACGGGATTACTCGTCCACCTGCTGCAGCTAAAAGGGTCATAACCGCCAAAGCCAAAAACCCTCCTGCAAAGACGTGCCAGCGTGTGCCCACGTGCGGTCCTGTTTTGTCAGAGGATTCGCTCTTCGTGCAGCGCATCGAAAGAATGGCAGTGATTAAAAATGTCTGTAGAATTGCATATTTTCACATGCACGAAAGGAGAGTCCTTTGGTCATTATGCTGAGGTCACAGCAAGCCCACCACCGTGGCAGCGAAGCTACGAGCTCTCTCTGCTGTCAGATTATTGAATAGTGTATCAGAAAGCGAATAACGAATAATCATTAAAGATCAACTAAAGAGCGGCGAAATGTCAAAGTGTACAAATGGTTCGAAGGGAAATAAGAATAGAACACACCTTATCTCCTAACTCGGAGCAAATGATCATAAGTAGGGTCCCAATGAACGCAGAGCTCCAGCTTGTATCCGTTGTCCCTGTCAATGAGAGAAGAGGTGTAGCTGATACCTCCAGGGCCCCACACAACGACAAAAAGACGCTAATCACCAAAGCCGCCCAAGAAATTGGCGGACGACATGAGTGCTTGAGGAACGGAAGCAAGGTATTTTTCACCTTAGACTTGCATATTATGTGTGAGTTCGTTTGACGTTGGTCCGTGCTAATGATCCCCTGAGAGAGTCTCTGCAGAGGCACTTGCCTTTCCTCAAGTGAATGGACACAGCAAGCACTACAGCCCTCCATTGGCACGAAGCCCCCCCTAGGCCAACCAGCGAACGGACTAAAACGAACGCTATATGAAAGACAGTAGGAAGGGAGGCAAATCCGGAAAGGTATCCACCGGAGAAGACACGGCGAAGGCTATAACACAAGTGAACCGAGGATAGGAGAGCCACAGGATGGAAAGAGCAAAGGAAAAGGAAGGGAAGTGACCTGCAAAGCGCACGTGGCTCGATGTTGTCAGGACAGGCCCTACAGATCTCGGAGGCTTCAGGCCGTCGGTGAGTACTGAAAATGAAGAGGAAAAGAAAATAAAGAAAATAAGAGGAATTAGTCCTATATTTTTGACCAGCCATAGGGCATAACCACTGGGGGGCTGTAAATTGCTGCCTGGGCTGCATGCACACAAAAACCAGGGGCTGATCTGGTTTCATGCACAAAACGACAATCGATTTCTTTGATCGCTTGAGTAAGCAATAGTGGCATGTTCTTTGTTCTTAGTGGATTATTTCTGTGCAATTATATGTCCACTAAGCAGGTTGGTAACATCAAAGGCGCGATGAAGTTCAGATTGGTGGCCTAATTTGCTCGATATCCCAAGACCCCGTTATGTATGGCGGCATTAGTGCTCTTTGCTTCAAATCAGTGCATATAAATCCTGCGTGAGTACCATTCATGGTATGTTTTTCATCTCTTTCTTCGCTAACATCAAACAACACGGAGTGTACCATTAAAAGAATTATACCCCTCTTGGTCACCTAGTACTTGGACAGGGAATTTTTGGCTATAGCTTTACAGTTGTGCTTTACAAAAAATCAATAAGGTGGAGAATTGCGTAGGTTTCTACACGTGGGTAGTGCACATCCTGGAGCCTTCATATGGAGACCAGCCAAGCCCAAACCTACTTTTAAGAAACAAACAGAAAGCTATTCAGAGTCGTTTCACCAAAACTCTCCTCCTTCCGAGTACTCAGTCTCATGTATCATAAGTAAATAGAAAGTGAACAGCTAGTGTGCAACAAAGTGCACTCTCAGAGCATGGCGAGCACTCGCAGTTAGCTGCACATACGAGGTAGCAGACTGTGCTATACTTTGGCACTTTCTACCACAGTACTAATATTATACCAAGAATCAGTGAAGAAGCAGCATTGCGCTTTGGTTGTTCGTACATTATTTTTGAGCATTAACTCAAAACAGCGAGAAGCTTTTTTGTGAGCTTCGGCACTGCATGCAACGTGCAATTAGCTGTGCATGCTCGAGGTGCTTTAAGGGTGCATTCGCACCCACCCTAGGCGTTTTCCACTCTTCATGTCGTCACTCTTGATGGGTGCGAGCAGCGGATATAGGGTGGTCTTTTCGAAAAACGCTCAACAACGTTTTGTGAAGCTTGAATGGTATTTGGAGTCAAGTGTCTCCCTACAAGGAATTTGGCTACAATGCTTTCGTTGTTAATACGGCAGCATTTGCTGCAGCTGCTCCCCACTTATCAACTGTCCTGGAATGTAGTCAAGCGGTGTGTTTCCCTACAGCAGTTGTCTGGCTTTGTTTAGGTCATTTGGATTTTTCAGTAATCCAAATTCACTCTCGTTGGAAAAAGTGTGAAAGACGCTCTCGCAAAAGGAGCAGACGGTGGCAGAACTCCTGTTTAGGTGGCAGAGGCCTGCTTGAACTCTGCTGTGAATACAGTAGCTCCCCACCTGTAGAAAGTAACAGACTGCCAACCGACACAAGTGTTCATGGATACGTCATTGAGGTGTCGACGAGCAGCAAAATACTGCGGCGCTAACAACGCAGCATTAGTCTCGTGGGAGTCCTCGGCGTGTGGGTCGGATCACGTGGGTCGGGGTTCAAGCGTTTGTGATTTGCGCTTCTGCAGACGGCCTTCTTTGATTTGGATGGGAAAATTAAGATGCATGGTAAGCGCATCAATGCTCTCAAAAACGCATGGAATTTTTGTATTCGGACCTTTGGGGAGCTGGGGAAACGGGGCGGAGGGCTGGGGTGCAGCTGAGGCGCTGTCACTCAGAAGCCAAGGCAATGGCACATGCTGCACGGTGCTGCCGAGTCGGTTAGATTATCTTAGTAAGGATTGGAGGATATTCTTAGGGTCGAGGGATTCTGCTCTGTCTCAGAGCATGCGGTTTAGGGCTAAGGGTTTTGTTCGAGTGATGCATCCACAAAAGATGAATTACTTTGGTGCTTCAAGAGCGAGTGAGAGCAAATCCTGCGTTTTGGCTTGTAAGAAAATCCACCCCAAGGCTCTAAGATTTTAGAATGTAGGGGCTGTGTGAGCCGGCCTTAGCCTACAGTCGAAATTGGACAGACATAAAACTGGAGAGATACTGCTTTCCTAAGTGGACCAAGACGGCCCCCACCAAATCATCCGTTTCCATCTTGGAATATCGGGTCATAGCATTTGGAGCTGCAGGCGCATGTGTAAAGCCAAAGAGTTTGTACACCGGGATTGGGCCCAGCTGAAACAGCCTGCTTGGTGACCCAACAGCGTGAGACAAGGAAGTGGCAAGCCTGCCTTGCCACTTAACAGCGCTCATGATGTGTATGATGAATGGGTTGATTCCGGTGCCTCAACACGATGACGCAGAGTTGTCATGGGGTGGCTCTGCAGAGCAGTAAGAGGACACGGTTCTGAGCAGAAACACTGTACTCGCTGCTTATATATTGCTTCTCATTCACAGCTTGGCAGAAACCGAGCAGCATTATTAAGGCGGAAAAAGGAACTTAGTGAGAGCTGGTGAGGCGTGGAAAAATGCCGATATTATCTGCGTGGGCGTCAAATCACTGGCCAAATCCACGATAAGTCTTAATTGTATATTGTGAAAAGTTTTAAGGCTTTGATAGCCGTAGCATGGCTTGTTGGCTTGGCCAATCACCATTATACAATGCAAACGTTCTCCTTACAGATTATCCACGGCTTCTATTGAGACTCATTTGACGCCCATGCATCCAGAACTCTTGGCATTACCCTGAATGGCAAAAGGGTGAAGCACCGTCATGTTGAGGATGACGTACTCTGGTCCAAAGCAACGCGAGTACTTTGTCGCCCGTACACAGCGACTCACCTTTGTAGTGCCTTTTTGCGCAAGGCGTGTTGACATGTTCTTTGGGCGTAATCAAAACATTTAGACCACAATGGAAAGATCTCCCGGCCCTTCTGCTGGACTGGGATGCGTCCCGTGCCAGAGGAGTATGCGCTACCATGCCCAGAGTGTCCGTAGCTGAACCCGCACGATTCTCCTAATCTAGACCTCTTACAGCGCCTTCCAGATGCTTAGTAAATCGGACCGATCTGACAATGAACGTCATTGTTGGACTGCCGAAGGCCAGAGGTTGGGATGACGTCTACATCATTGTCAGTACACTCAGTAGATTTGCCAACTTCCATTCTTGATACAGCTTCTCCACGGTTTGATATGCTGCCTAATTATTCTTACTTTATGTCTGAGAGCTGTACAAAGTAGTATGAATCTAGGATAGCGATTCCGAGTTCGTTAGTGCTTTCTGCAATACCACGTCATCCTTGATGAGGCACCGTATCCGACCCACTCATCATTAACAAGATTATCGTTGTTCATGAGGCTACAAGTTGCGTTGTCCTAGCTCCTTCGCCCTCACTGAACTCCACAGCACGCAGCACTGATCAAATGCGCACGCTCCATGGGCTGACGCACGGCATACCTAGGACTATGTCGTGGTAGATGGATCCAAGATTGAGGTCACAATTTTGCTGGCTTAGACGCAGTTTGCCTTGAAGTGGTATTTGCTTGCTTTGGCCTTGCCAGTCCTTGTGTTCTACCAGCCGTCAGCACAACTAAGTCTTGGGGAATGCACTAGCCAGTGGACAGGCAGACTGCACTTCTGCGCCGTCTCCTCGAATACCAGATCCACGTTGTGTCCAGTGACAAGTAGCCCAGGCAGGCTTTGACCCTTGATGTGAACTTGAATCAGCGCAGAAGTTACAACCCGGTGGTTTTCCAGCTGCGGCTCTATCTTGTGTGGCCCCCTTCACAGTACTACACTTAGCAAGGCGGACTTGCCGCTTTCTTGTCTCACCGTGGTTGGTCACCAAGCAGCCTGCTTCCGCTAAGTCCTGTTCCGTTGTCCATAGTTTTTGGCTTAGAAGAGGGTGATATTCGGTCTGCATGAACCAGCCAACGTGACACTTCGATTAGACTGAAGTTGGGTAAGTGCTATAGCAGCTGTTAGTCTACTTCGAAGCTTTTACGACCAGAGCTTTTTATTCTCAGTTCACGGATATCTGGCTTCAGCGTTCTGAGTTCTCACAAAATTCGTTGTTTAGCTGATCTCTACATCGACCGATGAGTCAGGGCTTGCAAGGAGGCTTGAATCATAGTGGTATCTGCAGGCACGCGACCTTTTGTGCATAGTTGCAGCCACCAATGATGTTATTCTGCTTCCAATGAGCATGCAGCGTTAAGCACTCCTCTCTCTCCATCTTGCAGGGTACAAACGGAGTTACATCTTGACCAGGGCGATGAAGTTGTGGAGTACGTGCCCATCCTGTTGCCAACGAAAATAAGAATGGGATTATTGAATTAGCAGATGCTTTGCTTGAATTCATACGATCTCTGTAGGGAATCCAAGCGCTTGACTGCAATCTCTGCCGTTGGATGAGCAGGGAACGATTGCATCAGAGCACCCAGTGCAGCCACCGGAAACGTTTCACCTAACGTTCCGCAAAGTGACCCCTATTATCAGACTCAGTAAAAGTCAATAGAGCTTCGCTGAGTGCTTACAGAAGAAGATACGTGTTTCGCTGTCTGGGCCCCCAGAAGTCCTGAGAGAAGGGGATAAGAGCAGCTTGTGGGCACTTGGCTGCACTGCGTTAGCACGCCGAGTATTTACAGCTAGTCGCAAACAGCATCTAGCGCACGCGAAAAAAACAGTGTGCCTTATCATATCAAGCTATTACTCCTCTGAAATATTCAAGGAGCACAAACAGACAAAGCAATCAGTACATTGCACAGTGCTCCGTAGCTACACAATTTCATGCAGTTGAAGGCGCAAAAGTGTAGTTTGGCTCAGTACAACGGAGCAGCCAGTTCGATCATAGCACTTTTGGCTTTCTTTTATCCTTATTTCGGAATAGCAGATGATGCCAAGACGGGACCGCGTGTTTGAATGGCGGGAAAGCTTGCGAAGTTGTAATACAGTTGTGGTGGTTTTCGTTGTATCTATGGAGACCATAGTAGGAATGCTACATACCTACTTAAGGCGCAGCCACGCAGCCTATATCCGTACAGTATGCAGCGAAATCTGTCATGCAAAAAATACAAAACTGAAAGCACAATTCAACTGCATATTCAGAGGGTGAGTACATGCAGCGCCGAGCAACGCAGGAGGTACGCCCTATGCACATTTCTGCATGACCCTGTCAGTTTCTCTCGGAAAAATACTGCTTAACAGACAGTACTGAGTATTTGGTACAATACAACAAATCCACCAATTAGACACAGTTTTATAGAGCAATGCGATGCTGAGCCGGAAAGTTGTACTCCCTGAAAGAGATGACCTAGTGTACTCAATACCGGATGACTCGATGCCGTCAACGGTCCAGTCTACTACATGTTGGATGATTTATGATGATACGAGGCAGCAGCAGCGGCTGCTCCAGCGGCACTGTTTTGGGGCTGGTGCTGCTGCTGCCGCTGCGAAGCTGTTGCGCTCGGTTCCGCATGCGACTTGCCCCACACAGGATGAAGAAGTCTGCATGCGCAATATAACTGCAAGCCCAGAAGGGTCAGTGTATAAAATGTAACCGGCGACAAAATATCGTTGGTCGTACCGGCGCGACACGGCCATCAGCGGAAGCAGCCCTGGTACAGCAGCAGCACAATTAACGGGCAAAGCAACAACACTGATATATCCGGCGGTAATCGTTTTGGAGCATCTACAGGAAACGTGAGGGGAGTTGTCAATGACTTCAACGGTGACAGCGTGCCAACTGCTGCAGCACGTGGGGTCCTAATGGTATGCTTGTCACCGCGATCGTGGTGGACTACCACCAGTGGTATTCTCATGCAGTAGCGTTCAAGACTGATCACAACAGCAGCCATTGGAGAGGAGGAAGCTTTCATTGGCCTCTCCCACAGTGAGGTACCCAGACACTCACGAGGTGTATGCTGCTACCGAAGCGCAGACAAGCCCCTAATCGTAGCAACAGCGAACCGATTGTCTGAAAGGGGGGACAGGACGAAATCTGCGAATACCCATAGCTTTGAGCCACTACCAGCACTAACAGCAACAGAAGCGGCCGCAGAAAAGGCTCATCGACCTGAGGTGCTCGGTGCAGGCGGCTCGTGCTGCTACTGTTGCTTGCCAGATGCTCACCTAGTCCGATGCGGCACAAGTGGCAACAAGCGAGCGGCTGCTGTTGGTGTGGAGAGGAGTAGCCCCCTCGGCTGCCTAAGAAACACCAACTGCAGCTCGAGTATTGACAGCGCCAGAAAACAGCTGCCCCCGGAAGATGCAAGTCGAAGAGTTTGAAAGGGCTGTGAGCACCCTTTTCGCCCACGGGAACGCACCTGTTAGTCCAGAGAACCGCTGCGAGGCGGAGCAGTATTTGACAGGTGAGAGGGGATGCTGCGATCGTGGTTTATCTGAAGTGTGCCGTCTGCTTTAGTAGTCCTACTGGCGCGTTGGCGCTGTGCTTCCTTCTGCTGGCGTTCGGCAGTGCAGCTGCTCTTCTCATGTGTGTGGCTCTGCATGAAGATCCATGCAATGCCGCGTGCACCTTAAGCATTGGAGAGTTTTGTGGGAAGCAGGTGTTTTGCGTGGACTTAATCAAGTGCGGAGAGCAGTAGCAGCAGATCTACAGGGTGCAGTAGGCCAGTGTGGTGTGGTGTGTTGCGTTGGCTACTGATGGCGTTCTATCGTGTGTGTGTGTGTGTGTTGCAGCACTATGCGGCAGCAGCAGCGGCAGCGTCTTGCTGCTGTCGGCTTTGCGAGCGCGCTGCTCTTTGGAGACAAAGTTTTTTGCTCTCCAGCAGTTGTTACAGCTGCTCCCGCAGCAGCAGCAGCAGCAGCGGCAGCAGATGCAGGAGATGTTGTTCAACGTGATGCGGCTGAGGGTGTGCAGCGATTCGCTTTGGGCATGCAGTAACAGCTGCGGGGGAGGCAGACCGAGGGGTGTTGCTGCGGCGTTTGCTGCTGCTGCAACAGACGCGGCATCCAGTCCCGACGCTGCTGCTGTGCATAACAAGTTGGCATTGGTGGTTGCTCGGTTGTTAGCAGCAGACGTCGGTGGAGCAGCTCCAGCGGCAGCAGCAGTCGCAGCAGCAAAGGGGACGAAGGCGGCGTTCATGCCGCTGCGGCAGTTGCTGCACCAAGGGATCTCTGCCCTGTGCTTGCATCTCCGCGAAGCGGGAGAGGAAACAGCGGAAGCATTGGCAGCAGCAGCAGCGATTGCGGAGCGTTGCATGGCGTGCAGCAGCGCGTCGTGTGCTTCGGAAGCAGTACATAGTGCTGCAGCCATACTGGAGTCGCTCCGAGTGGCATTGCGGGTGCTGCTGGTGCTCCATCAGGAATATCTAGAGGATGCACCTGCCTCCCCTGTATGCGTTTTTACACATGCGAAGGGATTGCAGGGGTTGGGGCCTAGTTGGTGTGGTGGGGTTGCTGTTGGTGTTGTTCTGCTGGTTCGCTCTTGTCTGTGGAGACGGGAAGGTGCTGCCGGCTGCGCTGCAGCTCAGCAGTGTGGTGGGCGATTTTATGATGATTCTGTGATTCTATGCCTGCAGCTTTCGGCAGCACTCAAGAACTCCTTTCCGTATGACGAAAATGTGAACCCCAACGCGACCACTGCAACCTGCCCTCCCCCCTTCTCCCCAATGCTGCTGCAGCTGCTGCGGCTTTTGCAGTTGCTGCACAAGCACAGCCCGGCACTGGGCAGTGTGCTGCAGCTCTGTTGCTCCGTAGTTGAGCGATACGTGGGATGGATCGACTTGCTGCTGCCGGAGCAGATAGCAGTGGCGGAGGTGCGCGACCACAGAGGCGACCACAGCAGTAGCACACCGAACTTACTGCAATTGTTGGGAGACACGTGGCTGGCATCAGGCTACCCCGAAGCTGCTTCTGCAATCGTAGTTTTCATACACCGCAAGATGGAGCCTGCAGCCAGGATCGATCTGCTTTGCCGTATGAAGGTGAGATTCAGGAAGAGCAGCAGGTGGTCTAGGCATTGTTCTATGCCTTTCGCAGTAGGAAAACGTATTGCTTGGATGCCCTTCTTGTCTGTGGTGTTCGTACAGCTTGTGGAGTGGCTGCTGCATTGCATTCCTCACGCTGAAATCGCAGCATCGCCAACAATGCTCACTCCATTCGCCAGCATGGTGAACACAGCAGTAGCAGCGCTGGCAGAGGCATCCGCTGCACTGGCAGAGAAACTTGAGACGGCGGGAGAGTGCGACTCCTGGGTTTCCGATCGAGGGAACTACAGTCCACCAGCTACTGACAGGAGTCGAAGGGAGCTATTGCAGCGGGTGAGAGGCCTCTTTTCACTTGTTTGCACGCATTTTCCTCCACCAGACAGCTGCGGGTATGTGCGGGTCGCTTAGAGGTGTGCAAATTACCTTTTGAGATGGCAACTGCCCACGATTGGACTTGACTAGTAGCGGGCACGTTGTAATGCATGGGACTGGAGACAATATGGCGGGGGAGAGACGGCAGAGAGACCGTTGACTTGTCCGCTGCTGATCCTTCGCGAGTTGCGAGGCGCTGCACGTGATCTTGGATGCATGCATGAAAGGCCTTGTATCAACGATTCCCCCTCCCCTTTGGATTCGTGCTGGCTGCTGATGCAGGGTATGGCGGCTATGTGGTCATTGGTGCCACTTTCGTTACAGTTGCTGGGTTCTGGAGGCTTGGAGGTGTCGAGCACTGTAATCGCATCGCTTTCTTTGCTACTAAGCAAGTCGTCCTTGCTGAGGCGTCATGAAGCCATGCTGTTGCAGCCGCTGCCCTCATCCCGTTTTGAAAGCCTTCTGCTGGAGTTGTTACAAGTGCTACTCAAGAGGGTCAGGCTTCAGCCTTTGCCACTGGTGTTAGAGATGCTGCTTGTGCCGCGCTCCTGCTGTTGCCATGGAAGCTGCTGGATGGATGCTCTGACTCGATCGATACTTGTGCCTCTCGGTTGTCGCAGCTGGCTGAGGTTGATGCGCTGATGGGAGCAGCACAGCAGCAGCAAATGCTGCAAGAACAGCAACAGCAAGTCGTTTATAGCAGCCTTGATGACGAGGAAATCGAACAACTTGCTGCCTATAAGGAGGTAAGTTGTTTACACTTACGTTGGGATACTTGCATTTACGGCCTGTCGGGGCTAAGGCGGCTCGGCTGTCACGACACTCGGCAAGCGTTTGGGGTGTACGGCAGTATTTCTGGCTTAAGGTGTGCGCTTCAGGCGCTAACGGTTTTATTCCGGCGGAGCTGTGTAGCCGACCAGACGCGGGTGTTGGTATGGATCCAGGAGGGGCTGCAACAGCAAATGCAGCAGTACCAGCAGCAGCAAAGTCTACAGCAACGCCATTCCCACCAACAAGAATTCTCGGCTCTGCTTCACATGCTGCTTGTTCTGACCGATGACATACACGGTACGAGCCCTCTTCTGGCGTCTCGTTTGCCCTTGTTGGTGCTGGTTGCGTCGCTGACGCTGCCCCTGCGCGCTGCGCGATCACGCGTGTACGCTCTGCTTCGGAATGCGTTGCTTTCAGATTTGCCAGAGAAGCTGAAAGATACATCCAATCAGCTGCATACTTGTCTGCTGCAACTGCTTCAGCTGCTGCATAGTCTGCATGAAGCTGCACCCCTCTTCTCTGCGGCGGCTGCCGAAAATTTCATGCGGATTCTTGTTCGTGTTGCTCCGCTGTTCATTAAACAACAGCAACACATCCCTGAGGCGCTTTCGCTGTTGGCGGGGCAACACGGGGTTTGTAGCAGCAGCTACAACATTGCACCCAAGGCGTGTCTGGCGTTGCTGCGTTTTGTGAAAAACTGCTTGCCATACTCTGCTGCATATACGGGGTTGCTAGTGCAGCATCTGCTGCAGCAGCAGTGCCTGGATATACCCAGCTGCAGCAGCAGTGCCACCACACAGCATCGCCAGCGTCCAGCCACCCCTCCAAGCTGCAATAACAGTAGCAGACAGGAGCCTCTGGCGTTGGCGGCTGCAGCAGATGTGTATGTACACCCAAGGGCTTTTCAGGTGGAGCAGCAATTGCTGCTCTATGAGGCAGCCGGTGTACTGTTGGGCAGCAAATTGCAGCAGCTGTCTGCTGCGCCTGCAGCCGCAGTGGGAGGTGCCGAGGGTCAGAGTGCCTCAGCGAAAGCTGCGCAGGAGCGCGTCTTGCTGCTGCATGCACTTTTGTCCAAGGCAACTGCGGCGTTCACCTCAGATATTGTAAGCACCCATACCGTGGAAGGGCATCTGCAGCAACGGTTTCCGCTGCAGCAGCAGGCCCTTAAAGCAGCTGCTCGGAGCTCAAGACGTCACTCGAATCGTGCCGCAACAGGCAGGTGTTCCCGTGCAGCTCAAATGGATTAGGATCTATCGACATTTTGACCTTGCGGCGTTATGCTTTGTTGCTTGTGCAGGACTGCGGCTCATCAACGTTGCCGGCAACGGCGGCAGCAGTCGCGGTATACTGGTCTCGTTGCATGAATGCCTTGGCATCTCTGTCAAAGGGCTTTCAGCCATTCAGGGGGGCATCCGTTGCAGGGGATGAAGGCTCCCCATCGACACAGACGAGCGTCACCGAGGCTCCTGCAGTGGTAGCGGCCAGAGACGCATGGCTACAGACTCTTGCGCTCTTCACTACTGCCTTACTCGTGAGGCATCCTGGCTCTTTATAGTTGCAGTGGACTTGTAGAGTAGGCACCCGAGTGCTCCTTCAAATGCAGTGCCTTCTGTACTTCTGGCCGCCGCCTCATGTTTCCACTTCATTGTTTCTTTCTCTGTATTAGGAAGAGGAAATACAGTAGTCACAGCGATAGGTGTAGCCAGGACTGTCAACGTGCTAGGGTTGGATTTTGTGCTGTTCGCTGTAGAAGCTTGGGGTGGCGTGGGGTACGATGCATGCTGTGTTGCAGGCAGCAGGAGCCGAGGGCAGCGTCTTAGAAGTTGAGGGCACAAGCTTGCTGGTATTGCCTCCTATCTTTCCTGCATGCATTTTCCTGCTGCGGCGTCTACTGTCTTTATTGGGGCCCCTCGCTGCATCGTCTACTGGCGCACTTTTGCCGCTACTTTACGATGCCGTACTGGTAGACGCAGAGAGTCCAGCGGCGGCAGCAGCAGCAGCAAGCTGTTTGCAGCAGCAGCAGCATTCTCCAGAAGCAGCAGCGCAGCAGCTTAGCGGATTCTGCATGCAGATCTTTGTCTCTCTGAAGGGGCCTGAGCTGACAGTGTTGGTGCTGCAGCATCTCCCTATGTAGGTCCTCATTCTTGCTCGTGTTGCATCCTTACCCGAGACAGGATGCGTGCGTTGGCGCCTTAGCTGTATCGCTGTTTCGTTGCATGGCGTTGGTCGCGGGCAAGTTTTGCACAAAGCACCTACCGGATGCTGGGGAGATGTTGAGAACGGCTTCCAACAATTGCGTGCACCGCCGTGTGTGCATGCAGGATATTGGAGAGGCATCTGGGGCTGTACTTAAAGGCTGTTGCTGCAGTGACGCAGGAGCCAAACTCTGCGGATCTACAGCGGGAGTGCCGGGAATTGCAAGAGCAGCTGGTGTCTCTTGTTGCAACAGCAGCAAGAGAAACACCTGAAGCTCTGCTGAACTTTGCTGCAGCCTCCTTGCTGAGTGCTGACAATTGCAGGAATGCCAGCGAAAACAAGGCTTCCCTTTTCCTCGGTGCACTTCATGAGTGTTTTGTAACCGCCGGTGTAAACAATGGTGGCTCCAACTGCAACAGGCCGTCGACAACGCAACATGCATTGCTACGGCTGCTGCATCAGCAGCATCAACAGCTACACATGCTCCTCTTTGGTACACTGCGTCCGACACGAGGGGTCTCCGCGATCACTTCAAGAGCACCTCACGGATCCCCTGCGTCTCAGGAGATTGCTTCTGAAACATGGAGATGTATTTTACTCATTCTTTTGCAGGCGTGCTGCCCCGGCGCCTGCCCTGTTGTAGCAGCTGCATCCTCGCAAGCTTGGGCGCAAATCGCTGGAGCATTTCTGTGCAAGCCTGACAGGCTGACAGATGTTGCGCTGGACCAGGAGCGGCAGAATCAGTTGCCATCCGATTTACAGCAAGTCCAGGAAGCGATGCGAGATTTTATAAAACAAAATGTCGCCATGGAAACGCAGCTGCGGCAGCGTCGCCCCCAGATGGGGTCGTCTCAGTCTGTCCAACAGTCTGAGGAGATGCAATCTCTGCGGCAGCAGCAGCAGCAGCGTGTTCGGAGCATTGAAGTGCAGCAGGCCGGTCAGCAGCTATCTCTGTTGCTTCCTTTATCTTCCCTGTTTAGCGCCACCGCTGACTTGTTTGTCTCCCTCAGCACACAGGATCCTCAACACATCAAAGTACGTCCCTACTGCTTATTCTGACCACTGGCTGCTGCTACAGACGCGGTTTCTACCGTTTACTTCCCGCGAAAATCGTCAGTGTTGCTGAGTGTGGCACAAGTTTAGGGTGTTGCTTTGGCCTCACTTTCCGGATTTCTCCATGTATGCCGCACGTCCAGTCCCTGTCGCCCTAACGAGCAAATTATGATATAGTGCGTTGCGCCATTGTGTTTCGGCTGCTGCCACAGGTTGCAGCAGATATAGGAGGCCTCTGGCGTACACTTGGGTATGGGATACCACCTGGGACCCCACAACGCACCGCATCAGCAGCAGCAGCAGCAGCTGGTGCAGCTGCAGGAGCCCAGCTGGGGGCATTTTTCATTCCCCTGCGCAGCGGCATTCAGGATTCACTAGCAAGGGCCCTCGCACCGCTCATTTCGAACCCTGGCGGCTCCGCTGCTGCACTTCTAGAGGTACGTGAACTTGGGTCGAGTTCTTAGGGCTTTGGGGAGTTACTTGATATATTGCAAGTGGTTAGATCGAAATAACACGATACTAACAAACGTGAGCGGAGAGAAATGCCATTGTTAGTTCTCTGTAATTCGTGTATATTGCCTGAGATGATTTTGCTGACACTATTTGGTGGAACGTTTGAGTGTTGCAGGCACTTGGGCAAACGGAGGGCCAGCAACTCCGAGCAGTGATTCGGGCATGGCAACAACGAATCATACCTAAGTAGACATGCTCCCCAGAAAACGTCGCAGCGGCAGGAGCTAGTGCTGCGGGGCTGCATGCATTGGATTATCCCGAGCAGCAGTGCCATCTAAAAAAGATGGTATAGCGTTTTCGTGGGCCCATAAAATGACGAATATTCTGCGGTGTCTTTTGGGCTGAGGCTAACATATGTGTAGGCCCCCTGTCCCCAAAGTGTCACGTAGCAGGTATATTTTCTAGCACTCATTTTGGCTATATAATATCGTCTTTAATTGATTGAGAATTGGATAGAACCATAATGTGCGGAGGCCGAACCAAGAACTGGCATGTGCAGGTGTTGTACACTACGTGTAACCCTTCGCATGGGGCGACGGCATATGCACGGGGCCCCTTTTAATTTCGCTACGGCCTTTTTGCACAGTAAAGGCCCTACATTATTCTATTAGGGACGTTTAGTGAAGCCATTTGAGACAGCTTTGAAGAGCTGCACCTGTTGCAGCTACGTTTGTACAAGCCCTTACCTACACCATGGGGGCGGAGAAGGGGACTGCTACATTTATCCCCGTGATTGCGGCCTTCGGATCCGCCTTGCCTGCTGAATCCCGAACTACCATCGAGCACGAAATACTTCGGACGAATCGATGGGTTGGTGAGTGGTGTGTGATGCCATCAAAAGTATAGCAATCATTTAGCCCTAGCTATTACGTACGATGCTACAGTAGCTTGACCCTCGGCCGCTGTGAATCAGGGCGAATGCTTGTGGATACTTATATATTCAGTATCGCATCTGGTAGATCACATTAGTACTGTGTTCTAAGATTAGGAATGTACTATGCAACCCATGGGTGCTCGTTGACTGTACACACACACACCGTCTTTCCAGTCATTAGTTGCTGCATGTAGATGCGACAAAAGCTCCAGCCGGGAAAGGCCTGTTATTGCCGATGTGCTTTTTGGGGAATGCACTCTCTCAACGCTCCGAAGACGGACATGACCACCTGCCTAGATTTGTGACAGGTTGGCACCACCCGCCATCTTTTTGAGAGCTTATGCCTAGAGCTTATCTGCCATGTTGAATAGCTTTTGTTCACAGTGCTTTGGCATTGATTGCTGAAAGGCGTGCTTATTGGACAAAGTGTACGAAGTGGTGATTCAGGTGCGTATATACGAGCATAATTGCGTTCTGCATGCCCCACCTCGCTAGCCATGGCGCTAAAATTATGGCAAGATTTCCGAGACTCAATGCCATCAATCTAAAATCACTCAACAGCTGGGCAGGCCACCCGGGGAATAACAAAGCAATCTTGTTTCCTTGAATTCGTCAGGACTATCCCTCTTCATTTTTTGATCCATGCGCGAGGGCAAACGTGTCACCTGTTTTGAAGTATCCGACTCTTGCTACACAGGAATGTAACTTCATCAGGCGTGAGGCGCTAAACATTTGGAAGCACGCCTTTTGGAAAGCTTACGGGATTATCTTCTGCTTAGTGAACGGATAGGTACGGCTTTCCTTGGAGTCAAATATTCCCAATCCGTTAAAGCTGGAAACGCACTGCTTCCACCGCTTCGTGAGAAGCGCGTCCAGGATAGACGCCAAAAACGTTACAGCCTTGCTCTCAAAAATGATAGCTCGATGTGCGTATTCTGTACCCACGCTGAAGGGGAGTCTAATGTCCTGAAAAGCGTAGATGTAGAGAGCAGAGCTACACTTCATCCCTTTTTAAATACTCCACTTCCACTACTTTTATTGTCCAGGATCAGTAAAGAATCGAATGATTGGTGTCTGTTCGTATATCTTGTTGATTGCATATAACATTATTCACGATGCTAGAAGACGCTATGTTGTACGCAAGTACGGTTAATGTATGTGCAAGCTACATTTATAACAGCCCCCGGTCCCTCTGGCCTCAAAGCGGCTACCTGGGAGGCGCAGGCAGAGAAAGGAGGGCGCTCGTTTTCAAAACGTTTAATAACTTTCTAATGAGTTTGCATTGAGTCTAAAGACAAGTCTGCATACGGAGATCTTAGATGGAGCGTTTCAATAGTCAGTTTCGCATTGTCAGATGCAGCTTTTTCACGCTCTTTCATTGAATGTGAATGCCATCGGATGTCAGGTTTCCTTACACACGTTGACCAGTAGCCTGGGGAAAAAGCGCATCTTCTGGCAATGGAAGTTGGCTTTGGCGCAACACGCGTTGCAGCGGCAGAGGTAAGCCTGCATGCTTATGTAAGTGCAGTAGCTTTACTGCTGGTAGAAAGGCGTGATTGGGCAACCCGCATAATGTTTATGGATGCGTCGATAAGGTTATGCCAACCAGATAATTTTTATTGACAGCCGTAGGGTTGGCAAGTACTTGAAGATTTCATCAGCCGGTTAAAGATGTCCATCGCCTTAAAGCCTCAGTATGGAGAGAAACGAGTGCTCTTCGCTGCATGCATGCTCAAGAGGGAAACGCTAAAAATGTGCCTGTATTCATGCAGAGGGCATCATCTGCCTGAAGAAATTAACAGTTCGCTTGTGACGCATTGCTCTCTGCCGAAATCAGTGCAAGCTTTGGATACTTGAAAAGGCTGCAGTATGGGAATTCATCAATTGACCGGTATATCGAGAAATATGGAACTGGTTTAAAAAGTCACAACTTGCACGAACAGCTGCTTTACCAGTGTATTTTAAGGGCCCTCATGTCAAGTAGTTGTAGATTGGGCAGTGGGCCTGCGATGGAACAAGCAACCGATGAGGCGTCCACACATTATGGACTACTTCAGATTTCAGGGGCAAGTAAGAGCAGCTGTTCGTTCATTGACTGATATGGAAAGTGAATGCTGGGGCTGTGCCAACAAGCACGAGCACACCGTCAAATGTGGACGAGGAAAGATCTCCCGGAACCACTTACACTCCTTTGCAACCAAGAACAGCCGCTCGACTACGCATGAGCTTCTATTTGGGGGTATTAGGACATACAATTCGGAATTACAAGAGTATACAATAAGCCAAAAGCTTAAAGCAACAGGCCTGAGCCAACTGGAAGCAGGCAGCATGGTAATACAAGAAGGCCCATTAGGGAAACAGCATTGGCGCACACATCTTTACGTTTTACTCCATACTACATTCTGTAGCACATCGGAGCCACACAATTTTAGGTGCTGAGTCGCAAACATGTAGTGCTCTTCATAGCAGGCATAGTTCGTCATCAGAGCATTGCGACGGTCATCAACAAAATCTCCTCTTCATTTTCTGTTCTGTAAAAAGCCTCAAAGCCGTGCATCATTGCCGCATGGCGGTGACATATTAGCTATTCAGCCACGTATTCGCCTATGCAATCAAGTTGTCCGAGATTTCCCCACTTGTGTTGTGCATCCTGAGATACACAGATATAATAAGGTTACTTTAAATTATCTGTAGCGATATATATCTGTATGACAGCGAAAAATAGCGAATAAAATTTTGCAACGTATCCGTTAGGCACGCCTGTTTAGCGAGCCCTCAGACCTGCGCATCATTGCGTGTTAACCTGCCTTACTGTCAAGTTGCAATTCGCTCGGGAGTTTTTCCTCACACCAAACTGTCACAAAAGACACCACATCGGCAACCAACGCAGCATCTTCCCACTTGACGAGAGTTGAGTAGTAAGGCCTCGCCGAGCTTAGGGCAAGCACAAATATGAATGTGCGGACAGCTACCCTTGAGAGCATAGCAAAGCAGGCTCAACTTCAACTTTGACCGTTGTTTTATATCCAGGTGAGCCACACACAAAGCTATGTAGTGCAGGCGCTGTTCTTAAAAAGCCTTTTACACATCCACATGGAACGAAGGCAACGGTGAGTCTTGAGGCCCACTCTCCACAACGTACGACAAGTCACAATACGTCCGCCGTCACCTGATGACTTAAGGCCTAGTAGAACCTTAGAGCTATTAAAACACTGAGAAAAAGGATGAGGCGGGGGCAAACGAAAGAACGTTCGAAAGCAGCGTTGCAGCACTGTTTCCATGACGCAATTTTAATTGGTCTTTCGCTTTGGTAGCATACGTGCAAGCAGTCAATGGCTCTAAAATGGTAGAAACCACACTATTTCCATCAACGCGCACACAAAGTTCGCAGTTCGCATACACTCCATGAGCTAAGTCAGCAATATAATGAAGGTGACTAGAACGGTCGACTCACCATTGCCTACTCATTGCTTATTATAGGTTATTACCCAAAATTCAGAAGATATTACCAGTATAAATCAGAACACGTACACTCACAAAAAAGGCATACTACAGTAGCTAGTGTGTGCTGTAGCAGAGGAGAGATGCTTGGCTGCAAAGCTGTCTGTTCGAGAAAAGTTGTGCGGATACGAACATGCTTCCGTTGGAATAACACTAGCCTAACACACATACAAGCCTGATGCACCCATGCACCTCCTGGTGATCCGTGCAACAGTTGAAACTGGAACGGATCAATGCAGCATTGGCAGCACGAAGCAACACGGGTGCCCTGCATCAACCATGGATACCATTCCAGCCGATCACCTGCCCACTATGCGGGATCTGCACATCCCCGAACAGTCAGGCACATTGGCTGTCTGCGTTCAGGCCAAGGTCACGGAGGCGGGAGGACGGAGTCGAGGGTGGTACATGGCACGGCTGTTTACAAAGGCGGAAAGCTTCCCATGCAGGCTGCCAGCGCGACGCAGAGGGCCACAAAGCATAGAGTCGCAGCTGGAGATCGAACAAGGATCAGTTGTGCGTCGATTCAGGCTCGCAGTAGTGATCAAAGATTGATGGCGTTACCTGACACTGGATGTGGAGTCAATTGGTGATCCCAGGAGACGGCGCAGAAAGTACAAGCTGTCAACGTCTGGAGTGCGTTGGAGGTACAGCAACGCACACCCTAGCTATCCTTCTCCCCTCATGTCAAAAACTCTAAGGGGAGCGGCCGCAGTAAAGAGGGATCTCGTTCAAGGAATACTCAAAATTCTATGATTGCTTTA